TTTTATCTCTTTCCCGACAGGAAATCGTCACTGAACACGGAGGCTTCTTACTTCCGCCTCGTCTTTCAAGGGTTCATTCGCTCTATTTCATCTAAGACCTGCTTCATCTGCCCTTGAGAACAAGGTAAATAATATATAATTTCTCTAAAATCCTCTGACATGTAGCTATTACCTATCCCACGTGTTGTAGCAGCCGTCTGGATTAGTCTCGTACTGGTTAAAATCATACGTCAACTTAGACATACTACGTCTAGTATAAATCTCTATAAGTCTCGAGTATACAATACCTAGTACCACTGAGGGAGGTTACACTATCATTAGCATTGCTTGCCTGGCCATCGCCCCTGTTCTAAGTAGTTCATATAGATAAGACTAATGATTAGTGTGCTGCACACTTTTAACAACCAAGTTTTCTACATTGAGTTCAGTATGTGACTAAAAAGGCTAATTAGCTACCATGGCGTAACGGGTCATTCCGAAATTTCCAGATATAGTGGCAGATATTGTAGAAGCCTAATCACAAAAGACAAAATTGCTAAAAGAATTAGTGTGGTCTGTACAACCGGGAGATGCCGTGCGATCTAGAGTCAGAGCTTGTCTTACCTTCAATGCCTTCGTGGCTGGCTCAGCTCAGATCACCCCAGAGAATCCCAGAGATATAATAGTAGGTGTCATCCCATGCCTCTTACAATTCTCAACCCACACAATAACGTCAAATATTGACTGGTCGCCCGCCAATCTGCCTCCTACACCTCGAGAGATGTCAATAACCATTCACTCGCAGGTGGTTGAGCTTGATTGCTTAATACCTAGAGTCGTTGACATTGAACGCGAAGGTATCTATTACAGACACTTTTATTTGGTAGACGATTTGCTAATGCATGACATCAGATGAAGATGTCGAACAATTTATTCCCTGGGTCTTCCAACACACGGATCTCATGGACTGGGACTGCACACAGGACTGGCCAGAAGAGGAACCTCTCTTCAAGAACTTGTTTGCTTCACTAGTCGACTATATAGAGGAGCAAGGACATGGGAATATGATTTCAGAGATCTTGTGCAAGGAAACGGGCATATCGAATATCCTGAAACCCAGCGAGACAATCACATTGCCCCGAAAAAGCTGGAGAGTCAGTAAACGATCATCTCATATGAATTTCATCTACTCGCAAAGCCATATGTTTGCCGACTTGATGCGGAATATCTATTATAGGCTTGATGATGTGGATGAAGAAGCCCCGAGGCTTGGGTAAGTGACAAATCCATTGTGGATGGTTATCTCAGCATGATGGTAACATGTTTCTAGCGTCATACCATTCCCACGTGATGTGAGATACGCAGTGGGCAGGGTACAATATGCTGCCCGACTAGAGGGTAATGTTCACGTTGGGACACGAGCTGATTTTATACCAATAATCTCTTTTACTGGGGTATGTATATTAGCCACTGCTTGGGAAAAGGCTGCAATCTAATGGTATACAGTGGTACGAGGGACAAACTTGGAATGAAATATTGACGGACACAATTTGCACTATGCTGGGACATCTGACTATGAACCTAAGAATAAGTCCGCATGGCGGTGTTCAAAGTCAGGAGGTCTTTGTTGTTGGTTTCCATGGGCCGTATCTTCACATATGTCGTGGATTCTTCTCGCGAGATCTTATTGCTAGAGTGCATCTATATGGATGCTCAGATGAGGAAGAGTTTGATCTGGAGTTCACGCGGGGTTATAACCTATATTTGAAAGAAGATTGGCTTGAGGCTATACGTGCGTTGACCAGACTGCTTAGGTATCTTCTTAGTGGCAAAGCAATGGTTGCAGCAGTGCACAGAAAGCCGTAGGATGGATGGGGGTGATTAGCATCATTTACATAGATTGGCTAATTTAAAGGATCAAGCTGCAACTAATCGATCTAAGTCTGCACTAGACAGCGTTGCACATCCGCGCTTGGATTCTCTCGCATATTCTCTGGCATCTTTCAAGCTATTCGGGGCTATTCCCCACTAAACAGAAGCAATAGAAGGGGTGTTGCAACTTCAACGGTATTGCATTACCGCTTCGCCCCAGACTTATACCATACTATGCAAATAATGTCCCGACACGCCAATTTTCGGCTCGCGTGTGTATTTGCCAGCTGATGATTTTCCCCAAATAGTAGCATGTTAAACATCACTTCACTGCCATACCGACCCGAACAGCACGACTACTTAAGAACGACGGAGAGCACGGCACGCGTTCATCTACTTTGGTTTGTCACCAGACTATCGATCGGTAACTCCTCCTGCCTAGGTGCAGCTCTTTATTCCCGTATTTGACGCCATACATACCTGGCAAAGTCTCTTCTTTCTTTGTGGTGATGCGACCTCGGATATTAAGTGCGAGGAGAAACGACGACGCTTGTACTGCATATGCCGACCGGAATAATTGAGAGCGAGAGGCAGTGCAATGATGGTCTGACGATGGCGGAATTTCTCGAGTAAGTAAGACAATTACTTACTGTAATCTTTATTCCATATCTGATTGTTCATTGAAAGTAACCGAATCTACTAGCGAGCACAACTGCGAGATCTCATAATGCTTGTGGGCCTCCTGGCCCGCCCGGGTGTAAGATGTGGAACACCGTCTAGACGTCCCAGGACATACTAAGCATAAGCACTAGTAAGTATTTGAGCTGTCACTTACTCTCGGCTGTTCGCTAAACATGAAGGCTGCCTGCCATCCAATCAGTGATCGTCTATCTGAAATGCAGAAATAAACTAGTCCTACCTGAGTACGTATTAATGATGCAGGCGATCCTCTCCAATGAACGTCAGCGTGGACATCTGCACAAGGCTGTTCATGCATGCTGGACTAGTACACCGCCCAGTCGCATTGCCTTGCCCCCATTCTTGATACTTTAAAGGGCTCCCATTCGACCCCCGCTAACAGAGGGAAAGTTGCCGTTGTCAGATGTCCAGCAGGGATCAACCGCATTTAAAGAAACCCTCCACCCATCATGATCCACTCAGCTCCCCATCCGTCACAATGGCGCTCAACGTTACTACATACGCGACCATCGTGACAGTCCTGCTGGTACGATATTCTCTCGGCGTTCTCATTAGTACTGCTACCTAATTCGTTCCAGCTGCCTGTTCTCCTAGCAATAAAACGGCTCTACTTCCATCCTCTCTCCCGCTACGATGGCCCACGGCTCTGGGCGCTGACGCGACTCCCTTACATGCTCGCCTTTCGGTCGGGTCGGCTTGCTCACGACATCAAAAGATTCCACGATATTTATGGCGATACTGTTCGTGTGGGCCCGGATGAGGTGTCTTTCTTGGATCCCGATTGCATAAAAGACATATACAGCCGTCGTCCCAATAACCCACATTACAAGGCGCTACCCAAGGATCCAATCCGCCAAAAGCCTCCACAACCTGGACAGCCTGGCGACATTCTTGATGTGGAAGACGATGACCACTCGCGTATTCGAAAAGCATATGCCCCCGCGTTTGGTACACAGGCCCTAAACGCCCAAAAGCCACTGGTAACGTCATATGTCTGCAAAATGGTCGCCCAGTTGAAGTCCCGGGCCAATAGCACGGACCCATCTAAGAGAATAGTTGACCTTCAGCGTTGGGTCACGTACTGCACGTTCGACATCATCTGCTCACTGAGCTTCGGTGAAGACTTTGGCTGCCTGGACAATGATAATTACCACGAATGGGTCGGGATGGTAGTCAACTCTGTGAAAGGCAAAGTGCAGATTGCGGCTTTCCGCTTTTATCCATGGCTCTTCAACTACCTAGTCAAGAGTTTACCCAAATCCGCCCAATTGATGGTAAAAAGGCATCAGGCCATGACTAATGAGAAGGTCCAAAAGCGCCTACATACAGCAGTAGACCGACCGGATTTCTTCTCATACCTTCTCAAATCGAAGAACGAGCTCACAGAGCCCGAGATGGAGATTAACGCGGCTACCTTTATCTTCGCAGGAAGCCATACACTTCAATCCTCTCTCACGGGGATCCTGTTCCACTTACTCAAGAACCCTGAAGCCCTTGCCCGGGTAGCAGAAGAGGTTCGGAGTAGTTTCCCTGATGAGGAGGATCTGGATGCGAATAAGCTATCGAAACTGCCACTCTTGGACGCAGCCATTAAGGAGGGTATACGGCTAACCGCGCCTGTGCCGTTGGGAATAACGAGACTTGTACCCAGGGGAGGACATACCGTGTGTGGACAATATTTTCCCGAGGGTGTAAGTGTACATGACGCTTCCGAGAATCGTTCAGGCACAAGGCTAATGGAACAACTATACAGAGCAAAGTAGCATACAATTCATGGGCTGCGGGCGTGTCTCCCCGAAACTTTGCCGACCCTACCAAGTTCCATTTGGAGCGTTGGCTGAACCCCGATGAGGGTCGCTTCGCAAACGACCGGCGCTCTGCTATACAACCATTCTTGCAGGGGCCGCGGGACTGTATTGGTCAGAATTTGGCACGGTTGGAGATGTCGCTCGTAATAGGATACCTGATTTATCACTTCGACTTCGTGTTGCCGAATGGACGAGAGGCTCTCGGTGAATGGGAAGATCAAGAGACCTATGCTGTTTGGATGAAGTCGCCCCTTATGGTGGAGTTGGTTGCACGTTGATTTATCTCAAGACAAAGAACAGGGGCGGATTGGAAAGTATAGAGCTCAAAACGCACAAAGGGGTCTACAGCTCATCGTGGTCTAAGGGTATCTAAATCTCACCTAGATTCGAAGATTTCATTCACCAGGACGAGCTCAAAATATCTTTTCTAAATGGAGAGTCTCTTGATTAAAAGCTTTGATAGTTATTCTAAGTAGCTCAATAGCCCAATGCACCCTGGCGTCCTTAGAAAGGTCAAAGATGGTTGATAAGTAGAGTATGATATTAACTGAGTTCGATTAGTTTTACATATTCTTAGATCACGATGAGCTTGAGACATTTGAGATAGATAGATAATTTCCTGATCAAGAGTATTTAGAAGTACCCCGACTATCCTATTCACCCTAATTCACCTGAAACTCCCAAGTCAATCCTGAAATGGTGGAAGAATCCGTTGCAGTATCGAGGGAGTGGGGTTGAGTTGTACACGCCCCCTCGACCATGTTGAGGTGTTTAGACCACGTTGAGCTTCAACCCAAACAAGCCCGAGCCATTGATGAGTAAGGCTGAGTCTCTGAGTCCATGAACACCGTTGGAAGAAAGGCCGCAGCGCCAGTAACATTCTCTTCTCACGCTTGACGCTTGATCTAGTTTGCATATGTAGATGCGGCAGAGACTCTCAGCAAGCATGCCTCGGGTTGTTTTCCAGGTTCTATAGCACGCGACCGTGAAAGACACTTCAATTAGATCTTCCTATGAAGATGGACTGAATGACTGAGCTTTATCACTCCCGGGTGATAGCTTTCCGTGCCCATACAAGCTCTGGCCCATAATCCGGTCCCGAACGATACAAAGCAATGTTCACCAAAAACGCACCCCACCCATCCAACCACCAATTCTCAGCCATCAGTTCCAGTGCAACACCATAATGAGCGAGTACCACCAGTGCCGTGGGATGATTTGCCTGCAACAAATCCAGGTACTTTACACTGACCACGGCAGGCCACCTCATCATAATGGAGGGAACCGGATTTGCCACACTGATTGCCTGTTGCAGCAGGTCAAGGAACTTTTGAACGGATTCTTCAATCACTAAGCTCTCGCTATCATAGCAGTCCGGCCGAGAAGACCGTCTCATATTGTCATAAATGTCCGATATGCGAGCATATAACTCCTGCGCACGCGTTGTCTTTGATTCCTCACGTGGCTGCTCGCCGAGTTTCAGTAAATCTCGCATACCGCCCGCTTCAATCCATGGGCGAGCCTGTCCCACTATTGAAGCTACACCCCGAATTAACATGAAAACCTCAAGAACAGCCGACAGGCGCAGAGCTCCTGGGTCGGCCTTTGGTCCGTGCGCAGCAAACGAGAACATAACGACGAAGCAGGAGAATGCAAACAAAGCATGGCAGTTTCCTGAAGTTACATTATTTAGAAGAGGCTTACACAGAGATAGCGAAATGTTGTTGTGCGTCATGGCGGCCTCGGTGTACTTGTGTCTTCTCTCGACGGGGCCATGGTGACTTAGGTGAAGTGCGGATAAAGCCAATAGACTGTGCATTAAAAACGGATGCGATAGAGCCTCCTGTGGGACAAACTCCCGCAGAACCTTCTCTGTGGATTTGTCGTGTACCAGTGTCCGCACGGTCGCCACGTGCCAGTGGTTCAAGAGATCCAAGTCCAACAGTGGGAGTTGGAAGCCGTCACTTCTCGGAATGAGATCGACGCGGGTACCGGAGGCAGCAAAGCTGTGATGCGATATTTGGGGTGTGATTTGGCCCTCAAATGAACATCTGATGTGCTTCTTATGGCAGGAGCCGCAAATAGGCCGAAACTCGTCACATTTTATCCGACGATGTTTGCACTGGGCACAGCCGTGATGGGATTTAGTGTGAGACCGTCGAGAGGGCATGCCATTCACCTTATCTCCCTAGACCATGCAGATAACAACCGTCGCTCTGAGCCGATATGGTGCGCTGTTGGAGGCGAGGCGAATTCTGGGGAAATCCCAGCGTCTCGGCGTGTGGGACCTGAGGCAGCAAATTTAACCCGTAAACTATCCTGTTTACGGAATGGTTTTCGAAATTGGCCTCGGAACCAATTCTTCGCGGCTAATCAGCAACTGTTGTTGGTTCCACTCTTCGATTCTTGTTCTCTGGGCTGTTCTTTCGGAAGGTGAACAATTTGCATAACCACGGCAGCCCAGCAACAATCGTCGATACGCCTAGATCACTGGCTAATAAGGATGCACCATTTCGAGTTCAGTCTTATCTTAATGACTAAGCGTATCGCCTAGAGACATTATGCTCGAATTGAGGACACGTCCAGTGGGACCTGAGGGCCTCTGCTATCTCTTGGATAGCGTTTCTCTTTCTCAAAAGGGCATAGTTTTCGAATGAAATGATTATGCCTAGATCATATTCGATACCCGAGACGATGCCTTTTAAAGCTGGCCTGCCCATGCCCCAGACTTCTCCGCGCTTGAACTGTAGTCTTGCCGAAAGGAAACTTTTAGAGAAATCAAGGGAGAGGAGACTTAAAGCTGCACACAATGGGGGTTGCAATTCGTTCAGGCTTTGAATATTACTATTACTACCCCTCTCTAGCAGCGGCGGTGATATTCATCATCTGTTTCCTGCTAACCACGCTCTTGCACACGTTCCAGCTCGTCCGGACGAAAACATGGTTCTTTATACCGTTCCTTATCGGGGGCTACTGTGAGTCAAGATGAAGATTATACAAAATATTGGGCACTTATTTCTAATGTGTTTGTTTCACTGCAGTTGAATTTGTAGGCTACTGCGCCCGTGCCGTCTCTGCCAATCAATCCCCCAATTGGACCATGGGCCCTTTCCTGATCAACTCGCTCCTTCCTCTGGTTGCACCTGCGCTCTTTGCGGCTAGTATATATATGGAATTGGGGAGATTGATCATCGTTCTTCATGCTCAACAACACAGCCTCATTCGAGTGAAATGGTTGACCAAGATCTTCGTCACCGGTGATGTTCTATCATTTCTGCTTCAAGCTGGAGGTAAGGAGCACTTGCAGTTGCCGAGAAATCGCTACAAACTCATGCTAAATCCTCAATCTTCCACTTGCAGGGGCTGGTCTCATGGGTAGTCACTCTAAAAGCGGTACTGAAACCGGGTCGCATATCATTGTTGGCGGTCTCGTCGTCCAGATTGTTTTCTTCGGTTTCTTCATCATAACCACCGCAATTTTCCACCATCGCATGCTACAAAGTCCGACACCATACTCCCTTGAAATAAACTGGAAAAAGCTCATCTGGGTATTGTACTCAGCTAGCGTGCTCATTCTTGTGCGGTCGATTTACCGTCTTATCGAGTATATCGAAGGGTTTGGGGGATATTTGCTTTCTCATGAGGTGTACCTCTATGTATTTGACGCGTTGCTTATGTTTGCGGTCATGCTGATATTCCATGTCGTTCACCCGAGCGAGCTCAATGCTTGGTTGAAGTCGGGCGGGCTAGTTAGCAAAGGGTTTCGGTTCGAAAGGCTGAACGGGAATGCGATACCCATTAGCTGAGACTGTATTTATCATATACCCCTTTGTTATGATCTACTTGCTTCGCTGTCGAAATTTACTATGATTCTATTCCATCCAGGGTTCGTGTGGTAAGCCAGGCTTTTTTACGGTCCACAATGGCACAGCAAGAACTGTATTCATTCGGTGCTGCTGCATATAACGCATTAACTCTCAAGTCAAATAATCTCGGTTACATGCGTTCAACTAAGAGTCAGCTGATCAGAGCAACCTTGAAGCAGTCAGACTCAAATGCGACAATCGTTACGCAAACCACACCCACTCATCCCTCCCTTCAACTTGTGTTACGCCATTTCTGCTTGAGACAACGAAACGACTCTGGTTACAGTGGAATGATACTTATATTTCTCAGCATTCTTTATTTCATTCTGTCATTTCTTTGCTGACAAGTCGTGCACTTTTATCCAAAGCGTTGATAACATCGCGGATGTCGTTATCTGTGGTCTGTGGGTTGATGGTACACATTTGAAGGCAGACAACCCCGCGAATACGAGTGGTGAACACGACTGCGATATTCTGAGTCGCCAGTCTCTTGGAGACAAGACTGTTGATATCGTCGATAGCTTCTGCACTCATTCCAGGCGGATTGAAGCGGAAGTTGATAACAGCCATGCTACTAGGTGTGACGATTTCCCATTCGCTGAGCTTGCTCACTTCAGTCTCAACGAGATCGGAGAGTTCAAACCCGCGCAGGATCATCCGGTCAATCATGTTTGTCCCGAGGATGTGTAAAGAAAACCAGAGCCTCATATGACGAGCTGGTCGTGTCAACTCGATCCCAAAGTTAAAAGGATTCTCAATATATCCGTCTTCGACATCACGCAAGAAGTGCGCGGTTGTGGCGAAGCTCTCCCTTGGACGGAACCTTTTTTTGAAAAGGACAACACTACAGCCATAGGTTTGGAAGAGCCACTTGTGAGGATCCCAAGCGATGCTGTCAGCGCGGCCTATACCTTTCAGAAGGTCCTTGCGCGATTCGCAAAAAGCAACTGATCCTCCATAAGCAGCGTCGACGTGCATCCACATTCTGTACTCTGCTGCTATATCTGCGATTGCATCAAGGGGATCAATACTCCCAGTATTGGTTGAGCCGCAGGTTGCAATTACCACATACGGCTTCAAGCCGTTTTCAATATCCTGAATGATAGCCTGGCGAAGACTCCCCAGATCCATTTGGAACTCCGCATTGCAGCGCACGGTCCTTATCTGGTGCTTTAGCAGGCCCGTTATACGGAGTGCTTTAGCTACACAGAAGTGCGTCTCCTCGGCGATATATGCTGTTGCTCTTGTGCGCATGTCATCTTCCACAAGCTGATCCCGTGCAACAGTCAATGCAGTCAGGCAAGCAAGGGAAGCACCGGACACGAACTGTCCCCCTGCTGATGGGGGCAGTTCGAACTTTTCAGCTACCCAGCGAATGATAGATTCTTCTACCGCGCAGATACCGGAACCCGACTCCGAGCTCCCTGCATAATTGTTGAAGGCGGTTGAAATAACATCTCCTAGCCACGATAAAGGAGAGGCTGCCGAGGGTACAAAGGCGAAGAATCTTGGGTGGTTGACGCTGTAGCGAAAAGAGAGGATATCTTCGAATTCTTGCACAACATCTTCCAATGATCGCCCTTGCTCCGGAGGAGAAGACTTCAACAACTTGACCAGCTGCTCCTTTGTTGGACGTTTGACTAGGGCTGCTTGATCGCATAGAAGTTTGTCCCCGACAATTTCTGAAAGCCCTTGGAGTGTATCTCGCACGATTTCGTCCATGGCGTAGATAGTGAAGGGCCACTAAGACTGTATGTGGCAAACTCTAAGAATAAGTGTAGCCCAGTATCCATATAGTAAGTGCGCTATGCAATTTTTGATGATGAATATCATCAGGACCCCCAGGAGCGAGACATTTTTGAATATATAGTGTGCTACGATTCCAGGGGCAATTCATCCATAAGATATGCAGAGGAGCTAATGCGAGCAGCCGTATCCGGAGAGTCATGGGTGTCCACCAGCACATTCCACCCGTCATCTGGGATTGCCTATCACCTGCAGGGCATTTTACATTTTTAGTGCTGGCCAAAGCATAGTAGTCAACCTCTCGCTGTTAGCTTGGGGAAACGTAACAAGGATTGTTGGTTAAGGTTCGGCGAGATGTCCGGCTATCAAGGTTCTTCTTAACATAACCTGGTCATGAGTCATGCTTTGTAAGGCTACCGGCAGGCTTTCAGGACATTACGTAGATTATCTAGGATAAACAGTCTATTTCAACCGCGAGCCAGTCACTGACTGTAAACGTCCTTGTTGAACGGTGCCTGAACATGCTCGGAGGCTGATAGAGTGCCGTATCCGCTTCTTGTCCCTCTCAACTCATTGTCCAGAGCGTCGGAGATTTCTATTCCGTTTTCTATAGGAATACCTTTATTTGGCAACACACTTAGTATTTCCTTGTTGGGAGCTGACTTGCATAATTTGGGTGCAAACGATGGTTGGTGTAACACTTGGGGTACCACCCCTTGCAATAAAACATGTCACTAGCCTTTGTGCTGGAAATGATGAGCGCAATATGCCATTAGGTATCTGAGACTCCGGCACAACACAAGCTTGGAAGGATGTGTATACATCAGGTGAGATGGTCAAGATTATGCCATGATGATGTGTGCAGGGGATGACGATCGTCGTCGTGGATTTGGCTGCATCTCATATTATGAGGATATATTTCAAAAAATGAAAACTCTTTTCAATCAAGTAGCATCATTGGTCTAGTGGTAGAATTCATCGTTGCCATCGATGAGGCCCGTGTTCGATTCACGGATGATGCAATGTGATTTATCTTTTTGTTCTTTTTCACCTTTTACCTACCCGGCTTACTAGACAGCACCAATTTGGTCATCTTCTTTTTTCTTGGCCTTCCTATCTAATCATCATTTGTGTTTCTATCCACAGGGCTGTTTACTAGTCCCGTCTACTGTATATAAGAAATAGCTTTTTTCTGCACTACTATCAATAACCACACTCTTTTGCTACCGGGTAATGGGGATACCCTCATTTTCTGCCCCATTCACTTCGCCATTCTAAGGCTACACCGGTTCGAAGTTACTGATCCCTAGCATACAAAGAAGCTGGCCTGTGTAACATTCCACATCCTCAGCGCAAGGGCTAGGATACACAGTTTGACTCGTTGACACTGGTCATGCCATGAACAAGAATGGTGATCTGAGAACGCGGTCAGAAACCCATAATGCGTAAGACTGAAATTTAGAGAGAACCGGCATTCATTTCCGAGGATCGTAAAAGTTTAGTACGCGCTCGGTCGGTTGGACTGGATGACTTGATAAATTTGAATGGTTCGTTATCTTCAAGGACATCATTAGATTAATTGCCCTTGCGATGCAGCGAACATCGCAAAGATCACTGACTACATGAAGTGAGGATTCGTTGTTGGGACAAAGCCAAGGCAAGATCCATATTGGTTGTTCAACATCATATTCAACTGCTCAGCATGACGCCAGCCAGGCGCATACATCTGCAGAAACGGCGCGCCATGTGGTAATATAACCTGAGCATATACACATGACGACAGTAGCACTCGGAGTTGCGCCAAGTAGCCAGAGCTGCTCATCATGATATTGATACTACGCCCTGAAATACTAATCAGAGGACGGCTACAACGTGTCTTTCTTTCCGATCGGCGTTTTGTAGAATATGGAAATACCTGCTGATGTGAATACTTTCAATACAAATTAACTACCGCAATGCAATACAACTTATCAGATTGAAGTGGGGTCTTTCGAGACTTCAACATCTTTCATCAGATAAGATAGAAAGTAAGCTGTCCATGAAATGGATGGAAGATGGACTTTACTCCCGTCTTTTGGCTTTTAGCTGATGCTGGGATGATGGGCGCTGACGTTCCCACCACTGTCCCACACTCTTATCCCCTCAAATTTCCCCACTCTCCTTCACACCACTGCTCCTCCAAAGTTCCCTCTTGATATGAAACAGAATAAGTAGGTCTGAGCTACAATGTCCAACGATAAGGAGAGCTCTCACGCTACCGATGCTCACCTTTCAACTCATGATGCACAAGGCCCTGGCGTAACACCTGAAATTGGAAGTCCAGGTGTCAAGCGGATCGAGGCTCTTTCATCTCACCTACATATTCTCGACCGTGTGTTCCTTTTCTGTGGAATCTTCCTCATTGCCTACGTCTACGGCCTCGATGGCCTATTGCGGGGCACTTATCAGGTTGGCCTCCATCAGCATATTTACTGAACTATCAATGCTCATGGCTACCTAGCCGTACGCAACGGCGTCATATGGGTTACATAGTGTGTTATCGAGTGTCGATATCCTAAGAGCAGTTATTGCAGCAGCAGCGCAGGTTTGTGGCCTTTTTGTCTCCCAATTCAGCAACTAATCTGCTTTGTTTCACAGCCAACTGCAGCTAAGATCGCCGATGTTTTTGGGAGAGTGGAATTGATCTTAGTCTCAATATTCTTCTATACTCTTGGTATTGAGTTCAATGCATCTCAAGCTTGTTATGTTCTAACCACCTAGTTAGGCACTATAGTTGAGGCGTCCTCGAGTACGGTCGAGCAGTTTGCTGCGGGCGCTGTGCTGTACCAGGTGAGATTTGAGTCCGATTTCGCTTTTCAGATGCTGCTACATTTGGACTAACGTTGTGATGAACGATAGATTGGATACACGGCTATTATCCTACTGGTCGAGGTTTTGGTTGCGGACGTCACATCGCTTCGCTCTCGGCTGCTGTTCTCATATATTCCAACACTTCCATTTTTGGTAAGGTGGACAGATTCGGATGATATATGTTTGCTGGATCTCATCTGACGCTGATAGATCAACACTTGGATTAGTGGAAACATAACTGGGGCTGTTTTGGGAGTGACTACATGGCGCTGGGGAATCGGCATGTTTGCAATAATCTATCCAAGTAGGAAAATGGCCCCTGAATCAGATAATTGCTGACGATCTCTAGTCTGCACGCTCCCTCTTCTCATGGTACTTTATATTGTGTACCACAGGGCCAAAAAGGATGGTACAGTAGATCATATCGCAAGCTCCTTTCGGACTTTGGGTGTTCGTCGCCTGGCGATTGAGTTGTTTTGGCAGTTGGACGTGATTGGCATTATCTTGATGATCGCTTTCCTTGCCATGATTCTGGTACCTCTCACGATAGCTGGCGGCCTGGATTCCCAGTGGAAGAAAGCAAAGATTATCGTCCCTCTCGTTTTGGGGCTGTGTTGCATTCCGGCATGGGTTGTTTGGGAGAGAGCTTGCACGCATCCCATGGTCCCATTCAAGGTAGGAATTCAGCACATTGTTGGTGCTATAATACTAACGCATGTATAGCTACTAAAGGATAGAGCAGTCTGGGGTGCCTTGGGGATAGCTGTTATGCTAAACACTGGTAAGCAGGAACATGTCCTTCTGATGCCGTTTCTAAACGAGGTGCAGCATGGGCTCTTCAGAGTGAATATCTCTACACTGTCCTCATTGTTAGCTTTGGCGAGAGTATTACAAGCGCAACGAGGATCAGGTCCCTTTACAGGTAAGCTACAAGGAATTCGGTAATTGTACAGACGTTGACCCCATTCTTCACAGCTTTGCCAGCGTCCTCACCGGTTCCATTCTAGGTATCGTAGTATTCAAGGTCAGGCGTCTCAAGCCATTCATTGTTGGAGGTACATTGTTGTTCATGGTGGCCTACGGAATCCTGATCTATTACCGCGGAGGGCCCACATCATCCAATCATTCGGGAATAATTGGCGGCCAAATTCTTCTGGGTATTGGTAGGTCCAGACGCATCAGCTCTAAATGATCGAAACTGACTAGGGTCTTCCAGCTGGAGGATTGTTTCCCTACCCTGCGCAGGCCAGCATTCAGGCTGCCACCAAGCATGAGCGTGAGTTAGTTCCAATACTTTTCTCAGAAGTTATTTCTGACTTTGGAAAGACCTGGCTGTCGTCACAGGTTTATTCCTAGCCTGCTACAATATTGGCACTGCAGTAGGAGGAAGCATTTCTGGCGCGGTCTGGACCCAGATTCTCCCCGGAGAGCTAAACAGTAGACTCGGCAACGCCACATTGGCCACTCAAGCGTTTAAGGATCCATTCACATTCAGTGCTACTTACCCAATTGGGACCCCGGATCGTGATGCCGTGGTGGCTGCCTACAAGCATACACAAAGGCTGCTGTGCATTACCGGCATTTGCTTGACCGTGCCGCTGGTTGCATTTTCTCTCTGCACCCGCAACTTGGTTCTGACGAAAGAGCAAAGTTTCGCAAATGCCGAAGAGGATAGTGCTGAAGCTTGATCATCTATGACAACATACTAGTGCGGGGTCATAGATGGTAATTTCGGGATTATAGCAGGAAACTGTGGTTTGCTTAGAAGCGTAGTGCTTATTGATGATATCCGGTTATTGAGATATGATATGATGTGATATCTTGGAAATTCACCACATTGTCATAAGTTACTATCACAGAGTAATTGTACAGAACTAGAGACTGAACAGTTTGCACTACTGGAACATAATTCAATATAGGATGGTTTAGTTCGCTGGATTACAGGTTCGCGACTTGGTTAGTCAGCCACCTTCCATGGAAACTTCGCCAAAAGTTGCTGTGATCTGTGAGCAACAACCACCACATACGCGCACATTTGGTCTTGTACCAGCAAACTACAAGAGAATTTGTCTCATGTGGGTGATGTCAAGCTTAAGCATTACATCTCAACAGAAATTGAATATACTGCTACTTCAAGTGACATTCATATCAAAGAGATGGCCTCATCACAACCCCTCTCAGTGTGTTGAGTAATCGATGGTCTTCTGCCCTATCTTCAGTTCTACTTGAGATCAAATCATAAAAGATTCACTGATCATGTCCGCTAATTTTGATGCCATTTGGGAGGACCTTCTTGCGGATTTGAAGACACTTCCTGCTATCTCGTTTGATGGGTTTGCGCGCCGAATTCATTTCCGAGCTCGTTGGCATGGAGATTTCGACAGCCTGAGGAAGTACATTGGCACTGACCAACCGTACCCTGCTAATGATGAAAGCCATGACCAGGTGCTTGATGGCATGTATACCGGGGAAGATTTCAGAAGGCTTGGGAATTGGTTCCTTGCTGCCGAATTCATTAGCATCGATGATGATGGCTTGTGGCAGGTAGCTGAGGCAGCGCAACTTGCAGCGGTCTGTTCATTACTTCATTATGGCCCTGAAATACTTCAGCAATAGCTAACCGTGAGCTCATTAACCTCAGTTCCTTTTTTATCCTATATTTACTCCAGAAGTACTCCGGGGCCTCATGTCGATGTGTCTTGCCGAGCATCTCAACACTAAATTCAAAAGCAATGGCCATCCTAGCCTCATGGAGCTAGCAAATACTACCGGGTTCGCGGACTACTTTATCAACAGAATACAAACCAAGTCTTTCATTATCAACCTTGCCTTAACTGAACCCACAAGGTCAGATCATTTGTTTAGCATCTCAGTCCTTCTCGTTGCGGACTATCTAAAATACAAAACTGCATGGCTTGATATATGGAGACTCCTCTCAAAAGACAGACCAAGCTTCAAAGCACTACATGCTTGGTCTCTTGTGACATGGGATGAGCAGGCACAGCGCGATGAAGTAAAGATAGACAACATCGTGAAGAACTGTGGTATAGCCGCGACGATGGCATATTGTTCTGTGCTAGGCTCGCTGTCAACTTTCGACGCACTAGTCATCTTCTACAAAGCAGTAACGGCTGCGATTGATACAGACTCGTCTCCAGAGCTTCGCCCGTACCTCGATAGCATCCAAGCAAGTATGAAGAGGCTGATTGACGAAGCCGCTATCATCAACGAATTTGTAAGCTACTCTGAGAAGCTCTACACGACCTTCTACCACAACATGTCCGAGAAGTGGCGCGATGGTGTACGCACCGCGTGGAGAGAACGTAATACTGGTGCTCTTACAGACTGGGTCAACAAGGGTTAGGCTCGCCCGTCCCGGCGTACTTTCATGTGGGCACTATGAAACATGAAGCCAAAATTAACATTAATAATATAGCTACATCCTCGACTTATATTGAACCAAATCAGCCTTGGTCTGAACCAACCCCGCCTTGGCCAGTGGTATCACAATCCAGTCTTTTATGTGGGACGGATCTGAATCTTTCTCAAGGTAAATCAAAACAGATAAAGGGTGTTACGAACAATAATCGATTCCTTGTGTCCGCAAAGCCGCCGCGATATAGCCACGAGGGGTATGGAACCGTAACTTCCAAGTCTCTGAAAGTGTGCTCGGTCGGATTCAGTAAGCTCCGCATCATTAACATATTTTGCCCCTCCTAAGTAAACGATGTAATGACAGACGGCGAAAAGCCCTTCACAACTCCATCGCAAGTATTTTACACTACCACTGGACTTCGAGCGGTAGATCCAGATTCTGCCAAAACGAGTTGTCCACTCGCTCAGATTGGACCATTGAGAAGGGGACATGTTATCTATCGCCTGACCGGCAATCCCGATGACTATATGTACGATGCTGTGGAAATGAGGTCTATAGAAGTGGGCCATGAATCGGAGCAGACCGTGTACAGCGTGTCGCTGTGGGCAGGCGAGCAATCGCATCACGCGAACGGTTACCTTCTTGCCATCAATAACCCCAATGTAAGTTCAACCCGGATCTTATTACCATCTTTGATTTGTACTTATAGATTATTCATTAGAGAGCTGTCGAATCCACGGCCCGTGCCCTTCGTGCCCTTCCTCCAAAGAAGCGACTCTCACTTCTTGCATCATTTCACGAGCTCAGTTCGACGTTCACGAAGAATGACATTCAAGCTATCCACGAGCGACTGAACTTTGAACTCTTTGGTAGTTATGGGAAGAGAGAGGAAGACCCAATAACACGGTCCGAGATCTTCCCGGCCCTTGTCTCTCCAAGTGACCAGCTAAAGGCGATGAAATATAGCCCTCGGCAGCTACCCAATGGCGTCCCTCTGGACAGGGTAGAGAGGAGGTTCTCGCTACACGCAAAGGGAGACGGTAGTTTGCCTTCAGCATACAAGCTTCCTGAGATTAGCGTCATAGATGGCTGCATTCTTGTAGATGGAGAGCCCCAGATGAGATGCAAGTTGAATCAGCATAGGAGGACGCTCCAATGGACGCGCAAAGTCCAAGAAAATGTGTTCGAACACGGAGTTCTGTCCATCTACTACCATGGACTATCGGGTAAGGGTGTGGTACTCATTACTGCCACAGATGCACCACAGAACTGCTTCAAGCAGGACATCCAAGCATTCGAAGCATTGCCAACAAGTGTAGCAGAAGATACCCAACTGCTTCATTCCAGGCAGCAGACAGGCGAAAGGGGCAGCGACGATGAAGGGGAATATATACCTCTTATCACAGTCTCGATGCAATACGACAAGAGCACATGGGCCCCGGGTGAACCTTTAGACAAGCCCAAAGATCCTATGTCCGGTATGGACGTGCAATGGGGCTTTTTGTACCCACCTGATGGATCTCAGACCACAGCAACGAGGATACCTATTCTTGATGATCTTCGAGACCAACTCAATGAGAAATATAATCGGAAATTCGACAGGCTTTATGATAGCTGGGAAATAGTGCTAGATGACGGCAGGATCAGGGCAACCGTGGAATTCAATCTTGCAAGCGTCGTGCCATTTATCTCCGATGCCGGGATGGACGTCAACACTCTGAATGTGAATTTCAAGTCCCAGTTGGGGATCGATATCACGCTTCCCGTTCTTTTCCAGTCATTCTACATCGACTACGATGTTGACCTCCGTACGGTAAAGGGCGCCATCTTCGACTACAACCCTCTGATGCGTGACACGAAAGGAGATAGGTGGGTAGCTATCAGTGACATTGGGGTCATTCTTTGTGCTCATATATTACAGGCGATTCATTTGTGGGATTTCAGACATCGATGATTCCGAAATATATGATATGCGATTGAGGGCCTCTAAAGCCTATGCGGACTGTGCGGATTTGACTGCGCCGACCGCATTCACTTCGGTCCTGCAACCAGCGGAAATGACAGATCAGTTGCATCTGTTACAAGAGCCTACGGTTGACGAGCTTCTTGCACCCCCTGGCTATGATGAGGTTGCAGTAAGTTACAATTGCCTATAACTAAGTAGAGCGAGTGACTTCAATAACTGACCACGTATCGCGGTACAGATCCATAATATGTCTCAAGTGCTCATTAAATCAATGATGTTCTACCACATGGATGACGATCAGCGTGAAGACTTGACCGGGCAGAGCAAGCCCAAAGATCTACCTTTGAGTTTAGGGGCGAACCTGCCGACAGACCTGCAGAAATTCTTTCGAGAAAAGTACGCACCCGCATTCCTATGTCAGTCTGTAATGCGCTACGAGAAATATGAAGATAATTTCACAGATCAGGAAAAGAAGAACATGCGATATTGGTGGGACGGAAATGTGAGCGTTAAGCGACATAGCAAATCCCTGATGAATATGTGGAAGCTAACCGTGCTTTCTGTCATGTAGGGCGACAAATGCCTTGCAAAGTCGAAGGAGTATGCCGAAATCAACCGCCGGGCTTCTGTTGAAGCCGTTAGCCAATTCAATGCGGATGTACTTGACAAATATTTCGACGACAACCCGAAAGAATGGGCCTGCACTCTTTATGCCGCTTTGAAGGACAAAGGTCGAATGTTGACATATCTAGCACATCCTATGCAGGGCGTAAGTAAGACCATTACACTTATATCGGGAGCCTTTATTAATGCGACGTTTCGTTCAGAACGTCAATGTGATCAACCGCGAGTGCTGTATCCTTGACGCGTTGGCACCATCGGAGGGATTAGCCGACCAGTGGTTCGAATATTTCGTTGGCTTTGCCAGTGAGCGTCATCTTCACTATCCATACATTGACCCGGATGAAGAACTGGCTGGTCAATGGCTACATGATTCCATGAGGGATCTTATTCAACGTGTTCTTGAGGGAGATCCTTCCGTCGACGAAGATGTGCGCAAGGGCCTGGAAAAGGACATAGAGGAGTTTGAAAAGGCGAATGGACTCGACCAGACTGCAACTGCCGAGGCCAGGGCCAGCAATATCGTGGAGAAGGGGGCGATATTTTTCGCAGAAGCGAAAAAGTGGCTGACCGCAGTCGGAAAAGGTCTTGCGGTTGCCTTGCAGGGCACGAGGCTGTTTCAATTGGCGGATGCCAGTTTTGAACAGGTGACGAAAGCTATCGGGGACAGCTTGCCAGGGATTAAAAAGCTGAAACCGCTCGCTACGATAGGCATGGTATGTCGTGGAGTCTTGCTCTGCGATTGTATCGGGCATGGTAAAGCTGATCGAAGTTCACTAGGTTGCGTTTTATGTATTTCAACTTGCGTCGAGTCTCTATGGGCTGATCACGGATTGGAATAGCATGGAGGATGCTAAGAAAGCAGTGGTAATATTGGAGATGATACAGACCGTTGTGAGCGGCATTGGTCAGGCTCGTGATGCCTGGAACAAGTACAAAAACAGGGATACTGCCACGACTCCAGAGGACGCCTTAGATACCGCGGCTCTAGACCAGGGAGTTGAAAAATCTGTTGCAAAAAGTGGAGGCGGCCTTGCTGAGATGTCCGACGAAGTCAATGGCGAAGGCACATTCAACGAGATTGTTGGCGACCACTTGCTCCCAGAAGGCCCAGCTACCGAGACCAACACTGCAGAAGGGTGGAACGACGGCAGGGATACGCCGCCAGAGAATGTCCCGGCCGGTGGAGAGGAAGTGGTGGGAAAGTGGAATGTATCGGGAAATGCCGTCAAGATCCTCAACGCTTTCTTGGGTATTGGATTAGTTATCGCAATGACCTTCAGGTCGGTTCCCTCTGTTCACTCCGCTGGGTACTTGTCTGGAATCCACTAACAAGGCACAGTTTGGTGCAGGATTGGGACAAATTGACAACGGGAGGAAAGATCATTAACACGATCGCTCTGCTTTCGCAAACACTCACGGTGATTTTGGACATCGTCGAAGTGGGCTCATCCATTGGACTGTATACAGTCACAGGGGTATTCGCCACAGTACTGCCCGTACTCGGGGCTGTGCTCGCCGTTCTTGGCGTTGTAATGATGCTCATCAACCTGTTCGTGAACTTGTTTGGTGGCTCTCCACCTCCCGACCCGGTGCAGGAGTTCATCGACCATGTAGCCAAAGGCCTAGTCGGGGGATTTGAAAACGCGCCGCCGCCGAAACTCGACTATACCATCCCCAGCGTCATCTACGAATCCGGCGAAGTGACCGGCATCACCATCAAGGGCGAAAACACAACGAACGATGAGATCAGCATCCCTAATGCCCGGATTGTTGTGAACAGCGGCAGCGACGACGTCTGTCTGTTCTCTACGGATGATTTCGAACTGGTGGAGGATACAGACACCGACAAGGATTCGGATAAACATCTCTATGTAACTCCGAACAGCACAGCCGAGGGGACATTGTCCAGTAGTGTTCTGGGCGACGAGACAGAGTACCACGAGTTTGATCTAGTGGTCGGTGGGAATAAGAAGGATACGGAGAACAGTTTGCACAAACTGATTTTGCAGGCCAAGGAGAGCTTCACAGCGGTATGGACGGGGCGAATCAACAAGAGCGGTCGGAGCGTGGTCGAGATCAATGAGAAGTCGGACCTTGACAAATGCCATGTTCAGTATACGGTGTTCAGGGTTTAACAGCCCGAATCCGCTATACTTGCCTGTTTCAGCCAACAGATTGATCTTAATATTGATATGGTGTGCTTTTTAGCCAACAGAATGAAACACGGATGGCTTTGATACCGGCACGGGGTTATCCTTGCGATCGTATTCGCCAGTGCCTTGAAACTGATAATTAAAAATCCCTCAGGAATAATTGGATGCTTTGAACATACTGCATCTCGGTAGTAAGACACAGGCCTCTTGTCCGTGGAAGTGATGCGACCGTGATGGAGTGGATGGAATAGAACCATCTAGAGCCAGTTAGTTCGGTTGGGCAGTTAGTAGATAGTTAACTAGATACTACTAGTAGTAGTCAGTCAGTCAGGTGCTGCCGGTCGGGCGGGCCAGAAACTTCGTAGTAGTTAGCGTCCGGTCGGACAAGGCGAGCGAAGAAGAAGGAAAAATCAGGGCGAGAGCGTGATCAACAGGGGGTGAGGCAGCTGCTAGTCTAAGCATTCATCACATCAACACCACCGCCATCACCACCACCAACACACGTCGCCTGATCGGGGCGCGTAGATAGTAGTCCTCCCAGCATCGTTCATACGATTCTCAATTAATTAATTATTCTTGAAGATCATCATCATCAGGACTAAATAGTAGTCGTCATCAATTGATCATCCCTTTCCAACAATGATGTGAAAGAAAACGGTCGCATGCCATTGACGGGTTACACAGAAATGCCAGGACTGAGAGGAATTGAGGGCGGGGGGAAGGGAAGCAGCATGTGCGATGTAGCGATGTAGCAACCTGTTACGAAACAAGAAAGAAAGTAAACTAAGCAAGAGGCCCGGGCGCGGCGGAAATATCCCCGTGACAGGAAACATTCTGCTTGGCGTGGTGGGTGGTGCCGATTTGCCGCTGGGTTTTGAGTTTCACTTAGGAGTATACCACAGTCATCAATTTGTTTTGTATGGTTCCATCTAATCAGCGGGTGATTGATTGATTCATGGGATTGATTGATTGGATTCGAGGTGATGAGTTTACGTTCCGTTCCGTTATCCGGATTATCGTCGACCAACTAATCTACCACTCTTCGTGAGTTCGGACCTGAATTGATCGGCAGGCAAGCATTGCTGCTCGGTACCAAGTAATCCTGATACTCAGATGGGCTAGTATACATTTTTTTTCCATTGTGGTTCTTTTTCATCCTGGAAATGACTGAATTGAGTGAAAGGACAGATCCTTGGCAGATATCGTGGTACATCATCGTGCCTCGTCATCAATCATCATGAAGAAAGGATTATGGAATGAGGAGATTGACCGATTTTTGGCTATATACGTGTACACTTTGGTGGTGTGGAATGACGATCGCAGAGCAAATTTGGCCAGGCGGTGTATGTGTATGATGGGTGTGGTATAGTCATATGTTGGGATGTAGTTACGGTGTGTGTGTGTGTGTGTGTGTGTGTGTATCCATCACATCTAGACCTCAAACTAAGAAATCAAGCCAGAAAAAGAATCGGAGAATTATTAAAGTTTCAGCCCGGACATCACCAGCGGAAAGTTCTCCTTCAGCTGCCATGGTACAGAGCTTGGACGGGAAGGGGAGAATAATGGATGGGGGGTGAACCCGATGGCCACTCTTTCCGGTCGGGATCCCGTGTTGCAACAACACCTCGCATTCCTCATTGACTAAGTGTAAGTGAAGGGGGGGTGGTTGGGGGTTGGAAGAATTACGTACAACTTGGGTCGAAGTCTGATGATCTCGACTGATCTATGGAAGTAAATATGATAATGATAATGGTAATTGCAATGGCGAAATCTATCAACCCAACGCGCCGATTTAACCGAGTAGTTCACTATCATGAGAAATATCGGTGGTGGTGGTGGTGGTTGGGTGTGAGTAATGAGTAAACTAGTAAGAGTGTTGGGTAAACGAGAAAAAGTTTTTTCCTTCTAGACTACCGTCGACTTAGACTTGGACCTTCTATGCGTGATTTGATAAGGGTGGCGTTGCTTGTTGCTTTCCCGTTTTTCGCACGGACTAAACCCGAAGCAGAGCAGCTAACCACGTTCTAGTCCTCTGCAATCGCCCGTCGGATCCAAAGTGCCGTTCGGGCTTGATTATTTTTGGAATGGGGCCTGGGTGATTTTGCTGTTCGCATGATCAGCAAGAAAAAAAAAAAAAAAAAGGAAAAATCGGATGGGACAACAAAATAGCGCAAGTCAGGAACAAGGAGTCATAGAGTACGTAGTCGACAAGAGAAAAAAAAGTTATATAAACTCCCTTCTGGTACCGTCGATTTGCAACTTGGAATCATCATCATCATCCAACAAAGCAAAGCAAAGCAAGCTAGCTTCTTTTCCTTCTCTCTACATCATCGCATTCCAAAACCTCCACACAACTCAAGTCTATATACCGCAGACTTCCTCTTACAACCAATTACAACCCAATAATCCACATTCCTCAAAACCACCTTCAAAATGACTATCCCTTATCCCTTGATCGGCCCTGAGTCCTACGGCCTTGGCTCCAAGCAGGCGCGCCGCAACCGCAGCACTTGCAGCACCCCTCGCAGCGTTGACAGCAACGTCGTCGATGCCGCTTTCGCCAAGGAAATCCAGTCCACCAACGCCTCCCAGGAGCATTTGGATTCTTGTGCTAGCAGCAACAAGTCTGAGAAGAAGTGGAAGGCTCGATTCTCGAGGAAGTATGTTATCCCTTGAGTTCATCAATATCGAATATAATAAGAGTGCGATGCTAACGATGAAACTTAAAGGTTCTTCCACTTCCCTTGAGAAATTACCACACCACACACACTACACTACACTACACTACGAACAAAAACGACAAACATAATCGACAATAATAATGATCGCTGGACGGAATATAGCAAAGCAAAGCAAAGCAAAGCAAAGCATGGGTGTTAGATGGATTGCATAGTCGGGAGCATTGGTTTTTTTTTTGCATCATATCATGATTGTTATGGATAATTTAGATAATACTTAATTAATACCCGCGGGATATGCACGCTTCTACCTGTCTTCCTGGTATCTTCACTCAAGTATAGAATAGACACTGATACGAACACTTAATGGTACGGCATCGGAAAATTAAATCCTATCCTACATATACTACTACTATGTACACTGCAGAAAAACCTGCTAGAAGATATCGAATAATCCCTGTTGTCACACGCACATCATACACCCACAAACTATAGCTCACTACTAACTAGATAACTAGTTAGATAAATGCAATGACTCAAACCGGTTTCAATTTTCTAGAACAGCCTAGACACAACAACTCCCAGATAACACTAGCGACACTAGCGGCCAGTAATATCTCAGAGAAGAGAAGAAAATCTCCTCTCTTCCCTCCCGACGCTAACGATTTTAGTCCCGCTCGGATAGAACGGCCCTGCCCTGCCACGCCACGCCACTAGATTTCTACTTTACGCCACGGCGATCCAATCAGTTAGGAGGTGGAGATGATGCTGAGGAATAGGCCAATCATGGGGGTTAGTTTTCGATAGTTGGTAGATACTAAGTAGTTAAGTGTCAAGGGTGTCTGCTGATGGGGGTATATGATCGTTCTGCAGGTGATGATGGTGGGGACTTTGATTATACGTAGTGTACTAGTTTGTAGGATGGGGAGGTTTGGAATTAAGGTAAATTAGTTGGTGGATAGTATGATTGCTATATGGTATGCTATCAGGGGTAAGGGTAGTAAATTGTTCATTTATCGCTGGTTTGGAGCTAGAGTTGCAAAGTAGGTAAATCAGGGGCAGCCTCACCACTTTACTTACAAGGCGATGCTTACTGCAGTACAAAGCACTGCGTAGTGAGCGATTTATTGCACAGCACTGTTCAAAGCACAGTGTGTTTCATCCCATCCCCCTTGAGTTACTTAGTAATTCTGTCATGGTGACTGGTGGTTTCATGTTACACTACGGCGCTTAATGTCATGTCTGCTTCCGGATACTCCATACTACGTCTGAGACAATTCTTTTTTTTTTCTTTTCGTAAATCTCGTTCATTCATCGTAACTGCATCGCATCTATGTAATGGTCGGATGATGCCTCGCCCTTTCCATGACCCCTTGGATCACAATGACATACTACCCATGAACCCACCCACAGGCTGCTATATTTAGCAAGCAAGCAAGCAAGCATGCACATCAAAGTCCATGATGCCACGACCTGTGGAGACTCAGGGAACATGGGACCCTCCTGAATATCACTGCAACACAGGACAGACCCACGGATAAGGAGCGATCAGACAGAAAGAAAGAAAGAAAGACAGGGTGAGAGTGGGTCCAGAAGCTCCGATCAACCCGACCGGATTCGGTCGGTCGGTCGGTCGTTAAGTCTTGGCCATCAGTATGACAGCCCAAGACACAGCTTCCCATCCCAGCTCATTCTATCTGGAAGAGTCAGATGGTCCCTTGCTGTCGGATTCTTCTTTGTTTCCCTGACGCCTGTTTCTGGCAGATTGGCCCCAGGTATTCAGCTGGTTAATGTTCCTTGGGGTGGTGATGAAGCTAGCTTGCGCTTCAGTGATCTGAGCACCACCACTACCTCCAGACTTCTTGTTGTTGTTATTGTTGTTGTTGGTGGAGCCGGTTCTGTCAGACATTTTGGATATATTGTAAACCGTTAGCAAACTGCGGTGGGTATACTATATGTCAGTGTTATCTTGGGTTGTTTGAGTGAGATTCTCGAGAACAACTGTTCAGATACTATCTGGGGGAGAAGCTGGAGCTGTGAGGCTGTGAAGACCGTTGTGAGCGATGAATTCGAGATTGGTGTGGTTTCTTCATGGTTTATATAGACAATGTTCTCTTCATCTTGACTTTCGTGATCAATGGTTGAAATATTCGTGAAGCTGCTTTTCCCGGTGTCGTGAGAAATTCATCGCGAGATTTCATCTTGCAGCGTAGGTTGTAGAGGAGTATACCGCCAACGTAAGGGAGTCACTATGAGGAATATGTATCAGTAAACGGTAATCCCTGAGAGCATTCGGAATACGTCTGGTTATTGGAGGAAGATAGAGAGTTCATCATGGGATATGCTTAACGGGACGAAAAACAGATTCAGGGAGCACTGCATCTTTGGTCATTACCGCAATATAGCCGTATATTTCTCATATTGATTCCGGAGAGGAATTCAGGAGATGGCTGAGGCAGAGGTCGAGTTAGAATATACAATTAACCTTGTAAGACCTAAAGGCGCTGCATCTCTGGTTTGTACCGCAATATCAGCGTACAAGCCTCCTATGAACAACGAAGAGCATCCTTGAAACTCACTGAGCGAAAGTTTAAACGTCTGTTCAATAAGCTGTTGTCGCAACTCCTCACAGCCATACTACTATGGTCGTAGGAGCAAGCCGTAACACCCACAGCTTGCGATTTTCGAAAGAGAGACAAGAACCGTGGCGCTTTCTTGCTGCAGAGCGAAGTTTGCATCTTGTTGATTCTAGAACAATTCGACAAAGAAAAGGAAGGGAACGAGGCTTTGTGGGTAGAAGCACGGGAGGAAGGAATGAAAAGAAAGAGGAGAAAGAAGCGACACGGGATAAACTGACAATGGGCTCGTGACTTGCCAAAGGAGTATCACGATTGAATTTTCTTGTCGGAGCTTGCGCATTAGAAATTGCACCTTATTCCAGGCTTTATTGTCATTCTATAACTTTCCTGACAGTCTCGATTGGTTCCGGCTTGTGTAGGACTGCTCCAAAGTGAAGATTAATATGGTGCAATTTGTTCAAGGAGTGACCAGTAGATTTGTAACGGAAGAATGGTATGTCTATTGTCTATTTTGTTTAGAATGCTGGCATTATAATCACAGTGATTGTCCAATTACGCTGCTCTTTGATCCCCTCCACGTCTTCCACGGCCCCTGCCGCGCGTACTCTTTTGTCTCTTCTCAAAACCACCTCTGCCCTCGCCTGGTCCACCGGCACTGGCATCGCGCTTGCCACCAGGACGACCACGCGGCGCAGAAGAAGCACCTCGAACCGAGCTACCCCCGTTTCCATAATTGAATCCCGGAATACCCTTCAAGCCCATCTTGCCGACGATCTTCTTGTCGATGACAGGAGGCTCAGGACATGCCATGCCTTGGATAGCCATGTCGTTGGCCATCTGAACAAGACCCGTTTTGTCGAGACGAAGCTGCTTCAGGAGCCCCGATCCAGCAAAGAAACCGATGAAAGACGAGTAGGCGCGTTGCTTCTTCTCTTCGTCAATCGTGTACATAGCTTCTGCGACAGTATCTGCATACGAGGCAGCCGCCTCGATGATGGCGTCGGTCTGGGGGTGAGGCTGGATGGGCAAGTGGCGATTGTTTCTCAGGAAGAAAGTCTCCGCTTCGGTAAGAAGGATAATGGCGCGGCCATCATTGCCAGCACGGGCTGTACGGCCGACACGGTGAACGTATTGTTCACCGTTTGTCGGCAAGCCAACCTGGATGACCAAGTCGACGTTGGGGAAATCCATGCCACGGCCAATGACGTCGGACGCAAAGAGGATTCCAGCGGCAGCTTCCTTGAACTGAGCGGTAGTCTTGGTGCGAGCGCTCTGACTGAGTCGGGAATGGATCTCAAATACACTCAACTTCGTCAAGCCCCGAGAAAAGGCAGCCGCGAAGAGACTGACCATGTTTGCCGTGACGCCAAAAACGATAATCTTCGAACTGTTCTTCGTTTCCAACTGGAGAACGGAGGCAAGAGTGGTAAAAGAATCTGCCACAGACGGCATCAGTACATGATACTGGGGGACTCTCTCATGCGTTGGGGTTTCGTTTTCATCAATAGTAGAAATGCTACTGTAGCCTGGCTTGAGCACAACGCTGACCACATCCCTAACTTTGGGGGGAAGAGTGGCAGAGAAGCACATTCCCTGCCATCCGGCGCTTTTGGGGGGAATGTGTCTGATAATGTGCTTCACATCAGCTAGGAAGCCACTCTCGAGCATCGTATCAGCCTCGTCCAGAATCAGGGTCTTGATGTTAGACAGCTTGATGGCCGCCTCAGGCTCGGACAGGTAATCTTTCAACCGTCCTGGAGTTGCTACAAGAACAGAGGGGGCCTCTCTCATGAAGCGCGAGAAAGCAGAAGCCCGAGCGGTTCCACCAACAGCAATGTCGCACTTCAGAGGTACTGCCATTTGCGATGTCAGTTGATCACATGACTTGGCAATCTGCTGGGCCAGTTCACGCGTAGGGGTAACGATCAAGACAGCGACCTGGCCTCTGGGCGGTGCCATAGAGCCATCAAGAAGGCAGTGCAATGTGGGCAGGAGGAAAGCCAACGTTTTGCCGGTACCAGTCTTAGCCTGGACGAGGCAGTCACTGCGCCAATCTGGCAGTTCAGTTAGCACCCGTTGCTGAACGGGCGTCATATGGGTGAACCCCAAGACATTCAGAGCTTGGAGAAGCTTAGAGTCCAGCTTTCCAGCCATGGACTCATACGGCACCGTGCCGACGGTGGTTCCAGAAACCTGCATGATGGATGGTTGAGTTTCTATTTTTATAGAAAAACCTGCAATTAATTGCTAGAGGAAATTTTCGACAGGTGAAAATATTGACGACACTTGGGCAAATGGCCGTTTTTACCTGCAAAAAGCAAGGCAGTGGAACAGTGAGTGAGTTTGCTCCCTTCTCATTTCCCTTTTCACTTTGGATATGATGGTAATGATTCTGCTGCTTGGAGGGTGTGAATAAACCGAGTCGTGGGTCACTTTCAATCTCGTCGAGATTTGCCTGCCAAGACAAAACTTAGTAAGCGCGCAATGATTGGTTGCCTTGGACCCACGGCCTTGGAATGGAGTGCGGGCCGCCCATCTTTATCGGAAAGCGAATAGGAATTTCCCTTTGCGAAGCTTGTCCATGGCGCTGACGGGCATGCTGAATTTTACATGCATAGTGAATTCAGTTTTCATTGGTAGATGTATCGAAGGATCATGGAATATAAGTGGAACATCCCGGACTTGAAAAAATTGCTGATTGCAAGGAAGAGTCAGACACTCTCTAACGTGTAGAAGAAGAAGGCTAATGGAATTACGCGGAGATAGGACGCCGTACGAAACCTGCTTTTGAAACTATAGCTCATATAGACAGGGCTAGACCACCCGTGTCCCCTACTCCGAAATGAGTACTGCAGAATGACGGGAGCTACCGCCCATATGCATGATGCTAATGTCACAGACTGCTACAACTAGACCAAAAAGAGATATTCCTCGGATAGTGGTGGGCTTCGAACTACCGACATACTGTCCAATTTCAGACTACGAAGGATACTACGCTAAATAGCTTGATGCACTCCAAATGACCAGTACATTGGTACCAAACAACTACCTGTTTCACATATCATACGACTGCTCAGTATTTACATACACAATCGTTCAATCCACACATCCACCGCTTACTGGACAGTGATGGACGAAGATCCACTGCTCTGGTAACCCTCGGTAGCCACGATCTGGTAGTTGTGAGTACCCAGGTTCATTCCCAGCTTAGCCCAAGCATTGAAGTGGTTGGAGGTGGTAACAGTTCCGCCAACTCTCTTGTTCTGGCGAACGGACCAGTACTGAGTGAAGGTAGCGGTTCCCTGAATGGAAGCGGCATTGGTACGGGTAGCCGTGTAGATATCGTAAACGGATCCGTCCGAGGTGACGGTGCCCTTGTACGTGCCTCCACTGCCGGGGTTGTAGTCGCCGTAGGACTCGACGATGTAGTACTCGATCAGGGGGTCAGTGGTCCAGCCATAGACGGAGAGATAGCCGTTGCCGCTAGGGGTGAAGGTGCCGCTGTAGGTGATGTCCCTGGAGGTGATGTGAGTAATCGTTTCATTTGATCCTTTAAAGAGATAGTGTGAGGATGTTTAACTTACTGCGCACTTCCGGGGTTCCAGCCCTTTCCACCGACAAAGTTGCCCACGTTGGACCACTCAACAGTGTAGGCGCCAGCATCTCCGTTGGTGTAGGTCACGTCGCCACCGCCGTCGGTCCAGAAGGAGTAGTAGAAGCCATTGTTCTCGCCGGTCGAGCTCGGGGTCGAGCGCTCAGAAAGCATGTGCAAGGCATCCGAACGCTGGGCGACAGAGTCGTGGGGAACAGCCAGAGCAGCCTTAGCCGCGGCAAAGCAGAGGAGAAGGTTCTTGGTGAGCATGATTGTTGATTGATGATATAGCTTGGAAGATGATTCACTGAGGCTGGGAGTCAGAAGAGAAGGTCTGCAGAGACGGAGGAGACGTTCCTGATATACCCATGATTCTGCAGGAGTATTTAGCCTTTATTAAGAAGGGTCCCTGCCGAGACCCTGCCCAGGCGCTAAATGTGAACCGCTGTTGTACCTGAAACGTCCACTGTGATGGGTTTTAGCCTAGTCGGTGGACCGTCCGTGAGCGATTGGGAATGCCGGATTGATCTCCCGAATCAGCCTAAATCGCCTTCCAAGGTGCTGCAGGTATCCTGGGATTATTATGTCTGTTCAAATAGGCAGTGGAGCTTGAAGGGTCTAGACTTGCTTAGGTGAACACTGCAATCCGCCTGTATAGACTGACTCCATTGTTGTGGTAATGCATCTTGGGCCAAAGGCTTCAGTATCCATTACGTAAGACCCATAGTTTTGGCTATCACCCAATCATCGAGAGCGCTGTATACTACTTATCAGTGAAGGTGCTAATTTGAGCTACTTCGCATGAAACTGTTAGTTTGTATGAAAGAAGGTGGAGGAGAAGCGTGTACAGTACCGGTTCTATGACGGTCAAATGGAAAAGGCTAGGCGCCAAACACTATTTTGATATTAGCCTGTGGCTAACAAAGATCCGATTGCTCAAATAGCTGCCCTGTAGCATAGGTTGCCAATACTTGACATCTTATTTTGAATATAGGCGACATACTTTGCCATGTAGAAACAACGCCACGCTTCTTGTCGGTAGTAATTTCCGAGGGCTTACGCAGTGCAGTATGATGAAATTATTTATCATTGAGTGCTGCTAAGTCTGTAGGCAGCTGAGCAATAGCGAACATCAAGTGCATCATTGTGATGCAGAAAACGGCAGCGAGGATCAAAATACATAAGCAAGCCCGTCATGACAAAATGGAAAACAACAGGCTAGTAATAAAACAGGCTAACATAGAGCATCACGTTGATGAAAGTATTATAGCAAGCAAATCCATCTCATCATATAAAGCTCTATCACCTCAGCAATAGTCATTTGTATCGTATTCTGGATAAATGTGATCGAGGCTGCAAACTGAATTGCCGCCCAGATAGAACGAGGTAACTATGATCCAATCATCAGTATGGGTCACAACACTCATAATGATGACAACATCAACATGTAAAGAAACTCACGATCAACAGGCAGATTGCTGCTTGGGTTCTTGATCACGACCTGGCTTTCTTCGGCCGAAGTCAGGCTATTCTCGCATTTCAGCTGCTCTGTGCCGTAAGTGGTTGAGTTTCCCCCCAACCATACGTCGACGTGCCAAATATGGCTCTTCCAATCTTTTGTGCACTGTTCGCAATAGTCTTCGTTGATCAGATATTTCTGTAGGTACGGCGAGTAGACGACCTCGCATCTGTCGAATTCGCCAGGCGCCGTGGCGAAAGTCAGCGGGTTCTCGTGGGTGCCGATACCGCCGGCGGCCATGCCGCGACCACAGTCTTCGGAGATATCTGAACCCGGAGGGTCATTGTCGGGATATCCATAGAAGGTGTAAGATACTTTGCTGACAACATGGCATTCCCCATCCTGGGACTGGCTTCCTCCCTGTACGGGCTGTGTGTCAGTTACATTGACAACTCCATTTGGCCACTGAGAGTCCTCCCCATTAGAAGTAGCACCTGGCTGATGCGGAACATCACCGGTCGGAGTGGCACCCGTGGTATGAGTGCCAGTTCCATTTTGAAAACCGCCTCCGTCGTAAGTGTTTCCATCGGGATCCATAGGATAGGTGTCATTCCCTTGAGTAGTACTTACTCCAGTGTTATGGCTACCTCCATCGTGGTTATTGTCGTGCTTAAGCTTTTTAGGGAGCAAGACTGAGAGACAGACAACTGCAACGATTATGGCGACGAGGGAAATGGTTCCGAGAAGGATCGACACCAGGTATTTGCGTTTGTATCTTGGACCTTTGGTTGGCTGCACATTATTTGGAGCTGGGAGATAGCTGGCAGTTTGATCGGAAGACATTATTAGGCGTAGATACGGGAATGTAGAAATTATATGTAGTAAATCAAGAGCGTGTGGGTTGATTGCAGGGTAGACGGTTTGTGTTGTGGTGGTTTGGAAGAGAACAAAGAGAAAAGGGGCTTAAAAACTCAGGAACAACATGTTCTCGATAAACTCATCGCTACGTCTGCAGGTTGAGTCACAAACCGGGGTCAGCCACGGTTCAGATCTCAACCATGAGCAAACACCGGGGTAACCCATGATGCGCTACATAAACAGTAAGTATGAGGGTGGCTATGCAACATAGATGCCTGGGAAAGCAGGCCGTAATGACTGCGTAGCCGACGTGATAAGGTTGAGAGAAGAACATTGTATCGCCCTTTGAAGTCGCCGATATATTGATTGCCAATATCCTTTCCGTAAAGGCTCTAGTTTAGTATTGTTGGATACTGGCTGTCCTCGACTGGTCGGAAGATGTTAGAATATAGGTGAGGACGCCATCACGCAACTTCAATGATACATCGCTGACATGCAGGATGTCGGCCAGGGGCCTAGCACCCTCACGCCGCATCGATCCCTTCTGAAGTACTTCAGCCCCGGGTTTGTAACCAGTGTATCTGCATCTGGGCGTCTCGGCATAAGGCGCGGCGTCAGCGTGGTGAGCGACATACATCATTCGAATTAATAACGACAGAATAGCGTAATAGATATCCCATATGGTTTGCCACACTATTTCTGCGATACATCTTGCTGGTAAACATTGGTTTTATCGAGGAAGCATGTCCGCTATTTGATTATCGAAGAACTGAGATAGATCCCTCCAGACTCCATGCTAAGACATCCTGACTTTAAAAACCCAGCCTTATCCACGTGATCAAGTATTTGTAGAGAGGGATAAGGCTTATGGACGAGGATATTCAGAGATAAGCTAAGTTCACTGAATATCCGTGCTCATCATTGCGTCTTCGCTATAAACAGAATCAGCCAGGTTCAAGAACCAAATTTAAGCGCTGTACCAACCTAGTATCCATATCATCATCTTCATTAAGCGAGAGATATATGGTCGACTGGCTGGGTCCCATCCCCCCGGGTTGTCCAGCAGCGGCATTTCGATAGCTGACCAAGTCGCCGCGTGCAATGGCCAGGATAGAAGCTGTACCATAATCCAGTGGGTGATAGACCGCAAGCAGAATACCCCGCATAGTAGGAGGAATGGCTGGATTGTAGTGGTAGATCGCGTAGGTCAAGCTATCTATATTCTCAATAGCTCTCTGAAACTGTTCGGCTCGGTTCCGGTACTCTTCTGTACACGGGAAATATAGCCACGTTGTACTAAACTGCCACTGAGAAACGTCAGGATCATCGGCCATATTGAGTCTTTTAAAGACGGATATTAAGGAGGTTGTAAGAGCCAGCGCGCGTCTGATGAAATAGAGAAGTTAAAAGAAGTGAGGAGTTGACAGAGGTGAGGTTGGAAGAGGATGCCGTATTTATACTTCTACCTCCTAGCAGTCACTTATCTCAGTAAGTCGAATTCAATATGATTATTCCTCTGGCCGGTAACACGGCTTGCCGAACATATGATAGCCATTCCCACATTTGTAAGTTTATGAATGCAGATGTCTGCGTATCTTGAAATTCACAAAGGGAGGTTGCCTCAGTGAAGACTCGTGGCAACGCTCATAGATCCGGGCCCAGGGCCCGTTTATTTTTCTAAGAGGTGTTAGTCAATTTACGACAAGGAAACGAGAGAAGTATAACTGTGAAACACCTCATATCTGACTGTGTGGGTGACATCGTGCGATGGCCGTCAAGAAAAATGAGCCACAGCAATTAGGCATTCAGGAGTCCTCAAATCCAAGGCGTACACCATCCACGAAAGCCCTAAGTATGAGCACTCACAGTTTGGTTCAGATAAGGTGCACTGATGCTCGGAGATACTGGTCCTCCGAGGTGGAAGCCCGAGGGGCATGTACGTGAAAACACGCACTGACAAGGTTGCAGCGTGACTGGGAGACAAAAAAGTAGTACTCTTATAATCTGGATATTGGAACATAGGCTATACTCTCGTATAAACCAGCTTGGTCGTAATTCAATAAGAACTCCTGCTTTAGTGGTCAGCTATATGGGGTTAAGCTCAAGGATAGATCGTATTGGGCTGTTTAAATGGCTCCACTAACTCTAAATCGTTTTTCAAGCTGGATAAGCATTTAAGGTTCAAACTGATATTATCCAGGTGGGTATAATGGTCTATCCCATCTGTGTGATCAACTACTAATCTTCTGCCTTATGACTCTTCTTTCAATCGGTGGGGTAATTGGATGCACCACACAAGAGTTGCCATCATTTCTTGTCGCGACGCGCGTCAACTTCATCGAATCAGACGGCCCGACAGGCAACAGATAGCCACTAGTACTCCATAGCCATCACCTCATCAATCAGCACGAAGGCGTCACCACCAAGCTTCATCGGAGTCCACTGAGCTGTGGTGATGTATCGCTAGAGAAATGTCCGTGCGTCGGCTCTCGCCTACGATAACAATTTGGGACCGTCGAACCAGCGAGCTTCTCCCCGTCTAGTTGGTTGTTGGCAATCATATGAATAACATGGGCTGATATAAAAGTATTCCTGCCAGTATATATCCAGCGAAATTGCGCACTCACAGGGCACTCAGCACGCAATTGGCGCTAATAGCATGTCACCATCAGCTCATCCTGGCCGCTCAGCGAAGGCCATGGGAAGTCATGGGAGGCCCGATCGAGGAGATCACTTATATCTCAGGCTGAGCCTGTCTTTAGTCGCCCTGAATTGTTCCGGAGATTTACTTCTGCATCCATCTCCACATAAGGCAACAGCACCGTTACCATGGCGCTTTGGAATTTTCCCAAGCTCAACTCCACGCTAGGGACGTTGAGAGCCTATCACTTGGCCGCAATCATATTGTGGGAGATGCCCCTATTGCCTACTTCATTTTATGTGACCACTAACCTCGAGACCCTTTCAGCGTCTCCTCGTTCTTGGCAGGTTATGACTCCGGCATTGCGGGCGGAATTTTGAGCTACAAGACCTTCGAGAATGACTTTCGCTATACTAGCGGCCATGAGTCTAAGGTCTCTTCCTTAACGGTCGGCCTGGAGCAGCTCGGATCCTTCGTCGCATCTCTCTTTGCCTATTATCTCACCGACAAGTTTGGGCGCAAATGGGTTATCATCGGGTCAACTGCTGTATTCTGCATCGGAGTGATCATTCAGGTCATCAATACCCACTCGCTCGGTGCATGGTATGCAGGCCGCATTATCGCTGGTATTGGCATGGGAGGTCAAAGTGTTGTTGTTCCCATGTACTCCGCCGAGATGACGCCGAAGGAAATCAGAGGGCGATGCGGTTCCTTCTACCAATGGCTCTACACATGGGGCATCCTTGCGGCTTACTGGATAGACTATGTACGTGTACTGGACGGCTGTTATGCCTGGTTATTGACTGACATTGAAATGCATAGGGCGTCGCAGCGAGTGCAAGTATATCGAAAACATCACGCGAATGGCAGATCCCCGTGGGTCTCCAGCTGGTCTCGGGAGGAATCATGGCGATCGGCGCATGTACACTGCCCGAGTCCGTACGCTGGCTACTAAGCCAAAATAGAACCGACGAAGCTTGGAAGTCCTTGACCTGGATTCGCGGTGACGAAGGGGAGAAAACCATCGAAGAGTTTAAAGAGACACAGCTCGGCTTGAAGGCAGAGAAGGCAGCGAAAGAGAACTTTTCTCTTCGTGAGCTGTGGGAACCGGCTAATCGCCTGCGTTTCTGCGTCGGGCCTATGCTTTTTGTTTTTCAAAACGCAACGGGAAGCAGTGCCCTTGCTGTCTTCGCACCAGAATACTTCAAGCTCCTTGTCGGAAGCGGAGGTAATCGCGATCTTCTGCTCACTGGTCTTTTCGGTGCTGTGAAATTCATTGCTTGCACGTTCTTCATTCTCTTCCTCGCAGAACGATTCGGCCGTCGAATTCTGCTCACAGGCGGATCAGTCTTCATGGCGATTTGTATGTTGATTACCGCCTTGATCGTCAAGTGTATCCCGACCGAGTCGAATACGTCGGTTACATCTGCCGGCCGAGCCACGGTCGCCATGCTCTACTTGGATATCATGGTAGGCAAATTTCGTCCTATAGCCAAGTGACTCAGTGTCTAACGTGCTACACTAGGTTTACAATTGCTCATGGGGTCCGGTCCCCTGGGCATATGTGCCGGAGATCTTCCCCACGCGCATTCGAGCCCTGGGACTAGCATGCAGTATGTTGGCTCACTGGGCAACATCATTCTGTTTTTCCTTTGCTAGTCCCTACATGATCGACAACATCGGAGCAAACACCTTCCTGTTGTTCATGGCTTTCGATATTGCCGCTGCACTCTTCTGCTTTGTCTTTGTCCGTGAAACTCGTGGTCAGAATCTGGAGGTTGCCGCAGGGACCGAGTGGGACGTGGTTGAAAAGTCCGCTGATGGTCTGGCGGCAAGCGAGAAAGGCGAAGTCGACATTGATAGACCTTCAGAGATTGGAGTGGCACCTGCGGCTGGCAAGCAACTGGAGGTCGTTGCGGTGCACGATACTTACGGCTCGAATTTTAAGCGGCGGTCGTAAACTAACCACATATAATTATCGATCCGATACGATAAATTTATTTACGGAGGGCTGGTCATATGTCGTGAAGGGATGTGTTGCAAACATTTTGTCTGTTGACAGTATAAATATACAAGACGTGATCATTGCCATGCATTTCGATCCGCTCTTATAATTGCTAGGATATAATAGGACTTACCATTGCCTTAGAATTTTCTTAATTCACCAGATGCCATTGGGATTGATATATCCAGGCCTCTGACCACCCACCACGACTTGCCCACAAAAGGCCCATCAGGGAATGAACTCTTCAAATAAAAATAGAGAAATTTTAGATTTATACTTAGAATAGAAAAGTCAAAAACTGTCCATCATCACTTCCTGATTGCTTCACGTACTGTAGCCATTGACCCTGTAAAATAAGTACTAAAGTACAGACGTGAGGCTCGGGGTGATTCTCACGTGGTCCATTCCACTCGCTAGCGACTGACTGTCCAACTCAATCTTTGCCGTCAACTTCACCTTCCACTCCATGACTGTTGCCTTACTATTAACCACAGTCATCTCAGGAGGCTACATCCGCTCCATATAATGCTACGCAGTCATCCTTGGTCAAGATCAAGTTTCGGCTCAATGCTGTCATGGCAAATTTAAGATGCGACAATGGGGACGTTTCGATTTCTTTGAAGGACTTGCTGGAGGTGTAACCACAGCGGTGAGTACAAGCATGCCTCTCTCCCTATATCCTTTGTAATATAACCTCCTGTTGCAAATTGTATCTGATTTTTCCGTCGAATCACTATCCAGCTAATTATTTTGACGATCGTGACTCCATAGAGCATCTCAGGATAGTCGAAAGATACAGTAGCATCATATGTCATGAGTCATTGACGACAGTTGACATATATCAGTCTTGTTCGTATTTGATTCATGCTGGGATCATCTAAACTTCAGGCCAAGAAAGCTTAAAGAACCAATGACTTTCTAGAAGGGTAGCCCCGAAAGCGCATACACCAGAGGCAGATGATCCATGATCGAAAAGACGCTACGCATTTATTGCAGCCCCACGGGGTTGCTATAAGCAAAGGAATAAGATTTGGTATTTTTAAGACTGATCGGAAGATCTCTCAACTCGTGGGGTGCAAATCTAGTTTGTCGATGATGGTTCGTTAGGATGCAGGAGAAGCTGTGGCTTAAAAGCCATTGGAGGTCGTGGTAGAGGGCTACTTGGCAGCTGGCGATCGAAAGGCTACTAAACATGTTCTAAGGTTAAGGATACGAAACTCCGGCTAAGCCCTTTCCCCGTGTGCTACACTTTGAGTATTGTTTACGACTTTACGTTCCATTTTCACATTTTCTCCCCCCCCATCAGCAGACTCATCTTTCCCCCGACTTCGCCATCTTAAAACGCTCTTGATCACCTAATCTTACGACCAGGTGCCTACAGTGGCGTCTGGGGGGCCTAAACAACGTCGAACTAGGACATGACCCCGGTCAAGGGTCATTTGCACAGTCAACTCCTTCTCAAAGGCCATCGCAAAGTGGTGCCGCATCAAGAGCCGGGCAATTTGTTAGAGTTCGGCCGCTGCCGACGGCCGACAGCCGATGAAGGCCCAGACTCACCCGCACGGCCCGTGCCCGGCTGTGCGATACGGTGATTGGATACATTGCTCGCTTCTTTTCACCTCAATTGCGAGATCTGGAGCAGGAATCGTGTTCATAACCCCGAAGTCACAGTGCGACACGTTGACAACCACGCTAAGCTCAGGCACGTGAGGGGTGACGCCGCCACGTGGATCTGGCCGGTTCCTCTTTTTTTCGCCATGCCGTTGATTGTTCCCAGATTTCCCCAGATCCCCAACCAATCCCCCGTAGGGTAACGCAACGGGACATTTGGGGTTGCAGTAGGACCCTTTTGCTGACATGCATCTTCCTTACATCGTGCTCTCGTGCTTTTGGGAGTCATGTCCTTGTTCTCCTCCTGTAAGCCACGTGCTGCTTACCACTTCCGAATGAATCTCCTTGGTCAAATGGGCCACTACCAGCGAAGCTAACGGCTCCCGTATACTATTTCCGGGGTAATACCCCGGGTCGACTGAGCCCATGGGGTGAGGGTGTGTCACAGGCGGCTAAAGACTAGCCGGAAATTTTTTTTGGTGGCGTTTTCCACCGTCCTCGACTGGTTCTTTCGCTGGGAAATTGGGAGTCAGGACCATCGCGCTGACCCTCGCCAGTGGATGAACGCTACGAGTAAGCCAGCATCTTATCCCGACAATTGCCCGGAATGGCTTCTTGGCTGTTGGGCCTCAATTCGTAGCCGAGCCCTAACCAAACGCCACAAAAATGCTTTGCGCCAGATGCTGAGGTTCGGGGAGAGACGGCGTGCTTATAATACACGGCCTCCCTCGTGTTGCTGTCGCTTGGCGAGGCTTGACTTGACTGTTCTCCCGTTTCCCTGCGTGATTCTGCCTCTGTGTAACTCTCTTGGCATCTGAGGTGAAAGCTTGTCACCATGGTGGTCAGTCAATCAGTCGTTGGTCGTACCAACGCCGAGAAGCCTCATGGCTTGATGGGCATGCTCAAGAATCCCTATGTTTTTATGACATGTGCGTTCGCCTCCCTGGGTTGTATCATGTATGGATATGATCAGGGTGTCATGAGCCCCGTCCTGGTCATGGAAAACTTTGAGAACCATTTTCCGTACTTCATGGGCTCAACCGTTCAGGGTTGGCTGGTCGCTTCTTTGGAACTGGGTGCCTGGGCTGGTGCACTGTTCAATGGTTACCTTGCGGATCGCATTTCTCGCAAGTACTCTATGATGGTGGCTGTGGTGATTTTCACTCTGGGCTCTAGTCTTCAGGCTGGCGCCCAGAAGCCGTCGTACTTCTTTGCTGGTCGTATCGTTGGCGGTATCGGCATTGGAATGTTCAGTCAGGTAAGCTGTCTCCCTTTAATATTTTTTCTCTTGTGCTAATTCGGTGTAGGTTATTCCACTCTATCAAGCTGAGATTGCGCCTCCAGAGCTGAGAGGCTCGCTGGTGTCTCTGCAACAACTGTCTATCACCATCGGCACATCAATCGCCTTCTGGCTGGATTATGGTGCGCATTTCCTTCATTCTCCTTCCCTAATACACCGTTACTAACCATGAATCAGGAATGCAATACGTCGGCGGCACTACCTGCAACCCCGAAGGCATCGCCAACCCCTACCTCGCCGATGGCACCTACAACGCTGCGCAGAACCACGGACACACTTGCTTGGGACAGAAGACCATCGCGTGGCGCCTGCCCCTCGCCCTGCAGATTTTGTTTGCCTGGATCCTGTTCTTCGGAATGTTCTTCTTCCCCTTCTCCCCTCGCTGGCTGATGTCCAAGCACCGCGAAGAAGAAGCGACGGCCGCACTCTCCAAGCTCAGAAGACTGCCGCCCAATGATCCCCTTTTGCGCGCTGAGATCCTCGAAATCAAGGCTGCTGTTCTTTTTGATGAGGAATCTGAGGCTGAAGCCATCCGTCAGGGTGGCAAGCTTGCTCCCTGGAAGATGCTTTTTGCTCCGAACATGTTCAAGCGTCTTGTTCTGGGCTGTGGTATGTCTATCTCACCCTTTTTCTCCCTCGTCTACCTTTTCTAACAATAGTATTCGCGGACAGGAGCCATGATCTTCCAACAATTCACCGGAATCAATGCTGTCCTTTACTACGCCCCTCAGATCTTCTCATCTTTCGGTTTCTCCTCCACTAAACAAACCCTCCTGGCCACCGGTGTCACCGGTATCCTGCAGATCATCTTCACCCTGCCCGCGGTGCTCCTGCTCGATAAATTTGGTCGTAAGACCTTCCTGATTACCGGAGCCGTCGGCATGTTCTGCTGTCACATTGTGGTCGCCATCGTGGAGGGTCTGTACGAAGATAACTGGAACCTGAACCTGGGTCTGGATAAGCCCCAGGGATGGGTCGCAATCGCGTTCATCTGGCTGTTTGCTGTCAACTTCGCCTACTCTTGGGGTACGCATATCCCCCCCTCCCTTCCAATGCCTCCATAATAACCCAATACTAACCACTATGGAAATTCAGGCCCCGTCACATGGGTCCTTGCCCAGGAAATCTTCCCCAACAGCACTCGCTCCCGCGGTGTCTCCATCGTCGCCTCGACCAACTGGATGTTCAACTTCGTCATTGGTCTGACCACCAAGGACATGCTGAAATCCATGAAGTACGGTACTTATATCTTCTTTGCCATCTTCAGTGCTCTGGGTGGCCTTTTCATCTGGAAGTTCGCCCCCGAGACTAAGGATAAGACCCTCGAGGAATTGGATATCTTCTTCGGTGGCGGTATGGAGAGTATTGCCGAGGCGGATCGTCAGCGCATGGAGAGAATCTATGATAGTCTGGGATTGAGTGGTGTTAAGGAGGTCGGCGATTTGGTGGAGAAAGAGAAGGGAGAGATCACGGGTGAGGTTGTGGAGATGTCGTAGATTGGCTTGGCTTGGCTGCTTTACGGCAGACAATGAGGCGGGTACGGTGAAAGGGTGTGTTTGCAGTTGAGGTGTGTGGTGTGTGAAGTCTTCGTCTGTGGTAATGTGTTTTTAATGTGTTGATGGATTAAGTGACTGATAATACTGAAATTGTGTATCTAGTTTTGGTAATGATAATTGCTTATATGCACATTTTGTCTTTATCCTAGGATATCACATGATGAAGTATATATCTCAACACCGAACTCCCACAATAGTATAGTATCCTATTCTGTACAAAGATACCAAATGAGCTGGACAGACCCCAGTAGGTTACTAGATAACTATACTAACTACTATATTACACCCCCGAATCAATCTCATTCACGAAACCACGATTACTAAAAGCCGTCCAATCCCGACAAGTCTGAGCCATAGACTCCGGGATCGGAAGTCGTTCAATGTCATCTGGTCGTTCCTGGTCGGCAAGAAATCAGAGTACAAAACTAAGGAAGGAAGGAAGGAAGGAAGGAAGGAAGGGAAACACTTACAACCACATTCAAGAGCAACCCGACACTAACATGCCAAGACATATGACAATGAAGAGGCCAAACGCCGGGATTATTCGCCTGCCATTCGAGAACCACATACGCGGGACTATCCTCCGTGCCCGGCTGGATGATGTGGGTATCGCGACGCTGAGGATTCTTCGGATTAGTGACGACTCTATCCCAGGTCCCCCTTCCCTGGGCTAGCACCCAGTAATTGTGGCCGTGGAGATGAAGCGGGTGCTGCATGGAGAAGAGATTGTAGATGATGAGACGGACGGAGGAGTTCGAGCCGAAGTTGTAGACGTTCAGGTCTGGGTCCGGGTCTGAGAAGTTGCCGGCTTTGCCTAGGAGGAGGAGCGGGGTGTTGTAGTCTGAGCGGAAGGTGGAGTTGTTGACGTAGAATAAGGTGTGGCCTGTGGCGTTTTCGCCGAGGGTGATTTCGATGGTTTGGGTGGAGGCGGGGGTGGAGGCGGGTGTTTGAGGGTAGTAGGGGATGGTGAGGTTGAGGGGATCGTTGGCACAGTTGTTGCTCGACCAGGTTGTGGTGGTCGTGGTGGTTGGCCAGGTTGCTGTGTCGGCGTCTTCGTAGTAGATGGCGGCTTTGACGGTGGGGATGCTGGCCGTGGCGTTGAGGCAGGTCATGTCGATGGAGGCGCGCATCCAGTATGAGTCGGTTGGGTTGCCGGTGGCGGTTACGATGATGTCGGTGCGTTGGCCGACGCCGAGGGTGACGACGTCGGTGGTGTAGGGTTGTACGGGGACGAAGTCGTTGGCGATCACGGTCATGTTGTGGCCATCGATGGTGAACTTCTGGTTCGCGTTGGACCCGGTGTTCATGAGTCGGAGACGGTGGGTTTTGCCAGAGTGAAAGTTGAAGCGGGCTAGGCTGGACGCGGGGCTGCAGGTGGTAGTGGAGCTGCTGTTGCAGTTGTAGGCACCGCGGCCGTTGATCAGGTTGTTGTCAACGTTAGGGAAGACGGGGGGGATGGAGAAGATGTTTTCCAAGACTTCGAAGTAGCTTAAGTGGCTGTAGTCGGAGATAATGACGGGGCCTAGGTCGTAGTCGTAGCTGGCTTCGGGCTGGACAGGGCCGTGAATGATCATGGGCCCGTATGCGCCATCGGTGTATTGGGCGCTGTAATGGGAATGGTACCAGCTGGTGCCGTACTGATCTGCTTGGAATGTATACGTGAAGCTTCCACCGGGGGCGATTGGACACTGGGTGATGCCGGGAACTCCGTCTTCCCAGGGAGACTTGGCTTGGGTAAGTCCATGCCAGTGCAGGGTCAAGCCTTCTGCAGTGTCGGTTGTGATCATGTTGTTGACTGTGACCGAGATCATGTCGCCCCAGTTTGCTTCGATTAACGGGCCAGGGAATTGCCCGTTGATGAGGATGCCGCTCTTCTGGTAGCCATCCGGGGCGGTGATGTCCCGCGTGATGGTGAAGTTGTAGTGACGAGTAACACCTGTGTCAGGGGGCCCTCCTGAGGGAGAGATATCCTTCCATGGAGGGTGTTCGAGGTTGGAATGTTGATATTGGTTGTTGTTGCTACCAGACTTCAAGAAAGGGTCCAGATGGTATGTTGGCAAAAGGCCGTAAGGAGAAAGACCTAAATAAGAGGAGTCTAATCAGCGAGAGGAAAACGAAACAGACATGTAGAGGAATACCATCAGGGAGCAACGACTCCAAGGGGTTGAAGGAGGCAACCGTTCCCAAAAGTAGGAACCAAGACTGCCAATAGACCATGACGATACGCTATTGTGTTGTTTCCAGATGGCTGCATATTCGGTCGAGCCCCGGCTTAGGTATAAGTAGATTTTACTCCTGTATAACCACGAATCCTGCGAGGAAAAGGTTTAATTTTAGACTTGCGAAGGATCAATATTTTACGCCCGGTTTGAGGTCAACAGTTGATCTGAGTGGGAACAAGAGGCTTGCAGACGGCTAACCACGTATTCCTGTGTATGTAGTATGCTGGCTTGTTGGATATCGTCTATACTACTACTGCTTCATATATATTCAGTTCACGAACTTGAATCCTGAATCCAGATAGGGATGTTTTCCAGAACTCTACGGATCTGCATCAGCAACGTGGTGCAGCTCTGCAGAGCAACGATGATCCTTGAATATGAGAGCCAACTCGACCTCCAGGTCCGAGATGAACAGGATCATACTTGATGCAGACTTAGCGACGGCCCCCAATAAGTGACCCACTTGCGGATAAAGATTTAGAAGATCTATAGTTCTGTACCCCGTAGATGTCGATTCTGCATTTGGCCCCCACGATGCTACTGCTTACTACTGTTTACTACTAGAGACTCACCCGACCCAACTGCTTGCTATTTTGCATTTCTAAATGTGTTTTTAACCTTTTATTTAACCGACTTTCTGGGGATATACATTTATTATCACGTGGCTTGTGTCCAATAGTCAGCCAACTTGAGTGGAAAGAAAGAAACCTCGATTTTAACCATTCCCAATTTCAGTAAATCTACTCTCTATCATAACTCATCCGCTCACAAAACACTTCGATCCACCCCCATAATTAAAGTAGCTCCCAACTTATCCCAAAAGATCCACCAAATACTGGGCTAAAAACCCAGCCGATTTACTGCCACCCACAATATAGAAGCCCATACGGAACCAATACAGACAACTAGCAGGCTTAGTCAAATCCACCGAATAAATCATAACCACCAACGAAAGCGCCGTGCCACCACAGCCCACGAGAAAGTAAATGCCCGACAAGCCAGCAAGAACACCCACAGCAACCATAAGCCCAACCATGACTACACCCAGCACGGAGGCAATGATCTTAGTGGAATGTCTATACCGCACCGCCATGGACTTCACTCCGGCTTGGACATCATGCTGCACGTCCTGGTGTGCGTAGATCGTCTCATAAATGATCGTCCAGATGAACTCGACCATGAACAAGCAAGCCGCAGGAGCAGAGAAGGGGTCCACGCCCATCCCGACAGCGGGAAGGATCATAGTCACGGAGAAGGGCAGACCCAGGAAGACGGGGGTGAAGTCCATGAAACGTTTACAGAGGGGGTAGATGGCGTGGAGCACGCCCATGGCGAAACTATAAGCATGACATTGGGCGGGGAGGTGGCTCAGGATCCATGCGGTGATGGCGACTTGAGCAAGGGTGAAGATGTGGCCTTGCGTGGTGGAGACGGCACCGCGGGCAATGGGCCGACAGCGGGTCCGGGGCACTTGGCGGTCGAAGTCTTGGTCGAGGTTGTCGTTCCAGGTGCAGGCGGCCCCGCGGATGAAGTTGGTGACGAACCAGAAGAAGAGGAAGGATTTGAGGAAATCAAGGGGGGCGATAGGTGGATCAGCTAGAGTGGCCCCGGCGGAAAGTCCCATCAGGGTTGGCATGAAGAAGCCGAGGAAGCCCGGCCGGTCAAGCCGCATTAGTTGCACGTAGGGGACCCAGGATGAAGGGACTAATTTGGCAACGCCTTGGATTGGCATCTCGTTTGTGACAGGGGGTTGAGTCTGGGCTTTGACCCCCTCGTAATGGGCGGTTATGGCCACTTTGTGCACGGTTTGTCGCTGGGTAAGGGTTCCCATTATGGCAGACTCAGGGGGTGAAGGATGATGATAATGAAGGATCGGGAAGCTATTATAGGATAGACACTATGAGCTCAGGGTCAGGAAGGAACCGAGAGTGGACTTAAAGGATGAAGGATGGTTGATGATGAACTGTTCTGTTTTATTGTATGGGAGGATTGTGGCCTTATATATCTTCGATTTCCAACGTATATTGCTCACACACAGACATAGCTCTAGATACAGATATAGATCCGAGAACAGGTAGATACACATGGGCTGAGAGATTATTCTGCCAAGTCGTTCCCGCGAGATTGCAAGCTATACTCGCCCTCTAGGGACAGGCAGACTTGAGCCATCGCAGATGAAGCAAATTGGACGAGTGAAGATAGTGGGCTGTGCTCACGGTGGAGCTCCCTTTTCAATTAGGCTGGGGTCCAAAATATGGGGCCAGCCAACAAGCGAGCCTGCAGCGGCTTACCTTGAGGGGGTCGTGGTGCAGACCGAATGCAGTAAGTGATATGCTTGATAAGGTGCCTTGTCAGTTATCCTGACCGTCAACCTTTGACTTTTGTGAAAGTTATTCGCTGCAAACAAGGCAGCGTCTTGATACAGACAACGTGCATATCCAAAAGTCAGTGAATTTCACTGCATGAGATTTCGAGCCCATGGGATCAACCGCATCAGCGGATAAGTATTTAAGCATCTTCTTGGCAGGTCTCCATCTATCACTTGTCTAGACTACTGGTACTCCACTGCACCAAGTGTATGCGGCTGTAATCAAGCGATATGCCTGCAGGCACAATCTGACGTGAGAAGGAAAAAGTAAATCGAGAAAAGAGAAAGAATGAGTGAAAAGAATGAATAAATGAGAGAGCAGAAAATGCTGCGCTATTTGCAGGGTAATTACTGTCACACAATACAGCAGCTTAGCAAGAGGTAATAATCTCGGAAATAAGTTCTGTTTCCAGCGAAGCTAACTCCAGGTCTCGGCTTATCAGAGAGGGGCTATAGCCCCGCCGAACTAATAGAAAGGAGCCCTATCTCCGATTTGACATGGAGTTGATACACTAGTAATATGGTGGAAATTAAAGCCAACATGTAATTATTTCTTCCACTCAGTTAAACTCATAGTACCGTGCGGCAGCATGTATTTCTGCGTTATGCCGCAACGGCTTCGATAATGCTATCCTTCAAACTCTCCGTATACGTGTGTACCTTGTTAATCTTCAGCCCTGCGCTCTGTAACAGCTTGTTCCACTGTTCCTGAGTTCGCTCCCGAGCCCCCAAGGCCGCCATCATGAGCATGTCTAATTGGGCCTGCTGCCAATGAACGCCAACATTGGGCAGGACCATGTCATCAATCAGAATATAAGAGTCTGGGGCCATAGCATCCTTGATATTCTGCAAGATCTCCAGACACTTGTGATCTGGCCAATCGTGGAAGATATTCCGCAAATAGTAGAATTTCGCCCCTGTCCGCCTGTCAATGTTGTATACTACAGGGTAAGGAGTTGGAGGAGGTCGTACCTTTGACTGGTTGCGGAGTGAAGAAGTCATACGCCATAAATTCCACGCCAGGATGCTGCGTCGCGTTGGCCGTAGTCGGGGCCAGATCCTGAACAATCACGCGGCCTTCGAGTTGGCTGTACTTTTCCCGAAAGGAAATGGCCTGCTGACCGAACCCTCCACCAATATCCACGAAAAGGGCTCGCTCGGCGCTTAATCCACCGGCCTTTTCGAGGGCTGGGAAGACATCCAAGAACGTGGGCATGCCAAATCGATTGGCTTTCATGTGTTCGTTAAAAAATACCAAATTTTCCGGGTGTTGTTGCAGCCATAGAAACGCCGGTAATTCCGTGTTCATGACTTTCTGGAAAGGTGTTTTTACATTGTCCTGGATATCGGGGTATCCGTTCTCTTTCAGGAAGGCTGGGAGATCTTGGATGGACGGCCCGGCATTGTTAAAGCTGCATGGCAAGGCTGTCATTAACTCGAATCCTTTGTGAGAGACTCAGGGAGGAGGGTACTACATACAGGTGGCCAACAGCAGCTTGGAATCCACGCTGGGAAAAGGTTTTAGAGATGTTCGACGCCGTGAAGGTATCTTGGGCAACCTCCTGGACTGCGTGGTAGGAAGCCAAATAACGCAGTAACCGGCCTGTTCGGTTAGATCAAACCGAGACCTCCCACTTGTGAGGGAGTAATTACATACCCATAAACACTGGATTGGCTCCTGTCCTCTCACTCAGCTGGTCCACAGTGAGGGGGCCATCAGCCTGAGTTAATAGCTCGAATAGCTTTAGATCGATTGCGGTGCGGATACAAGCCAATTGCATATTCTGGTGAGGGAATATTGTTAACTATACTTGGCGGGGAATTGCAGGTGCGGTGGCATACGTAGAAGGTGAAGCGCTGAACAGTATCATCTGGAGTCTCGATGGAAGCATACAGTTTGCTCAGTGAGTCCAAGATATCCTTGCGCGTTTTCTCATCGCCAGTCTTGGCCTGTCTTCGGACTTCTTCCACTAGGACCTCCATGGCTTTCCTTGTTTGCTCGTATGTTGCTGGGTTTCGGAGTTACTGGTGGCTGTTCAATATTGAGAACCCATGGGGTAAAATGAGGCCTGAGTAGGGCAGGGCTGATACTATTTAACTACAGTGAAGATCGCACTGGACGCAAGGTGCAAACATCACATTGGGCATCCTGGATGCTGGCTTTGTGCTGGAAGACAAAGAGAGAACCTCTAAGCGGTTAATGTCAATGCCGCCTCCAGCAAGGTACGTTTGGATTTCCAGGGTGCCCCTGCGACTTCCCTGGTAGACTAAACTCCAAGTGTAAAATCAAGCATGAATCTGTACGGTGGAGTCGACTTGGGGGCTGCAAGTGCACTGACGGCAAACGATAATACAGACGGGATAATCCGATCGACGGGGGGTGGAGACCCTAACCCACGGAAAGCAATGATGATGAGCCATTGCAGCCTTGAGTTGGCCGCTCCGCTACGCGAAATCCCCCCTAATTCAGACTAATTTCTTACGGGCGGAGCCTTAGACCACGTCTGTTCACGGCTCGCGCTCCAGTTGCTGGTCTCCAGCCAGCGCAGCCACTGGGGTTGACGAACAACAAACCATATTCACTGAATGTCGGCAGCCGACGAGCAGCCCGCTAGTGAATTAGTGAGAAAAGCGTACAGAAGTATCAGCAGGACGCTACTGCTGCTGATAATCTCAGCGGTAATATTCTTTCGGCTATCCCGTCCTGTGATTAATTAATCCCTTTTCAGACCAAACATGTTCACAGCAGGTCCTTCTTCTCACTTTGGCCCCCAGACAGGTACAAGATTGTACATGAGTCCGATACAGCCACAGAAGTCGATCGGACTCACTACCACAAATTGACGAGGTTGACTGCATCTTGCAGCTGCAAGTCTACGCCTGTGGGGGCGCCTTGTTCATGGATGCAGGCTTATATGCGTGAAAACCCCTCCTTTCGCTATGATGACAAGCCGAGCCCATATCAGTCGCCCCTACCAGCCCCGGTCGCGAGGCAGGAAGAAAAGCATTCAGCATGAGCGCACCACCGGCTGGCGGTGATCAGAATCGCGGCCCTGCTCTGGTGGCCATTTATTGGGCCGAGGCATCTTTCGCCATTTTGGCGGTCGCCCTGCGAATCTATGGCCGGAAACTGATCAATGGCTTTGGCGCTGATGACTATATGATGGTCTTTACCCTGGTACGCACACCATTTCCTTCCTATAGCCCATGTCTAACCATACTAATATGTCTCCTCTTACCTCCTCTAGATCCTATTCATCACTCTGGCTGCTTTCGTGACCTACCTCGCCGACCAAGGAGGCTGCCGACATCTCTACTATTTGACAACCGATCAACAACTCTTAGTCGTGAAGTTCAACTGGATCACTCAAGTATGGGGGATCTTTGGCTTCGCGACCGGCAAGAGCTCAGTTGCCCTGCAGATTATGCGGATTCTGGGCCCGAATGATAACTGGATGAAATGGCTCTTATGGTTCCTAATGATCTCTACCACCATCTTCTGCGGCTTGGACTGCCTCTTCGGCTTCGTGCAGTGTGATCCTCCTCGCGCACTATGGGAGCCTTGGATTCCCCATACCTGCTGGAACACGAATGTACAGGCGAACTTTGCGATTTTCATATCAGGTATGTTGCCGATAATGTCCCAGGAGGTTGTCGTCGTCCCGTGTCCTTGGACTATTTAACTAATAGCGCTGCCTACAGCCTGGAACGTGCTGGTAGACCTTGTCCTCGCTGCTCTCCCCATCCCAATTATCTGGCGGACGAGTCTTACCCTCAAGCAGCGGATTGCCACCTGTACCCTTCTTGGACTCGGGCCATTGTTAGTATTCTATAGTTCGATCTCTTTATCCTTGAAAGGTCATACTAACTTCTTCATTCTAGAGCTGCAGCCTTTGGCCTTGTCAAAATCCAATACCTCGCCGGGTTGAAAGAGCGTTCTGACCTGACCTGTACACCTCCCTCCCCCTCTTCCTAACCTACCTCTTTCTCTCAGTAGTCACTGACTCTGACTCCTCACAGGGCAAACATACAACCTGTACGTCTGGTCCGGATCCGAACTCTTCGTGATCATCATCTGCGGCTGCGTGCCGCCGATGCGTCCTATATTCACGAACCTGTTCGGACGCAAGAGCCAGTTTACAGGTTACTACGAGTCCTCTTCTGGATATAAGCGTCGACATAATTACAAACTCAGCACTCTGGGATCATCGCAGCCGGTCCAGAGTCAGGATGAGGATACCGAAGCGCTGCATTCTCGGGTGGAGGGGTCTGGATCACATCTGCCCCAGTCGCGATTTAGTGAAAATGCGATTTATCGGGAGGTTAATATATCGATAGAGAATGGTCCTAAGTGATAACTTATATATTATAAATGCTTAATGATATTGGTACATCGTTATTTCTGTTGTTGTTGATATCCTTCATGGTTTATAATTTCCCTCTTCTAAGTTACTTTCCTTCTTCTAGTAAAATATAGCATTGATACTATATATTACACATCTAATTCCACTCTATTATCTAATATATATGTAGGGGAATACTAACGCTGAGTATAAGAATACCATTTTCCAAAAGGATGAGAATTACAACAGCATAAGTATGGCGGCGGCTACCATATATTCTCTTGTGAGTACTCTGTCCTCTATTTTTATCTCTTTTGACAATACTTATCAGTACTACATTGACTGCTTGCATAGATAGAATTCTTTCAAGAATCCCAGTATATTTACTCTAATTAAAATATCTCTTTACATCAAGCCAAGCCACCATCATAGCTGAGAGAAAGTATCTGATATTATAAATCTAGTCAACTCAAACAAGCGCAATAATTCTGAGATCAAACACTCGGTTCTCTACATCAAAGAAATACCAAATATGAACACAACTTTCTTCAAAGGCTGAGCAATACTCAATCCAATCTGATTAGACCACGGAATGTTTACATAAAGCTTGAAGAAGACAAGTTCTTGAGAACCAGTGGAAATAGAAAAGAAGGACTTCTTAGCACCTTGCTGGCTTGAGGAAAGTGATGGTGAGTAAGCGGGTAAATATCTACATGTGTATTTCCCCATGACACTCCCCTGGGCACATGGCGCCCACCTGCTGTAATGACTACAACCTTGCCGCTAGGGTTACTGGTTCCGACAAGAGATGGAGGAAACAATCGTCGAGTTCCGCATCACCCCGAGAAAGAGAAACAGGCGCGAGAAGAGATGGAGTGTTATAAGGAGGAAGAACGGCTGGAGAGAGTGAGAAAGTAGAGCGCCTTTAGGGAGAGGCAGAACGGCGAATGTGACCTAACACACTGATTTGCCTTCCCGATCAAGGTCATATCTCTCTCTGTAAAAGTCCGAGTTGCGACGATTGCGATCCTCATGATGCAAGCACTTAATTGGCCTGATCACCCATTTTGGCGAGCTTGACGAGGGATCCAGGTCTTGCTTCGGAAAGGCATGCCTGCATAGTATGGCTGAATAATAGGCTTGGAAGTCGAGAAGTCCCTGTTCTCTGTGGCATGATCTACCACTATTTCACTCGAGTCTTATTATACTGAAAAATTACTGGATATCTGCTCAAGACTATTTCACTGCGCAAGGACACTGGATTTATACAAAGCTTCACTATCTTATGTCCAGTCCATTTGATTATCAGTTATATTCGTGACCTGATTAATAGTTCTTTGTTACTATTCTTTCTTCTTTCCGTGTGATGGACTGTCTCTGATTTTAACACCAGACTGGACGGGCCTATGCCGTATTTGACGCATATATTCCTGCATAATATGGCGCTTTGCTTCAGCTAGAGTGCTTCCGCTGTTGTCAGATGCGTCAATGAACTGCCACTGTTTTTGTGGTGGCTCTTCTGTTGACTTCTTCCTACTAGCACTGCTCGGCGCATCTGGCATATGGAAGGTTGGGTGCAGGATGTCCTCCTCCATCTGGCTCCCAAGTGATCCATTGTTTCGTGGCCGAACCTTACCCAGTTTGATATCCGTTTGCTCTCGGAGCACGTCATAGATGAACTGAAATTGCTTCACGTTGTAAACCATCGTCATGCGTTGCTCGCGCATCTGGTTAACCGTTTCGAAGACAGGGTCAATATCGGGATCGGCTAGCTGCAGCAACTGGCCCGATTCAAGCTCTTGGAGGAGATGATCAAGGGCGATGAAAGTTCCCGTGCGGCCGACTCCTGAGCTGCAGTGGACCACACGTGGATTCTGAGGCCCCGATTTGGAAGCTGATAATTTGATCAGTTCAAGGAGCGCCTCGCGATCGTCGCCTTCGGGCTTGGAATATTCTGGCCAGCCGGCAAAGAGAAAATGCCACACGATTTTCGTCTTTGAGCCGATAGTCAACTCGAGCTTGCGAATCTCCGAGCGAGACTTGACATCAAACATTGACTCTAACAAGGTGATTTTGCCAATATTGTCGGGGAGTTCCTCCTGGCTGTTTGGATCAGTCACGAATGCACCTGACTTCTGAGCAGCAGTGATTCTGTTTGACTCCTTGGGAGATTCCTCGTTGACAACCACCTCAGCAACAGGGTAGCCATCAATGGTGGTTCCAGAAGTTCTTTCCGCCTCTGCTGTCTCAATTTTCTCGGCCGCGGGAGTCGAAGTCATCTCCTTGGTGGCCTTGGATACTTCTTCGGAGGCAGTGTCCTCGGCGTCAAGCTGGTCAACAGCAGCAGGCTCAGCGGGGGTGGCCTCTTTAGCCTGTACTGTTTCCGCCTTCACCTCTGGGAGTGGGTTTCCAGTAGACTTCTCACCCAGGAACATCGAAGCCTGGTCCGGGTGCAGAGGAAAGTACTGTGCGCATTTTTCCCGTCCAGCCTCGAAGGTCTGCGTCAACATGACAATGACAGCCACATCTTTGCTTTCATGGAAAACCATATGCCAAAAGTGCGAGAGATAACCAATTATAGGGCCCTGCCGAGTGACAAAGGGGTCATTGTTAGCATTGCTAGAAAGAGGCATATAAATGCTAGCCTAGAGCAAGCTCATCAAGCATGCCAAGGAATTTGCCAACGTACCTGCGTCGCAATGTATGTCCTCTCCTCTTGCGTGACCGAGTCCCTCAGTATGATCGGTGAGGCGTTGATAAAATCACATTCGCCCTCCGGGACCCGCAGATGAATGCGGGAGTTGGCCCATGCCTGTACATTGTCATATCGATTGCGGGCGCTGACTTCGGGATCTTGTTCAAGGGCGTAGGGATGGGCAGGATCGTTGGTCAGCATGCCTTCATTCAGACGCATCCTTTCCTCCTTTTCGAGTTCCTCAAACTTGTCGTAAATCTCTACATATCAGAAATCGATCAGTCAACTGGCTTCACTTATGTGCGAGGCGCTCCCCTGCCTCGTTTCCCCTTATACCTCTAATCCGACATCGGTCTTATGTTCTCCTCTCCCTCACTTACCTGAGTCTGATTGGCACAGAAACGGCGGGACATCATCCGTAATCTCATCATCCAACCTTGGGTTTCCCTCCTCGTCAAACATCTCAACAATCTTTAGACTGCCTTCTCTAGCTGTTTCTTGTAGTACACCCGCGCTGTCTTCGCTGCTCCTGTCCAGCTCGGGTGCCGTAGCCTGTCCCTTCTCGAAGCTCTGCCCCCTGCAAGACATGATATCAGTAGAAGTACAGTGCAATAATACAGCACTGAAGGTCATACGTATCTAAGTCATTACTACCCCTGAAAAATCATCAGTACCAGTACCCTAGTTTCAGTTTGATTACATACACAGCGGCGCCTTCTGTGGTCACCTTCGCTTGCATTCCAGATTGAGCGATGAAGTGGCGAAGTGTCAAATCCAGTGAGGGATCGTCCTGTGGTTTTTGGACTTTCTGCCACAAGGCATAAATCAGCTCCTCATCTGCATCTGGGATCACCTCACCTGATACGGAGGCGAGATATTCAGTCTCATCGTCATCTCTGAATTCCGAGTGTAATCGTTCCGGAAGAGATCCGATACTGGCTGGAAGCGAACTTGAGTCCCTGCTTGATCCGGACCATGCTGATTGCGACCGCCCGTCATCTATATGTCCTGCAAGAGAGATTTGTGCCAGCGAAATAAGGTGGTTTGCGACATGATTTATCATATCCTTCGGCTTTAGTTCTAGTTTCTGCACTGTAGGACAGAAAGGGCATTCCCGTATGATGATATCGTCGGGTAGTTTTTGATAGCATGCGGCCGCGATATCATCGATATCGTCGTCGTCGTCGAATTGGTCTTCATGGTATTGATGCAAATGCTCCCTGAAGCCAGACTCTGACTGAAAGAAGAATGTCGTATCGTGTGTGCTATCGACACAGGTCCAACCACTGACAGGGTGCTGGTTCTTCATGTGACTCAACCAGTCCTTGCCCGACTCAAAAAGAGAATTTGGGGTAGGACAAGGCTCCAGGACACAAATATATGGCATGAGGTCCTGAATAATGTGGTGCCTTTCGCAACGGTTAGCTAGTGATTCTGCTCTTTGGGCTAGGAGAGCACCCACATCCACCTTCTTCCGCTCAGCTCTTCTTTAGAACAAGCCAGAAAGCAGTATGGACACTCTGACTCCTTGCGGTTGCCAGACACGTTTGGTGGTGGAGGGATATCCGCATCATTACAATCCACATCATAGGTCTGCTGTTCATGGGCCGACTTTACAGAGTAAGCCTTAGGTATTCGATCGGGTTGAGCTGTTGTCGCTGTCATAGTAGACGGGCCAGGCCTTCGCATAGGTGATGATTGCTGTCTCGCAGCTCCTTGTGCCTTCGACGTAAGGGAACCCGTAACGCTGGCTGTGGCCCTGAGTGCTGACCTTGGAGTGGATTGATGGCTCTGGTCAGCCCCTGATATTGGAGCGTTTGTGGCCTTCTTGGCTTTCAGGTAAGAAAAATATTGCTGGCGCAAACAGACGGTATTGATAATGCGTTCACGCAGGCCATTACTCGCCTTGGATTCCTTCATGCGGAACTCTATGAGCGTCTTTGCACCGTTTCTAAACGCTTCTGTCAGATTTACGCCATTCTCATCAAACTCAACATAGTTCCCAACTTTGACGTATCTGCGGAGAATTCCCGAGCGACGGATGGCACGAGACAAGCGGAAAAGGCCATCCAGCGTCTCACTGACAGCATGAAGGGGAATTTCATATGGCATTCCAGTAGGAATGGTGGAATTGAATGGAAAAGTAGACTGCTCTGGATATATTGATATTAAAAAGACATCGAATCAGGAAGAAGCTCTAAGCATATGACATACTGATAAGGTCAGCTTTCAAGTCATCCAGCAACTCGGCCATCGTCGATTGCAGCAATGGGGCATTCCGCAATCTCCAGTCCATCGAAGCTCGGCCTGGGGTCAGTATGAAATTATTTGCCGCCCACAGGTTGAACCGGAAGATTTCGTTTTCCATGTCCTGCTTGAGCAGCTCGTCCCCATCCAGTGTCCTCGGATACTTGTCGAATAATTGGGCGCATTCGGCAGCCCTGGATGCAATTGCCATTGTGACTGAGTGATTAATGTCGTATATTGGTGGCGTCGTTCGGTATATTGCTCCAGATTCTGAGAGGAATAAGACCAAACTAATGGGGGAAGGGGGTGGGGGATGTCGTCTGCCAATATGAGAGTCAGGAAGCACGGACCAATTGGGCGTCTACTCGTCAAAGCGCTAAACCCGAAAGGGCAGTAAGAATCCTTTGAGATGAGGGGTTAAAGAGGCCAGGATCTTTGCAGTTTAGTTAACGTTAACAGTCACCTGTAAAGCTGACAAATCCTAAGTGTTCACTGACAACAACCACACTACACTATTCAGCGACATTCGCTAAGATATACCTCCCACAATGGCTCATCGTTCAGCAGACATCGACCTGGTCTGTTTAGTCTCAGATGTCATTACAGCGTTAGGGGGGACCTTCAGACACTCCCCCCGATTGTACCGCGACCTAAAGGTATCACTGGCTATAATGGCTCTGGAGATACACAATGTAGATATTTATGTGGCCCTCTCCGAAGAGCCAAACTTACGGCGGACATTCGAGAACATGGCGGAAGCGTTGGACAGGGCTTTCCGCAAGGACTTCGTGAACACAAAGTATCAGCAGTTAAAGGCAGGAGAAGAAACGCAACCTCCTGGGCTCTCCAAGTGGTGGCCTCGGTTGTTCACCAGTTGGACCGACAGCCCGAAAGAGTATATGAAGAATTGGACACAAACTCCTTACCCATATCTTGGACTGGTGTCTGAGCTTCTTCAAAGTTCTTTACAACGAGAGCTACGGATAGGAGAGCTCATAATTGATGATTATCGAGTTATTCGAGATCTGACCAACTTGGCCAATGAGCTGGTAGAACAACTCGATCGCGGTCAATCTTTTGATGATGACGAAGACTTCACTGAAAAGGCACAGCCGAACCCGTCGATCAGCGAGGCGGCCATTCGTGGTGAGACCAGCATTCGCTATCTGTCGCAAAATCTCTACCACACACTGCACGAGAATTGGCCTTGTCAATTGGAAGGGCATGAGCATGGCAGAAAACTAGGCCATTGTGTGGAAGCAAAATTCTGCCTTGACCCCCAGTGGAGCTCTCGAGATCCGGATCCGTCGCGCGATAGCTTTTTCATCCTGTTGGCGGGTTCAGATATCATTCAGGAGTGCCGGGTTCGTTGGCTTCCTACCGAGTTCGATAGCCCTTGCCTTCTCAGAAAAGTCAGTAGCTAACACAAATCCAGTGTTATGATTGAAGCGAACACCCTTGCGTGCCTTGTAGATCACGAAGCCTCGAAAGACGTCTGCTTACAACTGGCGAAGGACGACAATAACCGACTTTGGGGTCTGGAATTAGGGCAGCCACTTGAGGTCCTACAGCTGGCGGAAGAGTGTACTGGAAGATCTCTTGAAAGCCTTCGAAAGTTGCTGGAGATTGTGAAGCCCACATATGCAGCAAAGCGAGTTCTGGGGCTGACATTAGCGCGGTCTCTTCTGCACCTTCTGGAAGGGCCATGGGTCAGTTCGTATCTATCCATCGATGATATCTTCATCTTCTGCAAAGTGCAGAATGGCTACCCATACCCATTATTTGACAAAGTATTCCTCTCCACGGCTTTTAAGACAATTGGTGGCGAATGCGGTCCCCAGGCTAGCCGACGGCCTCCTTACAGTATTCACCCGTTTCCGACAATCCTTGCCCTCGGCATTGCGCTGGCCGAAATGGAGCTAGGGGACGAGCTTCTTGACATCTACGGTCAGCCATCTTTTGCTGGACTGAGGAACAAGCCATCTAGGCTTGCAAAAAAGCTGTGGGAAGAGTGTGAGCGTCGGTTCCATTTGGGGACTGGTTTAATGCGGACCGTCAGGTTTTGTACGGATCAAACGGCATTCCTTCGCTTCGCCGACATGGGCAAGGAAACTGTTTTCACAGATTCAGAATTTGTGGATGTCTATTACAGGAATGCGATCAGACCGTTGGAAGAAGACCTTGTGAATGGGGCAAAGTGGACGTGGGATGAAGTAAATAGGCTCCAGCGCCGCGACCTTGTCGATCAGGGAGTCTGCAAAATCATCAAGTTGAACATTGATCCCCCTTTACATGAGAGCAGTGAACGAATGCGGAATGCAGAACCAAAGTGGAGCAAGCCACCAGGACATGTGTCAGGCTTAGTCGCAATACCAGAGGCCAATGGTTCCATGGAAGATTCCCAGCAGAATCTCTCTAGCGACGAAACCCTGCGTATCAATGACAAGGCAAGTCATTGTCAACCATCCGACACGCAAGAGCCTGTGAGACCGAAGACTAGAGATGGCTTCGACGTAGCCATCATTTGTGCACTCCCTATAGAAGCCGATGCGGTTTTGTCTGCTTTCGACCATCACTGGGACAAAGAATTGTACGGCAAGGCAACGAATGATCCCAACTTTTACTCTGTGGGCGTTATGCGTGGTCGAAATGTTGTTTTGGTTCATCCTCCACGCTCTGGCAAAGCACCTGCCGCCAATGTCGCTACCGCTTGTGCCATGAGCTTTACCAAGGTGACGCTGGCTCTCATTGTCGGAGTGTGCGGGGGCGTTCCATTCAAAGATAACAAGGAGGAGATCCTACTTGGTGATGTTGTGATTAGCAAAGGAGTCATACAATATGATCATGGACGACAGTACTCGGACGGATTTAAACGGAAGATTGAAATGGAAGCAGCATTAGGTAGACCGAACCCACAAATTGGCTCGGTTTTGGCGGCACTAGAAACTCAGTTTCACCGAGAGAACGTCCAGCATAAGATAACCGCCTTCCTCGACAACTTGGACGACGATGTGACATCCTATCCTGGACATGTGGAAGATAGGTTGTTCCCATCATGGTATCGTCATAAACACCACAATCACCAGGTATGTCGAGTGTGTGCGGATTGCTGGAATAATGACGACTCCGTCTGCGACATTGCCCCGGAATTAAACTGTCAAGTGGCCGGTTGCGAGGATATACGCATCGTAAAACGACATAGGCAAAATCAAAGGAACCAACCGTTTGTTCATGTCGGTCTCATAGCATCTGGAGACAGCGTTCTCAAGTCCGCTACACATCGGGACCAGATTGCAGAGAACGAGAATGTCATTGCATTTGAGATGGAAGGAGCAGGTGCTTGGGATGCCCTACCCTGTGTTGTTATTAAGGGTGTCTGTGACTACGCTGATAGTCATAAGAATAAATTATGGCAGAAATATGCAGCAATTACTGCGGCGGCTTGTGCTAGGGAATTTATCCAGCACTGGTAGTGGCGCCAGAATCAACAGGCTGGTCAATCTGAAACAGCTTCCAGGGCCCGCTCCCACCTGTACTACTACAAGTTCCAGTTCACTCGGAATCACCAAAATGGCACCGTTCACAAAATACAAGCGGCCCATAGAAACGCGCGAGGTATGGTTCATACTAGTAAGCCCAACAAAGAACAAAGAAAACAAACAGTGCAAAAAACATACAGAATAGTATAAGGGATATCTTTCCAACTAGAGAATTTTACTATTCGTTGTTAAATCAAGGAACACTTACCCTATGTGCAGCGGTGATCTTCTAGGAAGAGGATAAAAGTTGAAAGCATGAGTACGGGTTTCATACATTCTGCTCGGCGCTGCCTTACTTGCGAGCCTTCGATGCCGGAAATACATGACACACTAATATGGGAATAGTTAGATCTGTATTTCAGATGTGTTCCGAGGTTGACTGAAATCAAGCCTAACAATAATAAGACCTAGTAAGATATTTGTCCATGTATTGTTACAGACCTCAAAACAAATCGCGCCCACTATGGTGTCGTACAACTCAACCCCTCTTCCTCAAGCGCCAACAATTACTGGAAAGCGGACGCGTCTGCTGCCCTGAAACTGAGAGAAACGAAGTGTAGTCCAAGAAATCAGTTCAATTAGCGAGCTCAGACTAAGGGTGTATCATAGCCGTATGTGATCGATGAAAGAGGTTGGCCACTCAACATGAACCAAATTTCCACGAGGCGCTTCTCGTAGCATTTGCCTCTATTATACATAAGTGGAACTTCTAATACTGGCAAGTTGTTTAATGTTTTGCGATCAGTAGGCTTATCTCCTTCGAAAATAAATCCCCTACAGTCCTACTTACCAGAATGTTCTCTACCTTTGCAGCTCCAGGTACGATAACACTGGGATTTGTAGCTCCAGGAAAATAACACAGTTCCTTTGTCACCAGATAAGTAGAACTACATGACTTTCTAGATCACGATTCCATGACAAATATACAACGGCGTCCGGTAGAAGCTTCATAATTTTTTCTGGAAACATACTTGTCGCTTAATGGTGAGACAGTAATACTAGTAGTGTTGGTCACGCGGTTAGCTAGCGCCCACACCAAGCACCTCTTCCATGCGCCTCTCGCTGCGCAACCACTACTTAGCAATAGAGCACATATATTTCTCTGCATTCTTGCTTCTTTCGCTGGCAGCCGCTTGAACACTTAATATCAGTGGTCGTCTAGTGCTTCAACACGTTGATTTTTCCATCTCGACATTTCATACAAGCCATCCCGGGGTCTGCTTGTACGCATTATGGCTGACACCGCCGCGATAGCCATTGCAGTGATCTCTCTGATAGGATCAATCATGTCAGCAGGCATCACAGCCATAGCCACACTCCATAGTGAGCGTTTGAAACGGCTCTCCGAGTCGGAAAAATTAGTGGCAAAATACCGTGATCCTCTTTTGCTGGCATCGATGGAACTGCAGTCGAGACTCTACAACATTCTCGAGCAAGAATTTCTCTCCTACTATGAGAATGAGGATCGGAGAGACTTAGTAGATGTCTATACTGCATTCCTGATTGGTCAGTTCTTCTCTTGGACATACATCCTTCGTCGGCAAGTCCAATTCTTTCATTTTTCAACGGACAAAAGCCACCAAAAACTTTCACGTGCCATCGAAGCTATTCAGAAGTCGTTCAGCACTGATGAGTACGGCAAGGAGGACAGCGACTTCATGCTATGGCGCGGGGAACAATTGGCCATTGGGGAGATAATGACTGTCTCTGACGACGGTGAGCTTTTTTGCTCACAATATTCACAATTTTTTCAAAAGTTCAAGAGTGAAGATGCTTCTTTCAGGGAGTGGTTCAATCCTATCATAGAAGGAATTGCTGCACTTGTAAACAGAAGATCTACCCATGATTCCTCTCAGCGTCTACCTGCAAGTAGATTGCGTCGTGTGCAGCATTCCTTACTTGATTTGATTGATGTTTTGGACCCTCACGGCTTGGCAACGGGGACCACAAGGCGCCAACGAGTTTATCCTGCACCATACTGTGATTGTTCGGAATGCCGAAGGGCAGCTGGATCGTATGGGACAGATTCTGGTACTTCCTGAATTGATACGAAACAGGCATCTAGTTGTCGGGAACTTGGTGTTTGGTCCCCACCCCGACTATATTATCGTTTCCCATGGAGTGCCGTCTCTCAGAGCGGAATGTATGGTGGTGTTCACCAGGCGCTGCGTGGGCGGCTTGTCGCTCTATATAGTCTTTCTTCAGGACAATTCAGGCCCCTGTTTACCCACCCGAATATTATATACCTGAGCTACTATTAGAAAGTTACATTAGCGCAAATAAGACCAAGAAAATACACCAACCCCCTTCCCGCGTAAGTGTAGGGATTTTTCTCTCTCTGGGTAGTCAACCTTCTCTTGTTAGAATAGTTATAATAATATCAAACAGTACCAGGGTGATCTGAGTTCATGGCTTTCATATCTCTTTCTCGCCTCACGTATCTCGTGATACCCCTCAGCTCCCTTGCTATGTGCTCCCGCCCATATGGATGATCAGATTCTTTGATCGTGACGATGTGATTGAGAAGATCGAAAGTCACTTTAATGATAGTAACTCAACTGCGGCGCTCCGCTCGCTGGTAGGGGTTGGGAAGAGCTATATCGCCATGAAATACTTAGAGAAGAATATGATACTATCTTCTGTGTTAAGGCTGAAACCTCTATTTCTCTCCAGCAAAGTTTTAAAGAGATTGCTCTCAACCAACTTTGCTAAATCAACAGGCATGTCCGCTGACCTGTTCGGAGTGATTATTATACATTCCCAGCTCTATTTAGTTAAATTAACCAACCCACTAACCCATTACGGAGTAGATGTAATAACTAGCCAGGCTTGATTGCTGGAGCCCCCCTGCCCCATTTGGGCGGGTCTAACCTTATAATCCCAAATTAAGTTATTAAGCTGTCGGCTTCATTAGAACGTTAATTTGCCACCGCCACTGACTACTACTTACTCCCTTCTCCACTACTCATAACGTCCTGATTTTGCATGGCAGATTTGAGCGAGTGTGGGTTGCTGTAGTCAGCCCAATAACAGTCAAGCCTTAAGGGGAAAAAATGCCGGGAGAGAGAATGGTGACTGGAAAATGGAGAGGAGCGTGATATCTTGGACGACGGTGGGCCCAAGATTTCCCGCCTGGGCCAATCCCGTGCCACTGTAGTAGAAACCTCCACTTTTCTCAACAGCCCTGTCTCGGTATGATGAATAAACAGATAAAGACATCGATAACTAATGATTTCTAATTGCAGAGTAAAAGACACTCAATTACAGGTGTAGAGAGGTATAAGTAGAACAGACGCCGTGCACCCAGTATCATAGTTACTTTCCTGTGCAGTCAATAGTTTCTGATCACTCTGTATCATCCCTAATCTTTTAAACCCTGTTTATCAGTCGCGCCGGACCGAGTATCTCTCAACTTCCCCCGACTCCATCGCCACCCCATTACCATGACGACTCCTACCGACAATAAGTTCCAGGATGCTCAAGCATATTTGGCCAAACATCAAGGGGACAGTTATCTTAAGGGCTGGGACCTCCTCTGGGACAAAGGTGATTATCTGCCCTGGGATCGTGGCTTCCCCAACCCCGCGCTAGAAGACACCCTAGTCCAGCGAGTTGGCACGATTGGCGGGCCCATCGCCCCGAACGGTGAGAGGCGGAAGGCCCTAGTTCCGGGCTGTGGACGTGGAGTCGACGTGCTCTTATTCGCGAGCTTTGGGTATGACGCCTACGGCCTGGAGTGCAGCGCCGCGGCTGTCGAAGCGTGCAAGAAGGAGGAGGAGAAGGTGAACAATAGCCGGTACTGCGTGCGAGATGAGAAAGTTGGCAAAGGGAAGATTACTTTCGTCCAGGGGGATTTCTTTGATGATACCTGGTTGAAGGAAATTGGAGTACCTCGAAATGGTTTTGATGTCATTTATGATTACACGGTATGTATAGGGCTCCATTCCGTCATTTCTATTGTTTTCTCTCTCCACTTGTACTCTGCGTCCTACAGACGTCCCTCTTTCTTTAGAATTTTTGATGTGCCTTTCCCCGACCCACGCTGGATCCTTCTTGTCTTTCTGGACTTTCCTTCTAATGATTATCTAGTTTTTCTGTGCTCTGAACCCAGAGCTCCGTCCTAAATGGGCTCTGCGACACACCGAGCTCCTTGCTCCCTTCCCTGCAGGCAATCTGATCTGTCTGGAGTCTCCTCGTCATAGGGACCCCCTGGCCCCCGGCCCTCCATTTGCCTCTCCCTCCGAGGCCTATATGGAGCATCTGAGCCACCCCGGTGAGGAGATCTCCTACAACGATAAGGGTCTTGTTGACGCGGACCCGTTGCGAGAGCCCAGCAAGGCGGGCCTGGAGAGAGTGGCGTACTGGCAGCCAGAGCGCACACACACTGTGGGCAAGGATAAGAATGGGGTGATCCAAGACAGAGTCTCTATTTGGCGTCGACGTGACTAGAAATGTGCCTGCGCATTTGTGTGACCCAAAAAGGGAGAAAACGTCAATGGAAAATATCGCTGATTTTGGAGTCCGGCCCCTGGATTTTAAAGGCCAGTCCCTAGACGCTAAAGTGAAAGTCGAAATGAATTGCTGGGATGCAAAAGGGCACCTTTTTAAAAAGGAATTTCGCGGACATGGAGATCATATGCAATGGCAGGATTTCCTCAATTCCATAGCGGGATCCTGGTTCTAATCGTCGCATCATGCAAAGTAAGCGGAGATTATATCTCTGGTAGACAAATATTGTTATTATACATAAGTGATGGTATTTCGCATATAGGGTTGAACGCCCAAGGATCATTAAGAGTTGCAAGGCGAATGGCATTCTCAACATCGCGCTTTCGGAACGCTGGCCCGCGACCGAGACAGATAGTACAGAGGGAAAGATCTACGACAAGGTCAGTAAATGCACGGACAAGAAGACACAAAAAACCATTGATCTCGGCATTACTCACATTTAGTGAAGCTCACTGCGTTGAGCTGTGGAGCCGAATTAAACGGGAGACTGGAGAGGGGCGAGCTCGGGTCCTGAAAACGAATCCCTCGCTGCTGTAGCAGCCTTTGCACACCACTCGCATCCATCCACTCATCAGCACTTGACTCATTGACAATTTGCCACGTACGAGAGGAAAGGGCGAGTCGTTCAGGCGAGTAGCTGTCCCTCCTTGAATTAAGAACTTTTGTCCTCAACTCGATCGTGTCTCCTATGTCGTCGTGCATGACGGCGTCGAATCCGGAGATCAAACAGTTGCGCTCGTTAATGGCCAATTGTTTGCCGAAGATTGCTTTGACCCTTGAATCGTCTCCAGGTAAGCTTGTTAATAGATAGTATCCAGTCTCGCAGCATTGTCGGACTAGAAGGTGCGAGAGTGTCCAGCGCCCTTGCTTTAAGGAATCGTCGGGCGCCAGTATGGTCGGGGAATTCAAGGCAGGAGCAGGACTAGCGATGGATGAGAAGGAGATGTTCGGAGGCGACAAGGCTATTCCGAACGGCAGAATTGCTTGTTCTTGGGAGGGTGGCGTAGAGGGTAGTTGTGATAATCCAGACCATTGAGCCGCGAGGTCCGACAAGAACGGGAAAGTATCACCGATTATTGGCAATGAATCAAGTTGCGTTATGAGCATATTGGAATTTGAGATTGTATCTTGTGTATCAGTAAGCGTGGAAGATATTGGCGGCGACATATCCGCCGGGGCTGCAGGTTGTTCGGCCTCGTCGCAGCCCCTTCTGGCAAGCGACACATATTGCTGTGTAATTTTTTGCAGAGCAGCTGTGACACGAGGCTGATTTTGAAGTATCCCAGCCTCGAACAGAAGATTACTGAAGGAAAGGAACGACTCGCTGAGCTCTTCGATGCCTGACTCGAGTTCCTGTACGCGAGATTGCAGATTGGCGATCGTGGTTTCTTTTCTCCTACGATATGCTTCCTGCGCGACGCGAAGCTGCCTTCGACGTCGCTGGATTCCTTGAGTCAGTTCGAACTTGCTCTGTATTTGCGGGGATGTGCCCACCTCGGGAGCTTGCTGATCGTCCGTCGCATTTCGTGGCCGACCTCTCTTGCGAGGCGCGGGCGCGTCATTCATTGCTTTGACCATGGTGTAGTATTACTCTTGGGGCCCCTTTACCATCTTGAATACATGCTGTGATGTAATGGAGAATCTGAGGATGCGAAAAGGACGTGACGGCGTTGCTCTACTCATCGGGGTCGGGGCGTCGGGATTGTTGAATAATCGAAAAATCGGTGGACAGCCACGATTGGCCCGGACTGTCCTGCTCTGTCCGAACTCCGAACGTCATCCACTCATCATCAAGACCGAGCGCGCCGCAACGAGGAAAATTAAATAGATTCATCGAGGTCAGCTTAGTCCATAATTCTCCGTCTCCAATGCTCCGAATTACCTTCATGCGTAGCGCACAGCGTACAGCTCTCGCAACATGTCTTCATTCACTCAGCCAGTGCCAGTAGTTGCCTGCGGCAGAATACCCACGATGGGGAAATCAATCTCCCAGCACCTACTGCCGGAATACCAAGGTTCCAGATATACAATCCTGAAATAAACAAAGCATGGACCTAATGCTCCTCAGTCATCCACTTCATCCTGTCATATGAGGCTGCAGAGGCTGAGCTCCCGCATCTGCTTGCAGGTCGCGATCCTCAGTCTCGGAGTCCCAATGAAATCGGAACCCACGATTACAGCCAGCCTCCTCGCGCGGTAATCTTCGGTCGCGGCTATGAGCCTCAGCAGGTTGAAGAACTTAAGAAGAAATTCGCGGGTGTTCCCAAAGAACCTGTTGCTTGGGTGAGGGGGAACCCAGCGGACTTGCCTGCCGGGGCCGCTGGGCCTGAGTATGCTCAGAATGTCGCGGCGGATATGAAGAAGGTGCTTCAAAAATGGAGGGACGGGGGAGGAAAGGATGAGGAGGTTTTGGTGTACTAGTTGCTTTGTCGGGAGAGGTTATCTAATACCTTACTTTTTGCCAGTTCGAGTCTCCCTAACACAAAATGATTGAAGGGCCGATATCAAGGATATTTGTAAGTAGTTTAGGTATAGTAACGTTCATTTCTTACACCTCATTTAGAACATTTAGAACAATTAGAACAATTAGAACGCGGGTTAATTTACCGCGGCCACGGACCCGCTCTCTCTTTCGGCAAATAGGAAAAGACCCTGGAATTATATATTCACCTCGCAAGATAGACCGAAAATTGTATAAAGGCTGCCTTTTGGTTACTGGGACTTTGCTGTTTGTCTTTTTTCCCTATTATGTCTCTTCACTTCATAGACAAAAGACTGTGTAAGACCATTTTCTTGCTCTGAAGCATCTGCTGAGGAGCTCATTCGCTGCGAGCTTCCGTCATGGTGCATTCGAGAGTGGCACAGTCATGAAGGCAAACTCCCGGCCAGCAGCGAACATATTATTAGGAAATTGTAAGTGCAACATATACATTACTCTAAGTACCTCTTCCGATAGGCTAGCTGGTGCGCGTTTCCAAACTTGGCACACTCAATAGCATCCAATTCATGTTTACTTTACTTCACCAATCACATGGAAATGAGAGGTGTTTATTCTAGCTGCCGAAGTGCCGTTTGTTTCAGTGATACTGTTAGTTCTTCGAGCCAGGATGTAGGTCAGGCCTCTCAAGACGGCTGAGAAACGGAGGCGTCAAGTAGAGTTAGAGCTGCCTACATCAAAGAGTACGCGGCGTCTCGTTAACCCTCGAGGTGGGGCCTCTCGTCATCAGGTGGGACAGACCCTCGCGATCTGCCCAGAAACGGAAAACATATAGTGGAGAAGTTCCAAGGTTCCCATGGACACAGCCACTAGTTAACCGAATATGCATTCATATAGCTAATGCTATGCTATTATCATTATTATTGAGCCTAGGTTGCCAATGTTGCAATCAGCTACGGGCAGAATGAGTGGCTCGAGATACGTGTGGTTATCTCCCATTTTGTATTAGTCATTATTATGCCCACATAAAGTGCCAGCCTTCGCCTCTATAACAATTCAAGACTTGTTGATATCCTATTGGTGCACCCGTTGATCCACTAGCAGTCTTTCCGGCTGCTATCATTCAACCTCAGGCCTGGCTGGTTCACATTACTTTTCCATTTGCTTAACGCGATCTTTCAACAGCAGCAACGCGGAACTGGGTGTTCGGTAATATAGGAGAATGGAACCCTCTGTTGCTCTGCTTTCTTCAGCCCTAGGCGAGGGCGAAACAAACAGAGTCGGTGATCACACCACTCAACTCGATGCCGAGTCTGAGCCCGAGGTGACGGCCAAGATGCAGCACAGGAAGATTCAAAACCGGAAGAACCAAAGAGCACGCCGTGAGTCTGTTCCTTAATGCCTCACCCACTGCCGAGCTCATAAGCTTTGAAGGACTGCGGATTAAGGAGCAAGACCCGGGATCTACTCAGACGTCCCGCCCGTCCCTCCCGTTCCAAGTTAGGCGCTGGCGCCTTGATGAACCTGATGTTTGTCCCTCCCAGGACAACGCGGTAGCATCCGAAGGCGCAACCGCCATGTACAGCTCCCCTGCACGGTCTCACGTTCACGCCAGTACATCAATGTCGACACCTGAACGCGCCGGAGTCCACCCAGGGCCATCACACACATTGGTCCACGACCAGCCGTCACTCACAGTCCCACCCATCATCTTCCCCCTCTCAACCGATCACCTACTCCATCTTGTCCAGTATAATGTATTCCGTGCTTTTGTCTCTAATAAGCGCACTCTCAATACCCTTCTCACTGGTTGGACCGATAATCCTCCCTCCCCAACCACCTGTCCCATCAGCGGTCCTTACCGGGACGACACTAGCGTCTACCCCCTGAATCCCAATCTTCCTGTCTCCCTCGTCCCGACTCGCCTCCAACAAACCCACTTGCACTCCGTCTGGATCAATCTCTTCCCCTTCCCCCGCCTCCGTGACAATCTCATAAGACGCGAGGGAAGTTTTGACCACTGGGAGCTGCTACAAGACCTCATTGGTGAGCTCATGAGTGCCACGCCGCCTCGAAAGCACAGACTCACGCCCCTCACGATCACTGTCTCCGATCCTAAACCTACGTGGGCCCTGCCCCGCTGCGAGGGGGATGATGAGGGTGAGGTAACTGCGGGGCACAAGGGACTCATTGTTTGGGGCGAGCCATACGACATGCAGAACTGGGAGGCCACCCCCGGCTTCCTTGCCAAGTGGTCGTGGGCCGTGGATGGATGCCACGATCTGGTTGAATGTAGTAACCGCTGGAGGCGGATGAGAGGAGAGGAGCCTATTCGTCTCACTGAATCATTGGAAGGAAGCAGGCCATGGAGATGCAGGCTTGCCACTTAATGGGAGAGACGGAACCCTGTAGGAGGAGGGCTTCGGCGGCAGAAAGGACGAACCCCGGTCTTCCTTGCAACATCTCTACCTGCCGCCAAGACAATTTTTCGCCTGGGACCTTGACGTTGTCTCGTAAACGAATCTGTGGATTTGGGTCGCATGATCTCAACCTCCTGCGCAAAACAGTTCAGTGCCGTCCCTCTACGCTTCAGGGATGAAGTCGGGGACAACGAAGGTGTCTAGGGCCCGTGTGACGTGACATTGAAGCTTTCTATGGCAAGATTTAGGGCGGTAATGAGTCCTTCTAATGATTGACTGGACGTGAGCTATTAAGAAGTAGAAAATCATGAATTATACGTCTTTCTTGATATCTACTTGAAGGAAATTGTGTAGCCTGATAGTATACTGAAGAGCCCCGGGCCTCTCTTGGTTCCCTACTCCTCATCCCGCAACCCTACAAGTTCGAGCGAGTCGATCCAAAGCCTCTTCGCCTTCTCGACGTCATAGGCGTATGGGGAATATCCAGGCGCAGTGAACTTGTCGTCTCCTTCCGCATACGGCTCTGCTACGGCACAGTCAACAAGGTACTTGCCGCCCTCATGTTTCCATGCCTTGCCAACGGCTCCCCAGACCGATGTTGCCGCACCCTGCTCAACGCTCTTCATGATGGGGTACAAGTGCCCCATTCCCTTGAAGGCATCCGGGGGCATATGTTGGGCCAGCCCGGTCTGCACAAGGCCGGGATGGACGCTCGTGGAGTGTAGGTGGCGCGAGCCATAGCGGCGCTCGATTTCGTTCGCCATGTAAATGTTGGCCGTCTTGGATTGTCCGTAGGCCACACTGGGGTCGTAGCCGCCTTTCTGGAAGTTGTAGTTGTCGGTGTCATTAATCCCGTGGACGTTGTGAGCTGAGGAAGCGAGATTGACGACTCGGGACGGGAGGTCGGCGGAGGCGGCAGCCAGGAGAGCGGGCTCCAAGAGCTTGTAGAACAGGAAATGCGAAAGGTAGTTGGTGCAGAATTGGAGTTCGTGGCCATCAGCGGTTAGGCGCAGGTCGGGAATGGCCATGATGCCGGCGTTGTTCACGAGAAGGTGAATCTTGGAGGTTTTGGCGAGAATGGCTGCAGCTGCGATGCGAACCGAAGAGAGAGAGGCCTGGTCCATCTCAATAATCTTCATGCGGGAAGGTTCAAAGATACCAGCGAGGGCGGATTGGGCCTTGGTGACGTCTCGGGCCGTGAGAAAGAGAGTGGCACCCGTGGTGGCCAGGGCGCGAGTGGTTTCGATGCCGATGCCAGAAGACGTACCGGTGATGACGATGACCTCGCCCTTGAGCTTGCCTTCAACGCCCTCGTCCTTGATGATTTCCAGGGCCGTCGGGCGAGCATCGCCAGGGCCGTTCGGCTTGGCGTGGGCTTCAGCGTAACGTGACATGATTGCGCTGGCGAGGGATTTCTGAAAGCTGATGATGAGGAGCAAGACTTTGCTTAGGTATCACGAGGAGGAAGGGTGTGATATTGATCTCTGGAGAAGTTGGATACTGAGGTCGAGGCAGAAGAAGCAAGGTGGTTCATTTATATAGTCAACTCACTGAGAGTCTCCAATGCGCCGTGGGCTCGTTGCAGGTGATCATTACTTAGGGAGACTACCTATGACTTACCAATCACCATTGAAGATGCTTTCTGGCGATAGGTTCAGCTGGCCGAAAGCTAATATCGCCTCTTCTCCTGCATATTTTTCCAATTAAAATCAAGTAATCTGATGGCATGTTCTGTCCTTTCCTCGGTTTTTACTATTCTATTCTACTAGTAATCCCTGGTCCATGACCCACTGTGATGACACTTTTTCCCTATTTGGATTACTCACTCTCTCTATCCCCATGGGACCCACCTAAACTTACTGATTATCAAGTCCAACTATTATGTAAAGGCCCGGGACTCCGGAGTTATCTTGTGGGACTAGTCAGCGACTGGGGCTAAGATAAAGCCACGGGAGATCCGGAATCAGTTGGTTAACTTTAGTGAGACGCGCACTAGGCCGAAAAGGGGGAAAATGTCATCACAGCGGTCTATAGTTAGACACTATTGATCTGTGATGGGAGAGGTGAGTAGCACCACACGAGATCATCTCGACTGAGATTTTCGGTGAAGCATTATTCCAAGGTCGGGGTTAACTTAGGGATTTACTCTTATCCCCGCAAAGCGAAGGCCTAATACGGGTCCCTTGGAAGTTGACCTACCGGGTAGTAAGCAGATATTGTTCCGTATTAGACATAAATAGGTAGGAAGCCTCGCGGGGCATGTCTACAGTTCTTTTTCCTGCTATTCGGGCACTCACTGTCTTCAAATTCACCTACGCGACTTTCTGAAGAATCCCAACAGCTCGCTTCATCATGTCCTCCTCGATGAACTTAAGACAGTGCATAGAGGCTACAGCACGAGCCTTCCTATCCGCGTACGAAGAGGGCTCGGTCCAGAACGACGCCTCCATCATCAACCGCAACGTTACAGCGGACTGCAGACGGTACCTGCTTCCCTCGTCCGTACCCCATGCCTTTGGCCTACCGGCGGACTTCTTTTTCGACACGGCAAAGTATCAGGAGATGTTTGGGAAGGACATCAAGGTGTTGAAATTCACAAACAACATCATGGCGAACCTGATCATCGATACCGAAGCCCGCCGGGCCGCTTTTACGTCTGTCGCAGAGGTGCACGCCAATAACGGAGAAACGTACCCGGCAGAGATGGCTTGGTTCTTGTACTTTAATGAGGATGGGTCTAAAGTCAAGAAGGTGGTTGAGTTCTGCGACAAGGATGTGATCTTGAGGATGGCAAACACGGCTGCTTAGTTCGGCTCTGAAGCATACAGAATGTGGAGGGATATCCAGACGAGGTTTGATTCAACATCAACCCAAGATACAGACGTTTTCCCTGATTCGTGAATGCAATATTGTTATTGAAAATTACGCAAGTATCATTAGTTAGGTTGCTTCTCTACAATTTTCTTGTTCTTGGTGTCGATAGAGTGCTTATCAAAGAACGAATGGCGAAACAGTCAGAAGAGGTCAAGGAGACTAGCAGAGTCAATAGAAAAAGCTATCTAGAAGCCTCTTTTACGGGCGCACTTGATACCATGCCTGAATCAACAAAAGGAGCATCTAGGTCGGATGAAGCCTTGGTGCAAGTGTCTGGAAATGAACAGCTTTATAGAACGACCCACTTTGGCTATACTCCGTACAATCATACCCATGGCTGTTGGCCCACATCGGGATCCGCCCATTTTCCATTTTAGACCAGAACGCGAGATTTTAACTTTCTCTACTTCCATCCAGCCTCCTGTGCTCTGTGAGTGAGATATCCTATGGTCTTTCCAGGGAAAAAAAAGAAGCGCGAGAATAAATCTGCCTAGTCACACGACCGGTCATTTGCCGAGACCTCTGACGCAGCATCATAAATAATATAACTGTTATATTCACTCTTTGCAGCGATGAGACGTTTGGACCTTTGATAGGATCGAAAAAAAAAAAAAAAAAAAAAAAAAAAAAAAAAAAAAAAAAAAAATTGACGGAATCTGCTAGCCCCATCTCAGCCATGGTCAGATGTCCCATATGCCAGGAACATGTTGCTCTGTCCGACATCAACGGACACCTCGACTCTGGCTGCCAGACATTCATCGCAACCCAGCTACAGAGTCCAGCATCTTCTACTTCAAACGAAATTGACTGCGAGCAACGTGAGAGTCGTGCCATTGCTCAAGGAACAACGGAACAACATCACCTGAAGAATAACTATAATTCAACAGTCCCGCTCGATGTGGACAGAAATAAAAAGAGGTCCTTTAATAGGAACCCAACACCGCGCGCAAGAAACCAGATACGGGATCACCATCGACTAAGCTTATAACAGAGCAACTACATCTTCGCGTTGCGACCTTTAGCTGAACATGTCCAGCTGCGGTGCTTTGATGATATGATTAGTCAAGAACTATTGATCGGGCCCAATGGTACACTCAGACGGTTGATTAAGCCAGATAATCTTCCGAATCTGATTTTATAGAGGCCCCCAGGAAGCGGTAAACTACGATTACAAGAATTATCGCGCCTATGATAAGAATAAAATTCTATAAAATCAGTAGCTCGACTATATCGACGATAGAATATTAAATTATCGTTAGGAAGGCTACATAGGATGTATACAAGGATCAAAAAACATCTATTATATTTTGCGATGAGATACATTTAAATCATATATTCCCAACAGAATATATTTCTCAATGCCGTGCGGAGAAATAGTATTATACTCATCAGCATAATAACAGAGAATCCGTCATTGAATATTTGCTATACTCTTATATATAAATGCAGGATTTTTACTGTCACGAAGCTAACCATCAATGATATAACAGCTATTCTTCATTATTCAGTGGAATCCCAGACGCTGAAGTCATTCCAGCTTCTGGATGATAAATTTCTTTAATACATAACCAGCTTCGCGGATAGTGACAGTAGAATCGCACTGAATGTTGTTGAGATTGCTGCGGATATATGCAGGTGACTGAACATGACTATAAAGAAGTTGAAGCATTTATTAACTAAGAGTTTACTCTACAACTATTCAGGTGACCAGTATTATGACACCATTTCAGTATTCCATAAGTTACTTCGGGGCAGTGATCCGGATGCTGCGCTATACTATCTTATTCGAATGCTCCAGTCTGGCGAGAACTCCTGATTTATTGCTTGCCGTTGTATTGTGGCGACGTCGGAAGATATTGGACTTGCCAAAAATGCAATGACTTTCTCCTGAGTGGAATCATTTCTGAAAGTCACTGAGAGGTGATTGTAGGGTGCTTAATGGAATCTTCAATAGAAAATTCAATAATAATATTATATCCATCTGGAATATGGTATATCCAGTGCGAAAAAAATATATATATATTCTAGATGGCTTCTCTTGTTTTTCTCTTTTAGTATCCTTTTATTGTTACTTTATAAGTAGAATTCTACAGCTTGTAAATTGCGCCTCAAAGAAAAAGGATAAGAATAATACTGCTAATAAAGTAAAATATCCTATATATAAAGATAGAAACTCTCCTATATCCCATTGCATATAATACAAAAACATCTCGACCTTCCAGATAATCCATACATACTATGTCTACTGGGATACATTCTCCGAGAATATTCATTGTCAGACTGTTAAGTGACGGCCGCAACGGGATGGATGTGGTTAATTATAAAATAAATAGAGATATGTTAGCCGGCGGGGTAACTGGGTGAGTTATAGTCTTATAGACGGGCTTGCAGGTGATGTTCAGGCGGAGGGATGTTCAGGGCTGAAGGGACTGAATGTCAGGGTAGCAAGGGCGCTAAATCCAATAAATCAAAAAAAAGGTGGTGAGCAAAAAACATACAACAGAAGGGATTCGCTGGTGGTCACCCACCCAACTACTAACCTCCCGGCGTGTGGCTTAAGTACGGCTGAGCGGACAGGAAGCCCTGTTTTCCACACCCTGTGGTCGTATGTGCTTGTTCTCTCTTTGGAATGGATGATATAGAGCAAGTGGTTTTATATTTGCATCCCATTTTGGTTCCAATATACCCCTGTGTTGAAAATGATTGAAGTATTCCTAGGCTAGCTCATGGTAGAAGTCATCCCGATCAGCTTGAGTCAGGGGCCCCACCGCGGGAGAATCTGTTGGCTCACCAATTCTCCGAGCCATAATGGTGCCTGAGGCATTAGTTCATTCAATATATAGTCACGGGAAATGCGACAAATCAGACCAGGATTCGGTTCAGTGTATTTTCCTTCTGTCTATGTCTGGGGGGCTTCATTATTGCTGGACTCCAATGCTGATTTTGTTGCTTCTGCGATAGTAACTAGATCATCAGCTAGTGTGCCCAATTCGTCGCGCTCTTTGCGCATCTGCCTGAGCTCATCTGAAAGCGCCTTGTCTGCGCCGCCTTGCAGCTGCGAGACTTGGAGCTCCAGCAGTGCCAGGCAGTCCTTGGTGCGTTGGCGAGTAGCGCGTTGCGCATTTCGATCCTGGGGTCTCTTCTTATCGCGTTTTGGGATAACTCGCGACATTGTGTTGATGCATTTTGATGAAAAACTGAGAAGTAGTCATGGATATTTTGCTGTGGGCTGTTTTGGCGGGACATGTGCTGACTGCTTAGTGAGCCGCCATGGAAATGAATCCCTCCACTTAGAAGGAGCGCCGTCTGAAAATGGTATGAGAATTATTTATTGAGGGCTTTCTATGCATACATTGTTATAACGCTCTCTCATGTCCTCCTTTCTTATCTGTCCACTGGAGAAACGAATGAGGTACCTCGAAGAGGTCCGGGTTAAGCTCTGGAACTATGGCATCATCGATGGAGGCTCGCACGGTACACTCCCCGCCCAAGATATGCTCGATATTCCCCAGGGTGCTGTACATCACCCCAGAAGAATGAGACATCTGACGATCAACGGCTTCTTGGTCGTTATCGGAGGAATATTCTTCTCTTCTGCCGCGTTTCCATCTTCCAACTAGCGACGGGTAAGACGAGTAGCACTCCAATGAGCCATTGTGACAGAGTTCACTAAGGAGGTTTGGAAAATCCAGATTGTCATCGTCTGTGAGCCGTGTCAAAGCAGCGAGGATCTTCTGGGACGCGCCGTAGGTAATCGCGTACGCTGCACTACATGCCGCCTTCTCTATTATGCAGCTCATGCGGACATTGTTCCCAGTTCCGGCTGGGGCGTCATATAAATAAGGCGGAAGGTAGCGAGAAGGCATTGCTGTTATGTCGTGAGGCATCACCTGAACAGGTGAAGAGCTGTTGCACTTCATACCACAGTGACCAATCCAAAGAACGTCCCAGCTGTCTCCGTATGGAGAATCTGTGGTCGCATTCCTTTCCGGGGCGTTGATCTTCGGTATTTGCTGAGAGCCTAGGGCGAGTCCCTTCAATTGCATCTTGAGATTTATATCCCAGTCAACGTCGTCCTCAAGTATTAATGCACTTGCGATCCCATCTGCGACAATTCTATAGATTTTATTAGATGTTGTGAACGAACAGTATGTGACACGAGACGCTACCTCTGCACAGCATTCGCATGCGGGCGGGAAACAGGAACTGTTTCAGAGTCCTTTGAATCGTTCAATTCCTACCACAAATCGTGAGCTAAATATTCATCGTGGGTTCCAGGTTGACGGACCTTGGCGCTGTCTTCGTCAAGGATTAACCCGTCAATGAAGTCGACATGAAATCCTGTAGCTGAGGATGCAAGTACAATCGCATCGCGTCTGTCTAAACGCTGTGCTGGGCTAATCGCAAATATCTTCTCAAACTATACTATATCAGTATCTATGTGCGGATGGTCAGCGGGGTGATGGAGTAGCATACACCTAATGTGTTGTTTACGATCGCGTCTAAGGGGTCCCGGATGTCGTCGAGCATAACATGTAGGCCGCGCCCAATATTTTGATGAATAACTAAAGACCAAAGTAAAGCTATGATGACGAGCAGTAAGATGACCAGATTTGAAGATCGACGGCGCGGTCCAGGGCCCAACCTGACCGGAGACCCGGGAGTCATCATAGCAGCCATGTTCATTAGTGGGATGATCAGAAATGCGAGCGCAGACCCCGCCTCTTTTAAGACCCCAATGATTACCTTATGAAATCTCCACACCTTGTTTGATTGATGCAATGCATTGTGACCAAACAGCGTGTGACAGGCAGGACAGTGTCCAGTCAAATGCTTTGGTTAGACGCCGTCGTTGCGGGTCTTCACCAGAACTAGCAATCGGCTAAGGGATTGGCCCAGTTTACCCGCATGAGCATAGCCAGTAAGCACTAATCAGCCCTTTGCCTAAGCTGTAATCGTACAAAGGTACAGGGTCGTCTCCATTCCACGTGTGATGTCTGAATAAAATGGCTTCAAGTATAAACGTCCTGACAGTTTATAAGGTATACATTCAGTCGCAGTGCATGTGCTGGTCGGTCTTTCAGGTGGGAGGCAGGCACGTGCCAGTTGTAGCTTGTTTAAGCTCTGAGGAGCCGCAACAGTCAGGCTTGGCCTCACTGTGGTCTAATTTTCACAGGCCATTGTTTACTTATGGGGCCCCTAACTGACAAACCAGAAAAGTGGCTCCAAAATTCGTTCACGAACCGCAATTCCGAAGATGGCACATTAGATATGCAGCCAACGCGAGAAGCGTAGCGCTACTCAGGATTTCTCGGGCGTCGTTATTGATGATGTAGACAAAGTTGACGCAGATGCATATGGCGGCGGGCTAGCGTCCTCCGCAACGTGCCCTTCGAAGCTTTGAGTAGCTTTTTCTGGTTCCCAAGAGTTTGCCAATAGCTCCACAGGGAGATCGGGAACATCAAAGGTACTTGTTTTTCCTGCACATTCAAACGAAAATGACGCGCACAACCGATACGTCCTGCTGATGTTGAATGTGCGGAAAGAAACATCTGTATGCCTGATTCTAAGATGTCCAAAAGCCTGCGCTAAGTCCACTTTACCCAAAACTCGCATACCGAGTGACGTTCGTGATAGTATTTCAATCCGCTCGTCAACTTGGCCCGATAATGCTCCCATTAAAGACGGAGCGGCCCGAGCGGCAGTTTGACTGACCATGAAGATGGACAAAGATTGCATCACAATGTCCGGAGGTGAAATAACAGAAGAGTCCTCCATAAAAGGCGTAATGTCTAAAAAGCATGGGATCGGTGCAGATTGTATCATGCGTGTGGGGTAGGAAAAAGACGCTTTAAAGCTGAACCGAGGCAGCTGACCAGGTGATAGCCATGACTGGATCTTCTCCTGCACCTTCAGGCTTCTTCCCTTATTTTCCGGGAGTAGAAGCATGCTTCGTATATTGAACAACTGCTCCTTCTGTTGCTGATATGTCGCAGGGTAGCTGTCTGTGCTTTTCAAATCCCATCTAGCTTCAAGCGGTAAAAAGTTCAAATGTACGACCTCAGAGAACAAAGGTGACTTTCTCCCTAAGATTCCTCGCTGCGGTCTGAATACTTGGGCGTGGACTCGGTACTCGATGGTGCACTCCAGCTTCCGTAAAGAATCATGAGTTTCGGCTGCAAAGGTGGGTGGCAGGGGGTGATTCGCGTCGCTGCGGAAAGGCAAAGTTTCGGGCCATCTTGACGAGGCGGCCTGGACATGTGACGGAAAGACGAATTCGAACGGCCATTCATACGTGTCAGGGGCAACTGTATCGCCATTCGGGTGCCATAGTATTCTCTCCTTTTCGAAAAGGATACATTTGCTACGATAGCTGGCGGCAGGGGCTGCAGATCCCTTGGTCTTCTGCACCTTTGCCTTTGCGCGCCCGGAGAATGTCACTCGAATATCCTGAATCTCTGTTGGGGTAGGACATTGAAAGATAACACGACCTCTGATTCGGTCATTTCCAGCGTAACACTGCTGCTGATTGACCAACGACACGGTGATAGGCATTGTAAGGAATAGTACACGACCCAGACTTGGGTGGCTTCAATGACAAAAGAGCTGCTGGGAAGGGATTGCAGAAAGAAAATGCAGGGGAACGGCGGGATGGCACACCTTTGTACCACTGTCTAGTGGCTTGTCCCACATATTTTTTATCTGAAAGCATTGTCCAGGATATATAAATAGGATGTGATTGTCGAAGCTTTTACCAGACCCATTAATACGTAGTCGATGATGTCTGAGACAGTGGGGGGGCGCCCGTAGCAATTCGCGAATGAGGCGCACAACCGTAAACGAATACGCGGAGACTTCCTGATCCGGAAGGGGTGGCGTTCCACTTTCGCTCCACTCAACCTTCACAATTCAGTACAACATCCTCGGTTCCACTACCCATGCTTGCATGGGTAAAGATTTAGTTTTAAATCTCTAGTACCTGTTTCATACAAATATAATGCTGAAATATCTCTAATCATGGCGCCCCATGATTATCTAGCTATATGATCTACTTACTACTAGCAAGTGAGGCAATACATGCAGTTAGCTAGTCCTCTTAATAAGCAAGATCTCTCTCTACCTTGCCATCGCCTGTGTAAATGCATGAAGGGTATCTCTAAAAATATTATCCAAGACATCTTTTCAGTTCGATGCATCCTGATATGTAATTGGCCGAGTTAGGAGCAGACAAATGTTCTCTACTTACCGCCTTCCGTAGCTGTTGTTGCATCTACTTGCTAGGGATCCTGTCTCGGATCCTGGTGTTCAAACACCAGGATCATGCAGCTAACATTGTTTTCATTATTTCCAGTGGTCTCGAATATTTAAAGAATGGGTATATCGGTGGATCAAAGGAAAGCGACAGTTGTTGCTCAGGTGCCGGATTATTCCGTGACGCGCCATAATAATAAGCCTTTCAAGTTCCTGACAAGAAAAAGGCACAAAGTAAGATCTGCGCACAGACCAGGATTTCGGCTCCATGTGTGACTATGAACTATGTATGGAGTACTCCACAGGAAGATCCAGTAGTACGCATGGAAGATAGACCTCGTACCAACGCGCCACAACCAAATCGTCTCACAGAAAATTCCATAGATGTTGCTTGTTAGAGATGAATCATAAAACAGAGTGTTGTGAGATCGCAGGTCATTCAAAATCAAACTATTGTTTGTGCAAACATCCGGTAGCTTGCGATACTACTAATGCCTCTTTATTCATAAATGTCAAAATCCCCCAACATGATCAGATAACCATTTTTTTACCTACTCCTACATAAATGGTTTCGAGTTGGTTCATGCTCACCTCTTCACCCCTCCCATCTCCCTTGTAGCCGAGTTCGAAGTAGATTCTCATTCAAATCATCCACAGTAAGTAACGTGATCTGCTAGTCTCCCCTTGCAATGGCTTACGGCCACAGGAACACCCAACAGCCTTATCAGCTACATACTGACCACAAATATAGTACCTACAGTTAGCTTTTGGCAAGACTTTAAACAAACGCTACAAATTACTGGAGCCATCAACGGTCTCCAGCTTTATCAGCGATCTTTATTTTATCCTACAGGGATTACTGTTGCCTTTCCATTCTGAATGTGTACCTGATAACCCCGCCTTATTTCCACAGCCGAGCCTTGCACGGAAAACCGACCCGTTGCATTTCCTCATTCTGCGCCCTTACCTCTCACCTTCTGTCAGACGTCTTCACCCGCTTCTCTGTTAATCTCAACGGATAGGCCTGGTCCATCCTCAGCAAGTCAGCATGCCTTGGAAACTCTTCCGCAAAGATCTTTCCGACGTATGCCTCCGAGGGAGATTTCCCCGTCTAAGCCACCTCAGGCTCGGTGACGAAGACAGTACCATCGCCTTTACCTACAGCTTCCAGCCCAGCATGCACATTGAATTTATGGTCTCCATTCTTGGTATGTGAGAACCTTCATGATGTGTTATTCATCTGGTTTACTAACCGCGTGATAGATGCCACCGAATACCCCGATAATCACAGTTACTTTGCGTTCGCTGTCACGGACAATATCCCCCCGGCTGTTTCCGCCATTCTGGAGACAGTACAATGCAAGTTCAATGGTTGCTCTCTAGAGACATTCCTAGAAGGCTTCTGTAATTACCTTGACCAAGCTGCCCTCGGGAGAGAACCGCGGGCAAGTTCTCCTATAGATGACGACTTCGATGCCATCTCAGATGGTGAAGATATGGACTGGGACGAGTACCCCGATGCCCCACAGATGGACCATTCCGTGGATATGAAGCAACTGCGAACTGATCTTCGAGCAGCTAAAAGCGCAGGATTCAAAGTTGGCTATCTTGGTGACCTGGAGGGCTCGTTCATTGTGTCTATTTCCTGCCGCATTGCTAGCCTAGGCATTTCACAGGATGCCATGCAAATGTGGGATGTCTGTCCCACACACTTTATAGTGCTGCTTCTTTATTACCCAAGGGGGTATCGGAGACTAGACCACATTGTATCCCAGTCCCAGACAGCTCCTTCGCCAGTCAGGATGTATGTCGGTTTTTGCGATAGGTACAAGCCCACGGCGGTGTCTATCCCAGAGACGCACCAGGAATTCTCAGGCCTCGGTGTATCAAGCTCAACTCCCAAATCTGCTTTAAAATCCTCGTTCATCACCGACCCGTTAGAGACCCTTCTCAACGATCGCTTCCTCAGTATTGTACAAGATCGACTCAGACACGGTTTCTCATGGACCGGGGCAGAAATTTTCTACAATGACGCTCAGGGTAAGAAGCTAGATACCAAAGATTCTAAGCTTCCCAAATACTTTGTTCCAGAGGAATGGGCCAAGTTCACACCCGGCTTCGTTAAAGCAGACGATCTGTCACAGCATACAGCACATCAGCTGTCCCTTCCTCTCATTGCCATGCAGTATACTCTGCGACGTTTTGTTAAGTGCACGGAATTCTGTCTGAACTGCCATTGCAAAATAGACGCCGGTTTTGAGGCTCTAAAGCCTTATGTTTGTTCCAGTCCGTTATGCCTCTATCAATATATGCAACTTGGGATGGGTCCCAAGCTAGAATGGGAGATAGTCACACAGCCGTATGTGGTAGACATGCTCGTTAGCTTTGCTTATGCTCGGGCTGCACAAGGGCAACTGACTGACCTTCCCTCTGGACTCGGCATGAAGGTTGCCTCTACTGGATCAACTCTGCCATCATGGACCGCGAGGCTGGATGCTGCCAAGATGACACTATTAGCCCAAAAGCCTCATAATCTCAAAGTTGGTGAATGGATTCTAATAAAGCTAGCCAATGCGTCTGATCTACCATCGACTGTTTCATCGCTCTGCAGTACTGTGCTCCAAGTGCATGACCAGTCGCTTGTCGAGATCTCGCAGCCTATCTCTGTAGGCTATTGGACTGACACACAAGACTCGCTTTCTGACGGGCTAGACGTGCAAGTTGTACCCTTCCGTGTTGACTTTGATAGTTTAGCTGGCGATTTGAAACAGAAAGCAGTCATGCTACTCCTCGACACATTACCCGATGTCTTTTCGATGAAAAATTTCATCGAGAGCAGTGCGCCTGAGTACAAAGCGCTCGCCTCATGGCATGGCACAATCTGCCCATCAGCTCTATATGTACTACGATGGATTCTTGCTTCAAATAGATCGTGCATCGTACACGACGATAATCCTGAACACCAGGTGACAGGAATGCACAACTACATGCAGTTCAGGCTAGCGCAGGGGTCTCCAGACAAAGAAGCTCGGTTCGTCCAGGAACTCAATAACAGCTCAAATATGGAGTTCCCCACGCTTTTTGCTTGGCACGGAAGCCCAGTTTATAATTGGCACAGCATACTGAGAGAAGGTCTAAACTTTGCTCAACAGCTGAATGGCCGTGCTTATGGAGATGGTGTTTATATGGCGAAAGATCTTGAGGTTTCTCGCATATACTGCTCTCGTGGTAGTATGTCTGGAGCCAAGTGGTCACGAAGCAAGTTAGACATCACTTCTGCTATCTCGCTGAATGAAGTTGTCAATTCACCGACAAAATTCAAACTGACCAAGCCCTATTATGTTGTTACTCAACTAGACTGGATTCAGTCGCGGTACCTGTTTATCTCAGGGGGTGGTATCAAAGCTCAAGAAGAAAACAAGAACAAACCTTCAAAGGTTTACAAACAGCATCCGGATTGGACGGCACGTGGCCCTGGTAATGAGCCTGTTTCCATTCCTATATCGGCCCTTGGCACTCGGCAGAGCAAGAGCCACAAGAACAAAGACGATTCGAATGGGCAAGCCACAGGTCATAGACAAAAGAAAAGGAAGGCATCTGCAAAGGGGGTACCTGGTCCGTCTGAGAGCTCATCGACAACTGATCCCAACGACGATACGGAGTTTGAGGATCTTCGCTTACTTGATTCGGACTCGGATGGCGATGTCATTGGAAAATCAAGACGTGTCGATGCATCAAAGTCCAGTCATAATCTGAGACGCGGGTCTAAAACCGACTTCCAGCCCGGCACATTGCAAGCTCATTCCTTCAAGCTCCTCGGACCACCAAGCTACGCGACCACAACCGCGACAAAGTCACTACAGCGTCATCTCAAGGCAACATTACGCATCCAGGACCGAGAGCCTCTACATGAGATCGGTTGGTATGTCGACCCCACACTTATCAACAACGTGTATCAGTGGATTGTCGAGTTCCACAGCTTCGATCCCTCTCTTCCTTTGGCACAGGATCTCAAGCAGAAAGGTCTCACGAGCGTTGTTATGGAAATGCGCTTTCCACCGCAGTTTCCGATGTCTCCGCCTTTTATCCGCGTCGTTCGACCCCGATTTATGTCCTTCCAACAACGCGGTGGTGGCCATGTGACCGCTGGTGGCGCCATGTGCATGGAGCTACTCACAAGCTCAGGCTGGCTTCCGACGAGCTCCATAGACAGTGTGTTTCTACAGGTACGTATGGCACTCTGTTCAACAGAGCCTTGGCCTGCACGCATTGAACGCGATGGCGATTACCCGTTCAGTGAAGCTGTGAGTGCCTACAGGCGAGCTTGTCAAGCACATGGTTGGAAGGTGCCTGATGATTTTAATCGCATCGAGGCGGCATGATATCAGTTGTCAGTCAAACCGATCATTTTTTTTTCTCTCTAATATTTCCTTCATATTATGTCAGTGTGTGACCATTTCTAATGCGGCGAAGTCATGCATCAAAACTCTATTCTCTCAAGGCGTCTGTCCCGGTAGACCACGATGATTTGAAGCATGAGTTACCATTCAGATAGAAGACTGCCGAAATTGTGAACCATCAAGGGGCTTTAACATTTCCCCAAGTAATCGATAGAGATGGATATAGATATTTGAGGGAATACTCCCTGTATTTACCCTCTACCCTCACCCAGGAAGAGCACTGATCGATCTCCATGCCCATTCCTCCAAACATCAGCCCCATATTTCCGGTAGGCGAGTATGAAACCAAAATAGTTGATGTTGTGATTGTATACATCATTCCTTGACATCTATAGTTTGGGCACAAGCTCGCGCATCCTGGCAAACTCATACAGAAATTGATGATTGCAAAAGGCCAGCCTTCCTCAGCGCCGGAATCGCCTTGTCAACCACCCACTCAGTGCACTTCACCAACGGTCGTCTTTCCTCACCGGCCTCATAGAACTCTAGAGGCGACAGCCTCTTGAAAGGCTCAGTCTTCATTCGTTTAACGTTGAATGCCTTTTGTTGTGGGGGAGCTGGAATATCTCGTAGAACCTTGTCCCAAGAGTTGGGATAGTGTGCTGCTTCCGTCATACCAAGCAGTGTTCGAGAAAAGAAGTTGTCGACGGACTCTGGTCGAGGGGCGAGTTTAGATTCGTAGTACATCCCCTCTGGTGAGGTGATATCCCCGGTCACTTCATGGATGGTTCCAGAGCCAGTCACTGGGTCTGTTTCAATGAAAATCGCAGTGTGATAGCGCGGAGAAGGAAGGTCGGGGTCTGGCATTGCCAAATGGGTTCGGATTATGTAGACAGGGTAGTGAGTCATGTTGGAGTTGTGCTTTTTGATATGGCAGTTGCTGATGGGAATATTGTAAGGGCGGGGGAGTGAGGCAGGGAAGTCGGCAAGGAGCTCATTTAGCAGTCATGTGTCTTTGGCGGCCACGGCATTTGTCTGCCTGGTGTCTACCTTCATCCTACAACACTCTCACTCACACTCTGGACTCAATATCTCTACTTCAGTAAATGCTATGGCACGGGTATCTCATACATGGTAATATGGAGAGAAATCTCTCACAGCCACCGCATACCTCCGCACACATCACAATGACCACACCACAGATATGCAGTGCGCAATTCACTACGCGCACAAAGGTAGCCCCAACCCTACAATGCAAAACTGCAGAAGCGATATAGCAAACTGGCGTCACCGCCTTCAGAGTCGTGATTCTGCCTGAATACTTGTTTATGTGTTGCTCGAAGAGAGTGAATTAAGATGGCTGGAAAAAGACTTCTCTCTCTACTGATTTCTCTCTTCTCTTTCCCATGTTCATCTTCTTTCCCATCCAAACCGCATCTCAAACCATCGTTTCTCGTGCATCATGTCGAGCGATATGGACACCCAAGTCTCGAGCGGGACGGAGATGGGAGTCTCATTACCTTTCCTGCAAGCAGCACGCCAGCTGAACTACGACCGTTTGAGTTTGTTGATCGCTGAAGGTCATCATCCCAACAGACGCGATGAAAATGGCTATACGGCTTTGCATCGGGCTATACTTGAATGCCCTGAAGACCTAACTACCGTTGCCATGCTGCTGACGTACGGAGCAAATCCACATGCTGTTTTCAAGGATCGGAACAGCTTACGCGAAATAACACCCTTACACTACGCTGCCATAAGGGGAGATGTTGGGCTTGTGTCCCTCTTCCTCCATCATGGAAAAAGTGACCCGGCCCCTCGAAGCCTCAAATATTGGACCACCCCCCTCGAGGATGCCATCAGCAATGGTCATCTCACGGTGGTGGCAAGATTTATTGAATTCTTCTCGAGCAGTCAGCTGCTGAACAAGCCGTCCCGCGGAATAGATGAATCTATCATATTGTCCGCGAGACTCTGGTACTCGAAGGCATTGTCGCTGCTACTCGACTACAAGAAGCACCACTTGTTTCCCAGTCCTCATGGGCCCGACGTTCTCAAGCATGCCTTTTGCGAAGCTATCCGATCTGAAGCTTGCAACTCCAGCGTTCAGGGCATTGGTGAGCGAACAGGAGGTCCCGGAGATAATACTCCTTCTAAATGCGCAAACCTCCTTCTTCAAGCCGGAGTGCGCTTCAGGGACGATGAAATGGATCGACTTCTCAGCATAACCTGCAGCAACGCCCATCTGATCGGTGTTACCCGCCTGCTATTGAACCTGGGTCCCCGAGTGACTGCTCATCACATTACCCGTGCCATAGAGAGCCAGAGTTATCACATGGTGAAAATCGTTACCAAATATGTCATCACCAGTGACGGAGAAGACGCAATCAAACGCGACAGTGAGCCTGACCTCATCCAGTACGCTGCAAGTCACGGCAGCCTCGACGCCTTCGAATACCTAGCCACCGAGCTCGGTACCGCTTCATCTCAGAGCCAATCTATCGCCACGACCGAGAGCCGCAAAACCCCTCTTATCCATTACGCCGTGTGGGGCCTCCGCATCGACGTTGTCCAGCATCTTCTCTCCACGCAAGGCGCCGACGTCAACGAGCAAGACGAATATGGCCACTCACCACTGATGTATGCTTTCGACCTCGCACAAGCAAGCGACGAGAACCCATGCCTGGCTATAATCCAGCTCCTGATGCAGTACGGTGTTGATGTGAAAGCCCGTTCGATCGAGGGTCTCACTGCTCTGCATCTCGCCGTCAGACTAGGAATCACCCCGGCTGTCCAGCTCCTCCTCTCGAATGGGTGTGATCCCAATGCTAAAACAACCACCGGCAGCGATCTGTATCTCAGACGGAGCCCCAGCTCTTGGAGCCCAGAGACTACCGCACGCAACCGAACCGCATTGCATTGGGCTGTTGATCGGTTGGCGAATGTTTCCTACGATGTTGTTAGACTTTTGCTCCATTACGGCGCTGATATGAATGCTGAGGACGGAAATGGTGTCACGCCTTTGAACCTTCTGCTCGGCGAGGGATGGTGCATTAATAGAGCTTGGGAGTCTCGTATGGCGGTTGTCAACCTCTTCCTGACCTTTGGTGCAAACATTGACATCAAAGATATGAGCGGGATCACGGCGCGTCAGAGGATCCGTCAGCGAGAGGCGGAGTTGTGTGCCCCTGTTGTTGACTAGATGAGTTGAGGGCGGGGTTACCTTGGTTCTTTGGCTTAAGGTTGACACTCTGGTCTCTTGAATATGTCTCATGATTTGCTGCTTGACCTTCCGATCTTGCTTTACAAAAGAGGGTTGTTTTACATATGGTCGTTGGGTTGAAGTCGCCTGATTTTACTTCATTTTACATGATTTGTTGCTTGATCTTTCTATCTTACCTTACAAAAGAGAGTTGTTTTACATATGGTCGTTGGGTTGAAATCGCCTGATTTTTCTTCATTTTACATGAATTGTTGCTTGATCTTTCGATCTTGCCATAGGGAGGGGTTGGTTTTTATATCGGCTCTTGGGATTGAGTTTGCCTGATTTCTTCGTTTACTTCAACATATGTTGCTTGGTATTAACGAGATGATGAAATATTGGGTACGTCGATTACATCAGGAGTTTGTGGATCTACGGGCATGTTCACGCCTTTTACAATCTGTTGTTGGGGTAGAAGAGGGAGGGATTTCGAGCTGGTGATGGGAGAAAGGAATTTGACAAGAAGATGAAAGAAGACAGAAAAGAAAAGAAAAAGAAAAAGTACAAAAAAAAAAAAAAAAAAAAAAAAAAAAAAAAAAAAAAAAAAAAAAAAAAAAAAAAAAAAGGGGGGGGGGGGGGAAAGGAAAAAAGGAAAGACATAAATGAAAGAAAAAAATTTGAAGAAAAAGACGGAAGAAAAAAATGAGGAAAAAAGCGAAAGTGCAAAAAGAGGGGATGGGCCGTGTAATATCACGATGATACTTTAATGTTTCTGATGCTTTACGATAGTGATGATAGTAATGCCACTTGATTAATGTCTGAGCGTATCTTCAGTAGATGCGAGATGAGAATATAGAGATAGTAGAAATGATCGGAGCCGTTCGCAACCAACACCAGCTATCGTCCTCCGGTATGACAAAATTCTGTATAGAAGATTAGTGGGAATAGCTTCAAATTCCTACTCTGTGGTATGTAACATGACAAATTGCCATTTTACCAAACCCCTCCTTCTTTCGACTCTTTCGAAACGGTGTGGCCATCTATTATGACCATCTTCGACCGATACCAGATATGGTAGTCTGTAGGAGACACACTGAGTGGTCGTAGAACCGGGGCTGGTTAACGGGTCAACCACTGCTGATCCCCTCAATACGCATCATACAAGCGCCCTCTCCGTCAGGAGGATCTTGTAGGCGTATGTGACCCTGTGTCCTGCGGCTCTCGAGTGCTCGAAGCCTTCGATCCTCGAAGTCCTGATCGCACCGGAGAGCGTCATGGCAGGCCCAAATGCTTCGCGACATGCTCCGTAGGCAGCCTTAAGGTTATAACATAATCCTATTAATCATCATCCAGCTTCTTCAATCACTCCCAGCCTCTTCCTCACCACCATCCGCTTCATCTTCAACATCCAGTTCAGGCAACGTGAACTGCGTACTAGGCCCAGCTTCCGCCTGCTGAGTATTCGCAGCCGACCGTCTAGCCCTCTGTGCAGCCGGATCAGACATAGTAATCGCGCGCTCACCAACGTATCTATCACCCGGCCACGCAGTCTTGCACACAGGACAGCTTTCAGCCTGTTGCATACAAAAGAAATTCCGCATGCAGTGATCGTGCAATCGTCCAGTACAATCGCGGTCTCCGCATCGTTGGCCCTAAACACAATCACAGAATCATTAGCCAACAAACCCGCATAGCAAGGAATACTCTCCAACTCACAGCAGTAATGATATCCCTGCACGCAGCACAGAACTTAATCTTCCTAATCCCCTCATCATTATACGCCGCTACCAACCACCCCCTCAACTCCATCAACCCGCGCGGACTCAACCGGTAATACCCCTTCCTGCTCTTCTCAAACCACCCCTGCTCGACAAGCTGCTTCAGCATCGTCTCCGCCTGCGTCATAGTCAACGACTGCGCCGCGCCTCCCTGCGTTGCTTGCTGCTGTGTCCCTGACTCTCGTCTATTTGCGTCCCCTGCACCAGCCTTGGCCAGCTGCAATGCCTGCATACTACTTATGACCATTGCTTCCTGGCGGCGGGTATTGTATGTGTCGAACATGGCGTCGAGGATGCGCTTCACGAAGGCGATTTCGTCGGCGGAGTATGTGGTTGCGAGCTGGGTGAGGGCGTCGCTGGTTGTGTTGACGAGAGCGTAGACTCGTTCCGGAGCTGGGGGAGGGTCATTGTTGTTGTTGATTTCAATCTGGGGTAGTATGCTCCGGATTTCGAGGTCGAAGGGGGATATGGCGCTGTTGGCGGCGGCGATGTAGGTTTGGAGGTCGTCTTCCGTTATGTCTTCTGGGGAAACTTGTTCGTCGTCTATATTGATCCGGATTTAGTTTGGTATTTTGGTGTATGAGTAGAGTATGGAGGATTACCTTTGATGGAGAATATAGCAGCCAGAACGGGCTTTGCTTGTGTAAAGGTCATGGTGGACCGCGCCATGAAGGCTTGGAGAAATGCGCGGTTGCTGTCATCGTAGCGGTCGTGGTCTTCTGCGTATCGGGGCATTTTGTATGTAGGTTGATTGCACTTTGAGGGAGAGGGTGTCATAAGTTAAGTGGTTATATCGTGAGATTGTGCATTGCGGTTTCTCTTGTAGATTGGAAGGAATATGATGTCTCCTTTATGCGGGGAGTATATGAATGGATGGACCGGACAAAGAAATTGGATGCGACGGACGACGCGATGGACGCGCCGGCGGCCCCGCGTTTATTGGTTCTGGATGCCAAGACTGGAGGTTCTTTGTGTCGTCCAATGTTTATTTATGACTTCGAGGATCGATTGGGATATAAGTAGGTTCTAGCAGCATGGTTTTTTATAGCAGAAACCAATATTAAAAAGTAGTATCACTATAAGATAAGAATTGTTTCATTCCTTAACACAATCCAGAACCATATTGCGGATATCGCAAATGCAGTTGATATCATAGCGTAAAGAAACTAAAATAGAAATACAGCTGACAGATGATGGTCATTCTCCCCCAACGCCGCATATAGAACAACACAAAGGACAATCCAAATCACAGAGCCCTCCTAGTACCTCCTCCGGGTCGGCTCCGGACTAGGACTGCGGCTGACACTTCTCGCATCCCTGCCACGCTCCTTCAGCCACTTCTTCGTACTGAGACGAAGATCCCTATCCAATTCATTGCTGGGGTCCTTCCGATGAATGAAGTTGCAGAATCCACCACGTACACACCCCTCGCCGCTATTTAACCGACAACAAGCTTCTCGGAAATCTGTAACCGGTGATAATTCGCAATATATAGGTCGTGCCGCGTACCACCGTGAATTCAAAGCGTCGCAGGCGGCCTGGGCATCTTCTTCGTATTTGAAGCGCGCGTAGACATTTCCGATGAGGTCTATTAGAGAAGAAGAAACTCTATGTTAGCCTATATCTTACCACTATCCGGGGAAGGGATATGAATGGATGCGACTCACGGTCATTGTTGTTATCGCAGACAACCAACTCCTCCAACTCGCCGTACTTGCACATCTCGCACCACACATCCTCGTAGAAAGCATCAAAGTGGTTCTGTAGCTGACTGGGGTTCATCTTGCTCTTCGGGTCGTACGCGGGATTCTGGTACATGTTCGGCATCAGGATCGTCTGAGAGTATGACGGCTTAACGTGCTTTCGGGAGCAGCGGTCGCCATGTCTGCAAGCTCCGATTTTGTAATAGAAGGAGCAGTTGACCTTGTCCTGCTCTGTACCGAAGATGGAGGCGAGATAGTTGGCCATGGTGGATCGTGTTGCGCCAAGCTCGTTTCGCGAAGATGGACTGCTGGACGGTAATAAGAAAGGGATATAGGTGGAAAGGTCGAGGATCTAGAGGAGATGAATAGTACGCGAAGGCTGCAACAGCGCAGAGCAAATACGTTAGCGCGACGTGGTTTCCCCAGCTCTTGATTGCAGATTCTGGAGAGCTTCGATCTCGTGGCGGCCGCGCTGACTAATCTCGGAGAAGCTTCTGGTGCCTGAGGCGTCCATATTCAGCATGTACCTTACTCAGCTCTTTCTTCGTAGTGAACTTTTGGGCTAGATTGCTATTGGTTTATAGTCTATATGTTAGGGGAAAAGTCTAAGTTATTATTCTATTGAGAAAAGTTAACCGATCTAAGCGGTTTGATGATGCAAAGGCGACTATATACGTTCCAAGCCTCGACGGCTCACACCCAGCCCGCTGATATCTACTGCAGGCTGGACCCCTTCCACCAGATCGGCAATAACCTTTCCAGTTCCAAGAGCAAGCGAGATGCCCCAAGGACCGTGGCCCGAAGCGACAAATACTCCACCCTTCCTGCTTCCTGTGGTGGTCTTGATGCCCTCTCCCAACAAGCTGTCGTCAATTCTCCCCACAAAAGGTGTGCCACGATCTGAAGCAGGACGGAAACAAAGGCCTTCACGGACTATCTTCAGGTCGTTCACGTTCGGGGTTTCGTCACTCGATTCCGTTTTGCCCTCGGCAAGCTTCCCAAGCAGGCGAACAGACGCTGCCTTCAGTCTATCCATCTCCTTTTGGTCCACTGACTTATGGGAGTCGTCTGCTCGTTCCGGAAGTGGGATTGTCTTGGTATTCAAACCCGCAATGTAGATTTCTCTCCCTTCCCGAGAGAATAATTCCGGGCTAAAGCCGCAGGATGGTGGCCATGTCGTGAACAAAGCATGGGTCTCACCATGATACTTTTTCTGCTCGTGTTCCAGAGTATGTCTTGGAGAGTGAAGTACCAAAGAATACCCAGCGAGCGGATATATAGGGAGTGCAACTTTGGAGAACGGGAACAGGTCACGGAAGACCTGCGGTGTCCACGGTCCAGCGCAGACAACTAGATTCGTACAGGGGATGGTAGATTCGGATTTCGTATTCAAGTTCACAATTTTGACGCCGGTAATGGTACCGGCCTCATTCCTGACAAGTGATGAAGCCTTTGTTGGATAGTGAAGCTTGACACCCCGTGACGTGCAGCTGTCCATGAGGAACCTGCACAACCTCAAGGGATCACTAATAATAATCAGCATATTTGCTTCATTGCGCAAGAATTCAGTCGGCCTTACACTTGACCAGTCGTATCCTTGTCACTGATTTGCTCTACCTTCGCCCCCTGCTGCTGCGTCAACCATTCTGGGACCTGAGGTTCCCCGTACTGGCTTGTGCCTGCAGCCGTCTCTGCGCGACTGGTACCTGCACGAAGCCAATCATCGCCACGAGCACCTCCTTTGTTGCTCACAGAGCCTAAGCTCAGCGCCACACCTTTCATATAACCCCATTTCTGCCGTCCTCCGTGCTCAGCAGCAAGGGACTCGTGTAAATTGAATGACAACTCTCCCAATGGCGCGAGAGAAGGCGCAAACCAATCCTTAGCTAAGAAGCCAGCAGCATAGCCAGAGGCAGAGCAGAACAGCTCGGATGCCGATTCAATGACATGAATTTCTTCTTGCGGTTGACTTTGAGAGAGGTAATAGGCAATTGAGGAGCCAATGATACCTCCTCCAAGAATGACGGTTGGCATGTTGGAATTGGAGCTATGACTTGTCTGAGAGTTCTCGGGTAACAATGGCGCTCAAGTTCATAGAATCACAATGCAATTTCTGATAGGGAATTTTGTCCTCCTAGCACTGTCATCTTGGGTCGCTGTCAAACTTATATAAATAGGAGTGGGTATCTCCAGAGCTCCAAACAAAAGTGGCGGGGTAGTTCCGGGAAAGTCGATTCGAAGAACAGAGTGGATCGCGCCCTTCGAATGATGATTCCCGGATGAGATACCTACTACTACTTTGCAACCCTGCCGCTGCATTTGCCCTTATCAACCGGTACCCTTCCCGAGTTGACCGGGCCGGTTGACCTTGTATCAACAAGCATCAGGATGTCCCTTGTTGATAATGTATCTTGGAACCCTGATAGAGCAACCAACTTTGCTCTCTTGCGTGATGTTGTTGATCAGAGATAGCGTTCCGAACTCGGACACCCAGCCGATTCCGGAGGTCCAGACGTTTCCGGGTCTTCGTCCATCCCCTGACAATTAGCGGAATAAACGTTCTGAAGAAAAATACGTGCTTATGAGATAACACTAGAATCCCTATAATCAATTTCTTGGTATCAGAAGCAGGGGTTGAGAGTCACTCTCGATTCGAGTGGTAGACCCATATGCACTACTCAGGGTACCGGGGAACGGCTTCCCCACGGACTTCATGATATTCAGTGGATTCGCTCCAGATCTCCTAGGTACCTTGGCAAGGGTTCTAGAATTTTCCAATACATTTTCCTTGTAGGGAATGGCATTTAGACTCGAAGTACTCAGTAGACTTACGTTCATGAAAATGAATCGATCTCTGATATCCGCAACGTATAGCCGTACCAACTCCCATCTACGGTGGCACTTCATATCTGTTGCTTTGATATTGACAGCGCCATAAAAGTCGGTCAGTGGAATATAAATTCCGCACATAAACAAAGACTCAAGTCAATGATGATAATACTGAGCGCTATCCCTCTCCACCAACTCCACTCGACCAGCATATCTTTTCCGCGGAAAAGTCAAATCCTCGTGGTATGGTTACCCCGGAACTTAGATTTCTAATGAGTTGAAGTGATGTGACACGTTGTAAATCATACATGTATTAATCTAGGTGGACTATAACAGTTGAAACTGTAAACATGGTGCCATATTAAGACACAGTTTAACATGAGGATATAGTATTAGCGGGTTCAGGATGTCTACGCTGCTAGGTAATGCAGTGATCTAGCGACATAAACCACCAGTCCAATGTTCCAGATGTTTGTCCTGTAATGTTCAAAGAGAATTATTGATTCTCATTACCATATACCTACACCCTAATAATGGTGTGTTCATCCTACTGCTCGATCTTCAATCTGGCGGATGAAACAGCGCGAGGAATTGCCGGCAAGCACCCCACGTTCCCCTCATTACATCACCCGCCAAAGCCGGCGATAACTCAAACTTATTCCCCTCTTCGTACACTTCAGCCACTATCATTGTGCAACCAGATCATATAGTACCACAACCCTGTCCTACCATCTCCGCCGTACCATCAAAGCATAATGTCCAAGACCATCATCGTTACCGGTGCCTCAAGAGGTAATCCTATCCAGCCCGTCCACGTTTCCATTGCAAACTCAACTCTACGAGCAAGCCACTGATCAGGCACACACGATCAGGAATCGGCCTCGCCATCACGAAATACCTCCTCACGGCGCCCCAATCCCACAATGTTGTCGTGATCGCCCGCAGCCGTGAACCCCTCGAGAAGCTTAAGGAGCAATACAGCAAGCAAGTCGAGGTGCTCAATGGCGACCTGGCTGACTTCTCCATCGGTCAGAAGGCCGTGGACCTGGCTCTCAGGTCCTTCGGTCGTCTGGACGGCATGGTCCTCAACCACGGCATGCTTGGACAAGTAGGCAAGGTCAAGGACGCGGATTTCGAGCAGTGGAAGCACGGATTCGACGTGAACTTTATCAGTCTTGTTGCTTTTGTGAGTACGAGTCTTTCAACCTTATGGCGGATAGCGGTACATGACTGGGACCTGGATAGCTGACGCATTGGGTGTTTATCATCTGCTTAGATCAAAGCCGGTCTTCCCGCCCTCCGTGAATCCAAGGGAAAAATCATCTTCACTTCGTCGGGTGCTGCCGTCTCTGCCTACAGGGGCTGGGCTCTCTACGGTGCGACGAAGGCGGCCATGAACCATCTCGCCTTGAGCCTGGGAGAGGAAGAACCCGAGGTTACTACAATTTCGATCAGGCCTGGCATGGTTGACACCGAGATGCAGCGGGAGCTACGCGAGGACCATGCTACGACCTTGGAGCCGCAGATGCATGCCAAGTTTACGACGGTCCACAAGGAGGGCAAGCTCCTCAAGCCAGAGCAGCCGGGTCATGTTATGGCCAAGCTGGTTTTGGACGCTCCTAACGAGCTTACTGGGAAGTTCTTCACGTGAGTGATTTGAAATTTCTTCATTTCAGGCAAAAAAGCTAACAGGTATAACTAGGTGGAACGACAAGGCTCTGGAGGCATTCCAGGCGTAGATTACAACTAGATGATTCTTATGAAGACAGTCAGTATATACCGTCAACAAGACTCAATATAGAACGTATTGCAAGATAGAATACATAATCAGCCGAAAGATGAAAAGCAGGTTACATTTCGGAAGCATTAGGCGTTAACCTTCATACTTAGCATGGAATGTAATGTGATCATCATGTAAACAATTGTGGACGCATAGAAAAAAATTATCACGCATACCTTACGGATATCGAAGTGAGGTATTGTGTGGTCGCGTAAATTTGTTGTTTGAAAGATTGCACCTGGATTCTTTGAATAAGTCAGCAATGTACAATACAATGACTGATTGGCAAATTCCGATAGTGAGGAAATATTTCAGTGGTCCGTTTGGCTTGGACAGTGTACGTCACCATAGATGGTATGATAGGGGCGACAACGATGTTCATCATGATAATTGAAAGGAAGTGAAATGTGTGAAATACATACCATTGAAGTTAGTTCCTTGAAGAATTTCAAGAATTGAGCAAGCAAAACATGAAAAGTGAAGCCATTTTTCACTTTCTGTTGTGCGAAGAGCACTGCATGAGTGAAGAAATCATGAACCGAAAAAAAGCTGTGAACCGAGATTAAAAACCCCAGAGGCGGTATGTTTCTGCCGGGCGGTTCTTCCGTTCCGTGACGAGTCCCTCCGCGCCGGGATTTAATCGCAGCTATTTATACCAACCAGTTGCTCCCCGCGCACCGTCTCAATACATACTTTCGAATCTGGAGTCAACATCCACCAGTGTGCAGAACGCGCGTTTCGTATATTCCCTTCCTTGTCGCCCATCATGTCAGATCGCGAATTTAGTGGTAAGTTCTTTGCCAGATTACTTCCTGGTGCGATATTATGATGTCAAGCTAACTTGCGATTTTCCTAGCGAACGACGACTTGTCGCTACCTAAAGGTATGTCGCCTTCCGCCGTGTTGTCGCGTCGCATCGACTCCCCCACTTTTGATGGCAGTGGGACTCGTCGCCCTTTGCTTTGCCTCCCTCGGACTCAGTATAAAATATAATCAAATATCCATTATATACTAAATCGCAAACCATACTCACAGCGACGGTTCAAAAGATCATCACCGAGATCCTACCTCCTTCATCCGGCCAGACATTCTCCAAAGATGCTCGCAATCTCCTCATGGAATGCTGCGTTGAATTCATCACTTTGATCTCCTCCGAAGCCAACGATATCAGTGAAAAGGAAGCCAAGAAGACCATCGCCTGCGAACATGTCGAGCGCGCCCTCCGTGATCTCGGTTTCAGCGACTACATCCCCGATGTCCTTGCTGTCGCGGAGGAACACAAAGAGCAGTTGAAGGTATGTGGCTGTTACCATTACCTCGTTTGTGGCATTGTCCGGCTAACATGGATCGATTACGCTAGTCGCGAGAGAAGAAGCAGAGCAAGATGGAGCAGAGCGGGTTGTCCGAGGAGGAGCTTCTACGGCAGCAACAGGAGTTGTTCCGCTCAGCTACTGAGAAGTATCACGCTGCTCCGGAGTGAAGGTTACGAGTTTAATATCCGGGAAGGCTAAAAAAGTAATGCGGTTAGTCTCATGCTGGTCATAGAGGGTCTGGTTCCGGAGTTCTTGAGACGTTTCCTACGACGGGGATTTGGAGTTCGGGTGGTTCTGGTATTATACGCTTTATACGCTTTGTGGGAAGGATTTTTATCACTATACTTTTTTTTCTATATTCTCCTGGCTGAGGCAGTCTTTCTGGTTCGTTATATTATTTATTGATGTGCATGGCGGTACAACGCAATCCTCTGATCAGAGGATATGGTCTATGTTCTAGTAGTGCTTATACCCATGGTAGTGACTATAGTTGACGTCCGGGAAATACCCACAGCAACAACGAAACATGGTATGTGGATATCTTGGTAGCATGGAAGTTCGTCTAGGTGTATAGCTGAGCGTTGCTCGGAGTTATCCTGACCTAGTACCGCTTACATTCTATTTTAATCGCTTCCTGCAAGACTGTTTGATTATTCTTTATCTGGAAACCTAGATCAGAAATAATCGGTACGATATGTCCATCCGATCGCTTTTGTGTTTCCGGATATTTATAGTATATCCTTCTCCCGACTCACTGTGAGATGAATTAGACACAACTACTTCCTGCTTTCGGCCAACCATGGTCTTCGTACTGACTAGCGGCGCACCGTGACTACAACTTCTGGCTACAAAAAGAAATAAAACAAGGAGCATACTGACTATGCTAGCAGCAGTTGAGAGGAAAAAAAGAAACGAAAAACATACAACAGAAGGGATTCGCTGGTGGTCACCCACCCAACTACTAACCTCCCGGCGTGTGGCTTAAGTACGGCTGAGCGGACGGGAAGCCCTGTTTTCCACACCCTGTGGTCGTATGTACCAGATCTTTCTATGCATAGGGTTATAACGTACTCTATTATATGTTTAAAATCCACTTAATTGGCGCCTTCTTATCCGCGGGTCGCCAACGACGAAGAAGTCCAGAAGAGGTGTTGGAGGTCTTATGGGCGGGTTAGCTGGTTACTGCGCGAGCTGAGGTGTATGCAGGCTATTAGTCTGCTTCGAGAGCAGTTATTCACTCAAGGGTTGTACTAGTTTCTCGTACTGAGTAGTACTAGTATGATGGCTGGGGTTTATCCTCGGGATCATACACTCGTGATATATATACGGGTAGGGCATCCATTCCTAGTGAAGAACTATTTCTGTTGATTTGCTTCAACATCGGGAAAGGAAAATAATATTCCCCCAATTATAGTCGACAACAAGGAAAAAGCACAGTAACAATGAGAATAGTACTATTCCCGATCGTCTGCTTCAAAGCAGAGAAATATGGTTCTCCATGCTGTCACAGGTACATGAACACCGCCTGCGGAGTGAATCAATTTGCCCGGAATATCCTTTTTCGGCCAAGTTCGTCTTCACCTTACCATCTATGCCTTCTTGAGACATCCAAATCACACCATGTGATACAACAACTTCTGTGGAAATATTTGAGGGCAAACTATGCAAAGGCCTGGACAATAAAGGAACCCAGGTGTGCTGTCATGCAGGGAATTTTCACCATGCTGTTTCCACTCGTGATTGACAAATCTTTGACACCTGCCAATTCATGAAGCATTACTCCAACTCCCACCCCCTCGCCTCCTGCATCGTGGCATACCAATCCTTCACATACTCCAGGCCCGTGTGTGGTCCATATGGCTCAACTTCCCACAGCGGGATCGGGGCAGCAAGCCCCGTCTCTTGTAAACATGACACCCGCAGCTCGTCCAGACTGCCTCCGCGGTCATAGATGCTGCCATCTGTCACAAGGCTCCGCATATCTGCCCTCAATTTTTCTGTTTCCAAAGTACAGACCATACCATCTGTATCGAGCAAAACACCATATCCGTTGCGTGCACCCTCCAACGTCACCAGTTTTCGACGGACATCCATCGCAACCCGCTCAGCGGGTCGAGTGAGAGGATCGCCCAATCCACCACCTCCCCATGTTACCCATTCCAACAAATCCCCCGGACTAACACGCACATGGTCGCATTTTGACGGCAGGACCTCCATCACTGGACGATCGGCACCGCGAGGATACCGATACAAGATCTTCCGCGAACGTTGTCCCGGCTTCCCCCCTTTGAGACCCCATGGTTTCGTGAACCACCGATCATCATGCAGGCTGATCTCTCCTTTCGCCAGGAATCGATACAGGGTTCGTTGCGCATTGCCTCCTCGGAAGTATCCCGGGCCACCACTGTTCGCGACGCTCTCGTTCGCCTCAATCCGAAGGGGGTAATTCAGCTCGATGCTCTCCGTGGGAATCGACTTGATGGCGGGGAACAAGCAATGACAGTCCAGTCCGTCGCCTGCTGCTCGGGCTGGAACCCCACCAAATCCAATCTGATATAGTTGATACCATTCTCCAGAGGGATAGTATCCCGAGTAGAAGAAATGGGGCGAGTCGCTGAATCCAGCTGCCGCTACATAGGCTTCGTTCTTCTGCCCGATCAGCGCTTGGATCACGTCCATGGTTCGACCTAGGAAGTGAGTGCGACAGGAAATTGCAGCAGGGCGAACTGGCTTTAGAACAGTGCCCTCGGGGATATGCACTTCAATGAGATCGTGGAACCCGTCGTTGATGACGGTTCCCGGGGCGGCAGCGGCAATGAGGTAGTATCCCACGAGCATCTTGAACATGGTCTCGGAGAGGTAGAAGTTGATGCTGTGCTCGCTCTGGGGAGAAGTACCACTCCAGTCGAACTTTAACCCTCCGGCACTGGTTTTCTGCATTGAGCATGTTACGGTCCAGGGTCCGACGCCGTGGCCGTCGTCATCGACAAAGTCGGTAAATGTGCTAAGTTGATCGTCGAATTGACGCTCTACAATCTTGGCTAGACCCGTTCGATTCCGAAGTAGGAGCTCCTGACAGGCAGCTAGATACACCTCGGTTCCGAAGCGGGTGGCCAGCTCGGAGATGCGCGTTGCTGCCATGCGACATGCCGTCACCAGAGCCGTCAGATCCGATCGATACCATGCCGGTTGACGGGAGTTTCGACATAGCAGATCGACTAGGTCACTGTTCATCACCCCTCGGGAGTAGAGCTTGATACATGGAATCTGGACTCCATCGTCATAGATGGAGGTGGCGTTGATGGACAGGCTTCCCGGAACCATGCCGCCGACATCGGTCAGGTGTCCAAATTGAGAAGCCCAGCCGATCAACCGATGTTCATGAAAGATGGGAAGAATGATAATCACATCGTTCAAGTGACTGACAGCCCCTTTGACCATGTATGTGTCATTGGTAATGAAAACATCGCCTTCTTCGATACTTCCCGTCCACACCTCAAGGAACTCCTTGATGAAGCTGCCGAATTGGCCCACGAGCATCTTGCCCTCTGCAGTTGTGATGACATTAAATTCGTCTTGCTGTTCGCGGATAGCAGGGGACATGCTGCAGCGGAGCATCAATTTGTCCATTTCGCCACGGATGCATGCCAGTGAAGACGCTACCAGAGTTGCGATGAGCGGGTTACTGCGCATCAAGTCTGCTGCTGATTCCGAGGTATGCTGCGTCGTTGGGGATGGTTGCTTTGCAATCGGCTGGATGAGAATATTGCCGAGCCGATCGATCTCACCTGAATAGCCTGGAAGAATCAGTGTGTTGCTGTCCATCTCCGTAATGATGCAGGGTCCTGTAACCCGGATGCCTTCGAGCGTGATCTTCTCTCGCTCCCACACCGTCGCTACCTGTTCTTGGCCCTCGATGATAATAATCTGCGTGCCAATGACGGCCGAGGATGTAGGCTCGCTAGAGTCTGCTTTAGGGACTACTGGCAGCTCCAAATCTGAGGAGCCGTCCTCGAGGGTCACGCCGATACGCATCAACTCGAGTTCAAAGTCGGGAAGACAATAGCCAAACTGCTGTTGATGCTTTTTGTTGAATGCGTCTTGTAACATACAACGCCAAGCCTGATCATCCAGTTGGATTTCGTCGGGCAAGAGATTGATGGTGATGGTTAGAGCCTGCCCTTTGTATCGGACATCGACCTCGTACGTGGCAACCAATGGCATAGGCCAGTCTGAACCACAAGACTCTCGCATTGTCTGTTCGCAGTGTTTTTCCAGTTCGTCCACCTGACGTCGCAGTTCCTCCGACGAGGTATCTCTCACCAGCCGAGTAAAGGTCACGGACTGCTCATGACTCAACTTGGTTGTCAGATCTCCCTGTGCACACAGAATGCCTGGAGACGGAGGGACAATGACGGGCCACGCGCCTAGAAGCTTTCCTACAGCATTGGCATGCAGAGGTCCAGCACCACCAAAGGCAACGAGTGCAAAGTCTCTTGGATCATATCCCTGTTCAACAGAAACCAATCGAACAGCACCATACATTGTTTCATTGACAATGTTAATTATGTTCTCTGCCGTTTGTCTGAGAGGAAGTCCCATTGCCGTGGCAAGCTTCTGAACCGCGGTCTTTGCTGCCTCTGTATCCAAGCAGAATTCTCCACCCAATAGAGTATGGGGCAAGTATCCCAGGACGAGATTTGCATCGGTGACCGTCGCTTCTGTTCCCCCTTTTCCATAACAGGCTGGACCTGGTGCTGCCCCAGCACTCTCTGGCCCAACCCGCAAGGTCTCAGTGAGCTCCATATATGTCGCGATTGAGCCACCTCCAGCACCAACGGTATGAATATCCACGGCCGGTGCACGAACTGTTAGGGTATCGACAACAGTATCTCGACGGATACGCGGCTTCCCATTCAAAATGAGCGCACAGTCCGTCGAAGTCCCCCCCATGTCGAGAGTAATGAGGTTTTTGTACGGGGTGCTTCGAGCGACCGCATCAGCCACGCCTTTGGCGCCTCCAGCCGGCCCAGACATCAAGATATTCACGGGGAATTCCCCAGCCAGGCCGACACTCGTCAAGCCACCATCGCTCTTCAACACCCGAATCGCCTCGGTCTCCGACGCCAACTGCTCGGACAGCTCGCGCAGATAATTCTGCATCACCGGCTTCACCAAAGCATTGGTACACGTCGTGACCGTTCGCTCATACTCGCCCACCTCCCGCAACACTTCACTCGAGCAATTGACCGACACCCCCGGCCCACATACCTCTAGAATTATCTTCGCAACAGCCTCCTCATGAGCAGGATTCTTATACGAACTCAGCAACGAAACTGCCACCGCCTCAGGCCTCTCCCGCTCCATCAACTCTAGCAAATCCCCCTTCAGCCTCTCGCCATCAACCTCCACAACCGTCTCCCCACTAACCGACATTCTCTCCGCACACTGAACCACCCTCTCCAGCGGCACCGGCGGCTCAGGAGGGGTGTAATAAAGCCACGCCCCAAGGCCCCCAGGAATCTGCGAACGCCTCACAGCCAGAATATCTTTATGCCCAGCCGTGACCACCAAGGCAGTCCGCGCCCCTTTGCCTTCCAACACGGCATTCGTCGCCGTGGTGGTACCATGATGAATGAACCTAAATGTCCCATCCCAGTTATACCGCTCCTTGAGAACCCGTCGCACTTTCGCGATCCCGTGTCTAATCCCGATCGTTTGGTTGGGCGTGGTGGGGACTTTGGCGCGGACTGTCTCCCCGTTCGGAGTGAAGACGCACACGTCAGTGAAGGTACCGCCGACGTCGACTCCGAGGCGGAATTCGTTGGTCGATGCCATGATCTAAACCAATTCGACAGTCGTTGTCTAGATGATGTCGTAAATACAGGGGAGTCAAGGAGTTAATAGGAATTGGGAATGGGCATAAGCATAGGCAGCTTATCTCAACTCATGAGGGGTATGTCGAGATCGGCGGAATAGTCATCTCTTGGCTGCAGATATGTGTGCCGTGTATGATGTATTCAGGACTTTGATGGGTTCAGCGGACCGGTTTCTTGAATGTCAGATGTACTTATTGACGAATAGGGTCGATGGTAAGCATGCATAAGTCTCGGAATTAAGCTACTTTATAAGGTAAGGTACCGCAATGTAGATCGTTACCGCTGCTAGAGAACTTAACAGGACCATGCGGCTTAAATAAAGAGGTATGAAATTAGTTTCGCATACCATATCTTATCTATGGACTGCACTTTTCGACCAATCGATGAATGTATGTATTGGCCCGGGATGCAACAACCCTCCCCCTTTCCCAGGTTGTAGGTACTTGCTAACTCGAGGACATTATAGAAACCTTAATGCAATTAGCTTATAAAGTTATACCAAACTCCACTATATAACTAATCCCAAGGAAGGGAATAGAGCATTCGACCATAGAGTGTGGAGACCATCATCCAAGATCATAAGTATCCGTCGAGTTTCTGGTGCTAAACGGTTCTATACTTCTATCGTATTGAATATCTAGTAGGACGTTCACTCGTCTCCACCAGCAGTCGTAAATCTTCAACTGTCATTTATCGAGTGTATTGTTGCAATTCCCCCGATAGTAAAACAAGTCTTCCTGGTTTACCCTACGCCCCGAGTCATGTCAGTCCGGAAGCGAAAAATGCAAGTCAGCGATGTGAAGCCCACTTCTCGTCCATTCAGCTCTAAACACTCCAACCGTCGAAACTCATTCCCTCCGATCTCGGCAGACCCTTTCAACGTACGTGACTTGCTCAGAACGGTGGACCGGAGAGCCCTGCTCAAGCCTCTATACTTGACGATCAAATGGATCCGACTAAGGATCGTATCATTAAACTGGAATCCCCGATTCGAAGTCAGGAGAAGGTTACCTTGGTAATATTTCCGGAGGAAAACGGTCACCAGACGATTGTGAGTATCGTCTTGAGCCCTTGCCCTTTTCCGTCAATCACGTCGTCGAAGGGCACTGTCGGTATCATACCCAAGCGGGTCTTGCTCTCAGCCGGAATTTGCAAGCAGTCAAATGATTCAGTCGACCAGTCCTGCTGCAACATCGAGGAGAGACGCCGCGGTATAGCCGCATATGCGTGCTCGAGGTGGTCGATGCGCAGGCGGAGATCCGCACGTGCCGATTCGTGGTCGGAGCCAATGTCCTTGTTCCTGCATAGCTCTCAAGCTCAGGGAGGAAATGAAAAAAATGGTTATTTTGTTCGATCTATTTCATCCCGGCTATAAATGATATGTTAGTGGAAGAGCTCCCACCCCGAGCAATCTCAAGTGTGACATTTCTCAAATTCGACAACTTTCATTATATCAAATTGCAATGGATGCTATCCAGCAATATTTCTACGGATTCCCCCAACCAGCTCCACACAAGCGCACTGAGCCTGTCAAGAAGCTGTGTTTAGGCTTGCCATGCACAGGGACCGAATCGCTAAGCGTGGATTTACAAAAACTAGGCTTTGACACATACCATGGTTGGGACCTGGTCTTCGAGCCTCATGGCCGCAAGTTACAATTTTGCCACGAACTAGTGAAACGGAATCACCACGGTACGCGCGACGGCGACATGCAGGTCAGCAGTGCCGAGTTCGACCTTCTCATAGGCGACAGGCAGGCTGTGATTGACTCCCTGTCCATGCTGTTAGCCCCAGAACTATTGGCCGCTTACCCCGGTGCTAAAGTGGTCCTCAACGGACGTCGTGACGTATCACAGATCGTTCGTGTAAGCCCGTAGCCCTGTACTTAGTGTGACCTCTTGTGGAGGCTATTGCGGCCGGCCGTGTCAACCAGTGTGGTCGTCTCAGCTGCTTGTCCGCTGCCGTTTCGTCGGTCGACTGTAGTACGCGGCTGCGGAGCAGCGTGTAGAAGAGGTAGTAGGGTTGTGCGGTGTTTAGAGAGATGGGTGGGTGGGTGGGTGGTGTAGGGGGTACAGCCGCATTCCAGTGTCCGGCGCGAGGCTGTCGTCGGGGTCGGGGAGGAGAGCTGGGGCGGCAGCCTTGTGGTACTAGCCAAGTCACCTGGCGCAGGCCCGGCTGACTACTGCTGGTGTGATCTGGTGGCAGGGACGGACGGATTCCGGAGATCACAACCTGGCTGGATGATTTAGTTGGGGGATCTACCCAGAGAGTTGGCCTCTGAACATTCAAGCTCAAAAGCTGAGACGTTTAGATGTAGATTTGAACAAATTTCACTGAAACTCGAACCTGACTGAGATGCCATTGACCCGTCACCTTCCAAGGATCGCGACATCTTTCACACTATGCATTGATTACCTACGACGCTAGTATTTGTTTGTTTTGCTCTTACAGGACGCTAGCTAACTATCTAGCTAGCTAGGTACCTAGTATAGTGGGGACTGTTCGAGTTCAAGTTGTCCCATGTCCGCGAATCATAGAGGGCAGGACCACGCACGGGCACGGTAGTGGGAGATGGAGAGGGAGACCTAGAGCAGGTGGCCTGATATGTGAATCTATGCCCAGGTGATAGATACGCCTTAGTACTCCACGCACTGATTAGCATTGTATCCGTTGTATACACCTGCCCGGGTGAGTAGTATCACACCGCTAGCCCTTTAACACTAGTTCAAATTTTAGAGAGCCTCTGTCAGAGTATCCCTCTTATAGTTACTTAGCCCACTGGCATCTATCCCAATGTTGAACCCCAAAACTTTGAAGACTGGGACAAGGGTAACTTTCAAGGTTGTGGAAAGTGTGCCGGTGTGGAGCCCGAGCATCCTTCGGTGGATTTATGTATAATTGTATTTTACTTCTCTACATATGTATGCAAGTGAATTTTTTTATTGGACGATCATAGATTACGTTTGTCGGAGATATCGCAATAACAAAAATACCGTATGGATACGTCACATACTGGAGCCTCTTCCAAGGTTCTCCACTACACTAGGTACCCCGGGTCCTGAGTCCTTTATAATCCATCTCATAGACCAGGTCGGTTTGATCCTCTCCTACTCTCACATCCCTCAGAATTCACAGCTAAAACAATCTTTGAGTTGGACCATTCAAAATCATGCCATTTGTGCAGACTAAGCCCGGCCAGTACGACCGGCCATTGGATGACCTGGAAATCTTCCATCGAACTATCGGCGCCACGGGTGCCAGTTTCCGAAAGGAACATTATTTCACCATTAGTACTCTTAAGCTTCGAAATAAGCCCGAGATACCCGATTTGAAACAAGCGTGGAAGGCTCTGCGGCACCTCCATCCACGACTCGCAACCGTTATCGACGAGACAGGTACTCTATGCAGATATACAGTGCCTACTCCAGAAGATATTGATCAATGGCTCGAGGAGACTTTTATCGTCCACCCAGAAGGTGAATACAATATCACTTCCGCTGAGAAATTGGCTCTCAGTCTTCCTCCCTCTCCGTTTTTCAAACTTCATTGGGTACCCGCATCGCGAGAGCTTATCTTCCGGACACCGCATTGGCGCACAGATGGAGCGGGTTTGATGATGTTGCAAGATGCTTTCCTGAAACTTTTGTCCTCACCAGCCGAAGAAATCAGTTTTGATGGATCTGAAATCTCGCGCCTTCCGCCGACAATGAATGAGCTACTTTGTTCTGGTTTTGAGGCTACAGAAGAGACTAAAAAGGCGTTTGATGCCGAGTGGCAAGCGGTTTTTGATCCCAGCCTGAAGCCACTGAGTTGGGTCAAACACGCTTTGCCTGGCACAATCCCAGGATCGACAGTTCGGCTCAGCCACAAATTCTCTAAAGATGAGACTAAGCAGCTTATCACTGAGATCAAGAAACGCGGGATTACCGTTACGAATGGTATGGCGAGTGCTTTCATGGTTACAGCAGCCAATCATGCGACCCCCGCAGATGGCCGCTTTATTCTATTGAACCCTTTCAATGTGCGGAGATATCTCCCAGTCCCTTGGAATGGCACAGCGGGTGCAGGTGCTACGTACCATACAGGTCGGCTGCAGAGTTTCAACCTAGAAGATGGGAAGGATTACGAGTCTGCTTGTCGGGCCGTGACCGAATTCTATGATCGGGGCATTAAAAATGCATTCAGCTTTATGCCGTTGCTTATCCAAGCTGCTACTTCTTTGGTGGACACTCCCGCTGAGGTTGCCAATTCAGGATATGGGTCAGCATCTGTAGATCTGAGCCAGCTTGGCCTCGTTGACGATTTACTTCAGACGCGTTACGAAGGGACAAGATATACGCTCGAGATTGAGGACTGGTGGACGGGAGTTGAATTTGTGACCAAGAAACTACAAGGATATACATGGACTCGTGATGGTCAGCTACACCTCACTCTTCATTTCAATGAAGCATTCTACCCATCCGAGGCTATTGAGAAATTCCTTGAAGAGTGGAGGTCAATTGTTGTCAAGGAATTTCTTCATCAATGAGTATCACGGTCAATACTTGAATACTGCATGTGGAGGGATATTTGAAAGCTCTGCCAAGTTTATGCTGTTTCACAGGTGTATCTTAGCACATGATTTTCTAGTCATAAAGAGGAATTGAATAGGCAACAAACTGATGGCTAAGAAACAAGAAACATCCTTTGTAACATTAGCGCCTCACGTAACAAGTGAAAGTTATCGACGAGGGGGCAGTGTTTCAATACATTCCTTCCAAGGTTAAGTAGTCTACTGTCCTAACAAATCAGATTCAACTAAAAATTTGCCCACCTGGGCGCTGCCGAGGTAGTAGTTGGCCATTATACAAGTGGGGTTGTATGTGTTGTCTAAACCGATCTAATAATCAAATTGATTTACAAAGTAATACACTAGTTGAAACGTTCATAGAATGCGCTAGTTGTGGGTCGAGGGAACAGGGCGCCGTACGGTCCGTTAGCCGCCAGGTGCACTTGTGGACCTCAAAGTTCCCGCCCCCTTCTTAATGAACTCGCTCGCATCCCCACTAGCGATGAGGCATGTCCTCCAACTCGTCCAGATTTATGCAAGTGCAAGGGTCAACCTTACAAAAGACCTACAACTTCGAGCGAATCTGGCTGAATTTGAAACTTAACCCCCACACCAAGTGGTCTAGCGCGGTGAGTGAGTTATTAATGGACCTTTCATCATCTTCTTCTTTCAAGGTTGTTACGGTCGCTATTATTACCCACAGAGCTATATGAGGAGTCCAGCCCCCCCAAACCTCGACAAGTGTACCAAGTGCTGGATCAATCATCATGCCTTCCAGGGCTTTTACCTATTTCTACACCGCGTACACGCTCGTCACCGCCCCGGTATGGCTGGCGGCCGCGGCGATTTACAACATCCCAAAATTCCTCCGGCCCAATGCTGCTTGGTCATGGAAAACTGCCTTTACGTCCAGTCAATGGACTGTGACAATGAATTATTTGACGACTATCCAGAAAGCCTGGCCAAAATCACTGGAAGCAGGCCCATTGGGGAATCAATTCATTGTGCTCAACCCCCAAAAGACCATCACCACGAAGACCAAAGAAGGCGAAGAATCAACTCAATCCGAAGTCTACAAGGGAATCACTTGCTCAGTACCGGGAGTGGAGCCCCTACCCGTTGGGGCTGTCTGGTTCCCGGAGGCCCCAGCTGAACCTCCACGGCGACTCATCATTCACTTCTACGGGAGTGCCTATGTGATGTTCGGTAGTCGTCCCGGGGAAACTGGCGAAGTAGGTATCAATGAACTCAGTAAAATGTCCGGATGGCCAGCGCTTGCCATTCAATATCGCTTATCTCGGGATAAGAAAACCACATTCCCTGCGGCACTCCAGGATGGAATCACTGCCTACGTTTATGCTCTCGAGGTACTTAAGATCCCAGCATCTCAGATCGTATTCGCTGGCGACTCGGCAGGCGGCAATCTCGTCGTGGCACTGCTCCGCTACATCAACGAGGAGAACCCGGCGCTTCCGTTGCCTCGCTGTGCATTTTTGTCGTCTCCTTGGGTCGACCTGAGCACTAAATCCATTGAGAATGTGCCCCGGAACCGCAATTACAACGCCGACTATGTCACACAGGATTTTCTTGACTGGGGCCGGAAGGCCTACACACCTGAGGGGTGGGATAGCAGTAACTCCTGGATTACATTTCTAGGAAACGAGACTCAGCTGGGTATTCCGGTCTTTGTCAATGCTGGTACATCGGAAGTCCTTTATGATGATATCATGAAGTTTGCAGAGAACTTGAGGAAGAAGGGTAATGAGGTTGAAGTGCTCGAAACTCCTAACTCATGCCATGTTCCTTATCGGCTTGGTAAGGATTGGGACCTAGAAGAAGAGCAGGCTATTTGCTTGGCGACTATGTCTAAATTTCTTGAGAAAACCGGTGCTTGAGTGGGCAGCTATATATACATCTTTTCGAAGCGCTCGAGATAGACCCGTCACCTGATCGAAATACATTATCTACACGAGTTAGAATATTTGTGCAACACCTTATGTCTCCAGTCTTTACGGAATCCATGCAACCTTGGAAACATCAAAGTGCAGTCTTCAATTTGTTCAAGTTGATGCTTGAGGTTACAGAGACTTGTGTTCATCTATCACACACATCGGGCTGTGTACTGGGAACTTTTAGCCCCCTGGATGATGCACAATTAGTCCCAAAGTCCTTCAGCAGAGCGCTATGGTACTGTAACTAGGCTGTAGGCAAACCTAATTGTCTGGGCTCACCCTACCTCACTTAGCAACTCCATTCATTGCTGAGTCTACCAGTGATAAGACTGGACACCAACCAAGCCTTCCCAGATGCCATCAACTTCTGCAAGAACCAATCCAGCTCCAGCAAATCGTCGGTAACTGCCTTGAGACTCCAGAGCGAGACGGAGAACATTCGAATTGAAGGAGTTAAAACAGCGCCGCGAAACATCGTCAAGGCTTTTGTGGATCGAGACCAAGATGTGAAGCTACTCCGGGAACGATCGGAATCGCTGCAGGCTCTCCCGGGAGTGAAGCTTCAGCGGGAACAACGGTATCCTATCAAATTGGATGCAGTCCGGAAAACCGACGTCTTTGACGATCTGGGAAAGGAGAAGAGCGACTTCTACGAAAATTTCGCTACAAAGGACAGAGGTTCTTAGATTAGATTAATCCAGTGGCTGAGCGGTGGAAAAGCATACAGGTCAATGGCGGTCTATCTGGCGAAGGAAAGCGAGGCCATGGCACTCTTAGCCACAGACTGGTCTATATCGGTGGCAAAGTAGTCTTCTCCAAAGTTTTTCAACACCAGCTCCGACCAGTCCGCCGCCACAACTGCCAACAGTACAGACATGAAGCAGCCAGATGTCGTCGCAATCGCATACGGCACAGAGTTCCGCTTCTCCGTCAACTCCCGGCCGTCCGGGCCCCGCCAAAAAAGCACACTTTCCCTTCCTGGTAACCAAGATTTGTCATTTTGCGCATACGCCAGCGCTGATAATACTGATACGTGAGCAATTGGTAATATGGAGCTTCTGGAACGTGTTCAACTTACAACGTACAATTAACCACATACCTAATTGGGTTAGATTAGCCCTATATAGGAATAGCGCATAAGAATTGTCTCAATATCTCGCTATATCCAACGATGTGCTTCCAAACCTTTGTCGATTTTGCCTCGTCAAAAGCGTCAAATCTCGTTGATTTTATCATGCAATAACCCTGCCAAATCTTGGATAATTCTATTCGATCATAGACTGTTCAAAGCGTTATAAAATGCTGATTCTTATGGTGCTATTCTCAATGATTTTGTCTGAGGATCCGCCAATAAATGCGCCATAGAGATCAATCGGTTTTGATAGTCAGTATAAACAGGTGTTCTAGGCTCATGACAAATATGCGATCGACCTCCGTCCAGAGATAACCCAGAATGGAAGTTCTTGCGATGTCGTGATTATTCGCTCACAATAATGTGGGTCGGGTAGTATATAAGAAGATTGAAAAACGCATTCTCTAAAGACAATTAGAAGGAACCCAAGTTGGCTCATATCCTCGCTCCTCGCCTTTATCGATTAGCCCCACAACAACCATGAAGACCTTCACTTCTGCCTTGATCGGTGCTGCTGCATTGGCACAGAACGTCAATTCCTCTCTTCTTTCTGGTCCTGCTGGTCTGGAATTCCCCAATGTGACCGGGTTGATCAATCATACCGTTCACGTTTCCAACGGCGGATCAGCCCATTGCATCTCTGGCATCGTTAAAGTCAACGCAACAACCGACAAAAACCTCAAGTTCGCGTACAACTTGCCCTCTAATCAGTCGCAAGTAACTCGGACACTCGTCAGCCTGTGGTCGTCAGGCGGGGATGGCTACGTGAAATCCCTCACGAACGGCACCCAACGGGTCACCGGCAGCTACGATATCGAGGCGACATATTGTCTGCCTGCAGGCGAAAACTCAAAGACAACTAAGGTCCAGCTCCTCACGCACGGTATTGGCGTGGACCGCCACTACTGGGACTTTGCCTCGGGATATAGCTACGTCGACACCGCCGCGGCCGCAGGGTATGCCACATTCCTGTACAACCGTCTCGGCGTTGGCGCATCGTCAAAGGAAGACCCATTGAATGCCGTGCAATCGCCACTTGAGCTGGAGATTCTCGAGGCACTGGCAAGCAAGCTTCGCCAAGGTACCCTTGGTGACCGCGCCTTTACGACTGTCGTGGGCGTAGGCCACTCATTTGGGAGCATCCTGACCCAGGGTGTCACCGCGGCTTACCCAAAGACCCTCGACGCCGCAGTGTTGACAGGATTCACACTCAATTCGAACGGTCTGCCTGGTTTTGGCCTGGGTCTTAATGCAGCCATTGCCTCGGAAACCCAGCCGTACCGCTTCAGTGGGCTCTCTGCTGGATACCTTGTCGCTGGAACGGCCGTTTCGAATCAGATTGCGTTTTTCTACGACCCGGGTTTTGACCCCGAAATCCTATCGCTGGCAGATGCCACCAAGGGAAGCTTCACGCTGGGTGAACTTTTCACCTTAACGCACGTTATCAATGCAACGAGCGAATTCCAAGGTCCCGTTGCGGTCGTTGCTGGAAATGAAGATTTGCCTTTCTGTAACGGGAACTGCAGTTCTCCGTCCAATATTTTGGCTGGTCTTGTGCCTGCGCTGTATCCGGAAGTATCAGAGGAGAATACTGCTACCTATGTGGCTCCTGCTGTAGGTCACGCCTTGAACTTGCATTATGCGGCGCCGGGGGCTTTCAACTTCATTCAGGACTTTCTCAAGAAGCACAATGTGTGAGGGTCGAAGATTGAGGTTTCATACAATCATGTAATATTTCACGCTGTGACCATATTTACTAATTCACCCCCTTGTCAAATTTGATGTACATATGCGCGTTCTTTGGAGTAGGGTTAGTCTACCACGTGCAGCCGACATCAGTTCATATCAATTCACATACATGTACCAGACAATGCCATTGAATCCATTTATCCCTAAACTTACTTGATATCTGTGTTATAAAACAGGATTGATCAGTAAACCACGGCGGATTATACAGGTATAGCAGAAGAATTTGGATTGTATTATTGTCATATAATCTAATATTAGATATAATATCTGCAACAAGTTCTTCTCATGTAAAATGCACGTTCAACGGCATGCATTTGACATGCATGCGACCGTGACATGAGTTCGCTCTCCACAACCACAGTCTCGCTACCAGTGAAGCAGATGCATTGGACACTTCTTTGAATCATACCCGCATGCTTTCTTTGTATAATTATTCTCGAGCCGCATACAGATCGGGACGAACAGCTAGGCTCTTCGTTAAGGAATCTTAAGGGCAATTAGCGGGCTGGCATCTCGATAAATCGTAATGATCGTTTCATTAAGCTTTCAATAAGAAGCGCCTTAGGGCGGTAAAAAGTATCCATCATAATGCTACCCAATTATCATGAGTAAGACATGTTGCCACGGGGAACGAGAGCTTCTGACTGACTAACACCCAGTATCATGCAATCCAGGACGGTTGAATTCATTATCGGCAAAAACCGAAACTGCTTCTCGATTCACGCTGCGTTGGCAAGCTTTTTTTTCCCAGGAAGATATTCAATTTTCCTATCAATACCGAAGTAGATGATGCCGACTTAGGCTGTTGCTGTGAATTCGTATTTGTGATGATTACTCCGTTCCGTTGCCAACTTCCGAACTCCATCAAACGGATGTCAACGAACCCACCTGGACTCCAGTGAGACGGTGGAACCCTGCGAACGTTTCCAAGAATATTTCCATCCAATGTCAATTGATGATTACAAATCTGACTTGGTTGAATAACCTAACTGGTCGACCTGTATTGGAGAAAAAAAAGTCGCATCACTTATCTTGATTTATTTGCCTGAAGTGTTCAAGGAGACGGACGGACGGCTCACATACCCTTCGATTTTCGCCCAACTATTCACGCTTGAAGCAGAAAGATCAACCCCAACGCAGAGTTTATATAACGACAGACGACAACGACAAAGCTTTATCTGTATTTCCACTTGACCTTCCATAACTTCGCCATAGACAAATTAAATATTAATTTGCGAATTAAAGACTTGGCTGGCTGCCAACCAGTCTATTCGCGTACCTACAATCCCTAGACTCCGTCACCAGGCAGGACTAACGACTTCATACCAACACAACCCAAGCACAGCACCTAGCACAATTGCAACCGCAGGCGGGATCTTGAACCATGCACTCTGGGCATATGTAACAGCGGCAATAACAACCCACCAGGGCTCCTTCCCCAGACTCTGCCCATCACGATCCTGCGGAGTTAGATATCCGATTTCCCAAAGCCGGTACACAGCTGTAAACACTAATCCAACAGCTGATGCATTCAGACCTCGGAGGAAGTCAACAATATACTTCTGTTTCCGCAGAACACGCCAAAAGGACTGGATTGCGACGGCGAGGGTAATTCCAGGAAAGAAGAACCCTAGCCCACCGAGGAAGGCACCGAAGACTGTCGGGTAGGATGTTGTTCGGACGGCAAGAGCACCGAGAAAGACTGCAAAGTTGAAGTTTGGGCCGGGGAAGGCCTGAATGATTGCAAGGCCGATGAGGAAGTCTCGACTGGAAACCCAACCCGGGTCTACGACGTATGACCGGAGCAAGGGGATAACGACGGGGCCGCCGCCGAAGATCACAGTGCCAGCTAAGTACATATTCGCGAAGAGTTCGAGAGATAGAGGCGGTGCGGAGAGTTTGGCTCTTGTGACAAGAATGGCGATGAAGGACGCTATGGTTCGGGGTCAGCCTTCATTCAGCGATAATGCAAATTCTCACACGGAAGCTTACCAAAGAAGAAGATAAGAATTGCAGCCCCTACACGGATCCGAATGATATGCTCCCATGCAGGTGCGGCTTCCCCTCCTTCCGGGGCCTGGATATTGGTTGAGTTCGGGGGGGATGCCTCTGCACCTGACTTCCTCATCCGTAGCATCTCTGTTCTAGCACCCTGTTCTGGGCTTTGCATGGACGAACTCTCGCGGCCTGCCGATCCAGGCTCGTCACCCTCCGGTTCGGGCTGCCGATTCCTATTTTTCCAAGCCATCTTGCCCTGAGAATTTGTTGATATATCCAACCATCCCACAGTGCCGTAGTAACACCACCCGCAACCATAAGAACTGGGAAATACCAGAGCGCGCTATAGCAGAGACCTGCGCATGCACCGAAAATAACCAGGATGCGGGCAATCTTATCACGGATCGCCTTTTCAGCTAGCTGGACGGCAGCGAGGGCAACAATGCCTACTGTCGAGGCATTTAGACCGGAGAGAAGAGCGTAGACTGCCGCGGGCAGTGTTTCGTCGATCCGTTGCACGCCGAGAGAGAGGGCATACATACCGACTGCGCCGGGAAGACTAGTAAAACTGATCAGGCCATCATTTCGAATGGCAAGGGACGCAATTAAAGCAGTAGACATACCACCATAGGACAAATGCCAGTATGGCCGGGATGAAACCAGCGTGAAGCAACGTCAAGCAGAATAGCATCTTGGTCGAACCCGGTCCCGGCAGGCCCTGACAGATAGCGAAAAGTTCTTGGTACTTTTACCTGTTAGCGCCTGACGATCCTGGACGTTATTCATGCATCCCTACCGTCTGCTCATCAACCCACTTTTCCTGCTCGACAAACCGCGCGTGAAAAATCTGGAAATGAACCGGCGGACCCCCAAAAGACGTAAATCCCAGATACCAGGTATGTCGCACGACCTCGCCCAAGCGCTCAAGAAGGGGCTCTTCTGCGCGTGCCGGGTCGGTTGCGCCGGCATGGCTGCGCCAGCTCCGATTCAGGGCCCGTAAGGACGAGATAGGCCGCGAATGTGTCAGGAGCAGCATTTTATATTGGGTTACAACTCGACATACGGTAATCAACTTCTTCAAAGCATGAGGAAACACGAACCGACCGTCGTTCAAGAGGAGATCGAGATTATATCGACCTCTAGGATAGTGAGCTAATTCAGTTGAACAATGAATTTAAGGTTCGAAATCCACCCGACATGGATCCAATACGAGGTCGGCAACTGTTCACATGTACTTAACATACATAAGTACTAGGTCCGCGGTCTGTCACCGCGAGCTTCTAATTGGCTGTTGCTTTTCGGGGACCTGTTCGGGTTTAGTTAAAGAGGCCAAACTTAGGTAGAAAAGGTGGGCCACGGATTGTCTGACTGAGAAGGACCAATTTGCTTCCTCACCTGTTCCTAAGTCGTCATCGTTGCGGACGGATCAACGCGCCATCAGTTGAACCCATGATATAGTTCTCAGAATTTAATGAGTCTCACAGCAAATATCGACAGTCCCGCAAGAATCGGGCGCAACACTAGGTTCGAGATAAGAGATACCTCGACGGCGCCAAGAAAATGTTCTCCATCTGAATGGCCAATGGTTTCATCCAGGGGGGAGCTAGTCGATAAGTAGGTTCCTGGGAGGGTCCAACCCATCCAAAGTTCTCTCAGTCTTCCTGGTCAACAGAGCTGATAATCATAGCGCTGCTCCGAGAGAAATATGTCACGCAATACGGCACAGAAATTACCACTTCGGCCCGAGATTTGCCGAGGGGTAATTGAGCTGTATTTAGAGCTAGCAAGACCCTGGATGGACAGATAGTTAGCACTTTTGTTCCTCAACATGGCCTCGAAGGTCCATCTCGTCCGCCACGCCGAATCGGTCCACAATGTCACTCATGACTTCTCTCAGTTGGATCCTGAGTTGACCCCTCTTGGCCTTCAGCAAGCTACAGGGCTCGGCCAGCTATTCCCCTACGCCCCCCAGGTGGGTGTTATCATCACCTCTCCACTCAAACGAGCTGTCCAAACCACCCTCACGGCTTTTTCGCATATCCTTGATAAACGGTATTTCGACCCCGACTCTGGGGACGGAGTGGAGAATGGCGCAGTCCTTTTCTTGGAACCAGATTTGCAAGAGAGAAGTGCCCTTCCATGTGATACGGGATCCCCAACTAGGGTCCTGGAAGCGGCTTTTCCGAGACTAGGTTTCCAGGATTTGGCTGAGGGTTGGCAAGTGAAAGAGGGCTTTTATTCTCCCGCCGACGAAGCTGTGGAGGAGCGGGCACAGAGGATGAGATCTCGTATTGCGGCAGTTTGCGAGGATCTGCAACACCAAGGACGGACGGACGTTGTGGTTGTAACTCACGGGGTGTTCATGAGATTCTTATTGGGAGACCCAGACATTGATCTGCCGAAAGCAGGCTGGAGGAGCTATGTTGTTGGAACTGGAACTGTCTTCTCGACGTGCTCGTGATAGACCTCTTAACTTATCGAAATACATTATCTACACGAGTTGGAACATTTGTGCAACACCTTATGACTCCAGTTTATGCGGAAGCCATGCAACCTTGAATTGCAATTAAATGAAGTGACACCGCAGCGTCTAAAATTATCATGAGGGCCAAACTCCCCCTAATAAACTTAGAATAAAAGAAAAGAGCATACTCTCCTGAGTTATTATTAACTAACAGTTGAATAAAAAATAAAAAAACAAAAACATACAACAGAAGGGATTCGCTGGTGGTCACCCACCCAACTACTAACCTCCCGGCGTGTGGCTTAAGTACGGCTGAGCGGACGGGAAGCCCTGTTTTCCACACCCTGTGGTCGTATGTACTTGATAAACAGTATGTCTGGGTTATATCATGCAAAAGGATGGTCCACAAGAAGAATAAGAATAATTATAAGCACAGTGAGGTTCCCTAGTAGGGGGCTAGAGTCACTGTAAGTTCCGATAACAAAACTTCCTTATCCGCTCCCACATATCAATGAGATGTCTCCTTTCAACAATAAAATGCCCTTCTCGAGGATAAGTCACCATCTCAACAGGTACATTGTTGTGAACACATGCGCGATAGAACGCGATAGCCTGTTCTAATGGCACACGCTTGTCGTCCTCTCCATGAAGAATCAGAATGGGAGTTTTCACATTACGCATGTGCCATAATGCGCTTCCCCTCCGACCATTTGTGTCGCCAATCCATCTTTTCTCGGGGCTAGTAACTGAGTCTTCTTCTTCGGGCTTTATATTCGTATCAACATCCCATGGAGCACCGCCAGCCACCTCACCCTGCATCCAATATGCATCGCTCATCATTGCCATAGAGTTCCATTCTGATATACCTGCCCCGCATATGGCTCCTCTGAATTGGAACTCCTCGCGAGTGACTGCAAAATAGGATAGAAATCCCCCCTGTGACCAACCAGCTATTGCCACTCGCGCAGGGTCTACGCTGCCCCTAGCGATACTGTATTTGAGCATGTCAATGCAGTCAGTGTAGTCAACTGTGCCAACTCCCCCGCGAGCGTAAGCTGCATGAGCTTCACCCCTACCGCTCCCACCACGGTAGTTGGGGCAAAGGACGGCATAGCCCATTGATACTAATACCGGAACCTCGAGCCAATGGCACACTGCAAAACCGGTAGTTACCCGCCAGTATGGTCCTCCGTGCGGGATGAGAATAGTGGGGAGCGGCCCATCCTCAAATTTGTATGCGGAGGGAACATACATCATTCCGTCAAGGTAGTATCCGTCTCTCGCGTAAGTTGAAATTGACCACGACTTGGATATTTCTAGAGCGGCGATGGAGGAATTATGGGCTGACAATTTGACTGGACCGGTAGATTTCGAGATGGAGAAGACTTCTTCGGGATTTGACCCGTCACCCCTCGTGATTGCAATGATATCACTACTGCCCGTAGTTTTTAAGACGTCAAATGAGCTCATCTCACACTTTTCGCTATAGGCCTTCGTACGAGTGCCATCATCACTGATCGAGAAGAACTCATCATTAAGATACCTCTGAACACGGTAAGATAGGCAGGATTGATTTTTCCGGAGAGTGATGCAACAGTGTGTTTCACCGCCATCTTTTCGCTCTGTATATGAACCGTGTTCGATATTAAGTTCGTATAGCGAAAGGGATGTTAGGCAGTGCGTCGGGACATGACCTGCAATGAAGAAGACACCACAGTTTCCCCATGCGATCTGGCTGATTGGGCCGGGGAACTGGGCGACTAGTTTCTCCTCCGATCCTGTGATCGATGTAATCAGGATTTCTGCACCATAAAAGCCAGCTGAATTGATATCCGGCCCTTTATGGGCAACAAAGCAGATATGTGTAGAATCAGGGCTCCAAGTGAAGTCATGAACATGTCTATGACCGGCGACAATAGTCCTGATCTGCCCTGTTGCTACATGGGAAATTCTCAGGCGGGAATATTCCAAGTCTTCCCCCCAAACAGTTGGATCATCTTTTACTTTCTCCTTTGAAACCTGTTCTTCCGTCTTCTCATCCGAACTAGTATATGCGATACTTGTGCCGGTGGAATTCCATTCAAAGGCTACTATTGGCTTCTCGCAGTCCACTGGCGTTACGGGATATGCTTCGCCGCCATCGACTGGCAACACATATATGGCTGAGCTTTTGCCCGGCCGGTGCCGATCCGATTTGAAGGCAATCAATGTTCCAGCTGGAGACCATTGTGGCTGTTCGTCGTTGAATAAGCCCGAAGTGAACTGGCGACTGCTGTTTTCTTTGTCGACTGTCGCGATCCAGATTGGTGAGGTGGCGTGGTCGCCTTTCTTGCTGAGAGGTTGTAGTGCATAGGCAATCCTAGAACCGTCGGGAGAGATGGAGAGATCACGAGGAACTTGGAGGTCGGCTAGAGCCTGTAAGTTCAACTGGGCCTTGTCGTTTGGATCAGTAACCATTTTGATTTCGAGTGTTGGGTTGGAAAATCGACAGGAGAGGGGAAGTCCTAAGATAAGTACGAGGTCTGAGGGATTAATGTCGTTGCCTTGCTGTTGGAGTCGGATATATCTCCGATCACTTCGGTGTTGGAGACGGAGTCCGGGAAGCTCTTTGAGCCCACCTAACCATAATAGTCATAGCGACAACAAACATGTTCCATCATGCAAAATCTAACCTCCCATTTGCGTCGGTGTAGCAGGACCAAGCTATATTTTAGCTACTGATCGAGCGCTCTGCATCTGAGCATTAAACACGGGACCATATCCAGAATTTGATCAATTACTCCGCCCCCTGTACTTCTCTAACCATGGGAACGTGGTGGCCATTCGAGCACAAGAAAGCGACCAGAGCAATATATTGGTGATCTTAGATTTGAGGCTAGACAACAGTAATATTATCGCAGGCGAGAGGGAACTAGTAGTGGTGACATCTGTTGACATTTTGAGACAATTCTGTGTCTTATTTCTCGCATATTACACCTTATCCTCCACCGTGAATGTTCGAAGAACGCTAACCTGATGCTTATGCCGCACCTCTTTGCCGGGCAGGTGTCCTGTCAGATTCTCTTGACTACCGGTTAAGTGGCCCCTCCCCAGCGGTGTCGACACAGACGTGATAACCCCGTGAGCGCGCGGATTCTCCGCGGACAGATCCGGCCTCCAGTACTTCAGATTGTCTTGGGTGACCGATCTATTCGGCATGGAGCTTGACAATGCATAACCGCCCGCGACGTAGTCTTCCTGCCGCACGTAATGTGGCTTATCCAAGCGGTATGACGAACTGCCATCGAGGAACCAGCGGAAGAGTGGGCGGAGGGTAATGAGGCTGCCGGCGATGATGGCGAGGCCGGTTTCCATGACGGACCAGATGGCGATTTGGTAAGTCGAGTCTGCATTGTCAGCCAATCCTGCTTGTGATGGAGTCGTGGAGAAGCTTACAGAGGAAGTCCGCGTCGGCGTAGTGCTTCAGGTACGGGAGTCGAATAACCACAGCCACGCTCGCACTGTTGCCCTGGTTAGCTTGTCCCCATTTAGGTGTGTGGAAATTCACATACACTGCTCCCAGCCCGAGGATCGCGCCCAACGCCACCTTTGTGCGCGGCGACATGTGCAGCCCCCAGATCAACGCCGCTGGGAAGATCCCAAGCGTAAAGTCACAGACAATGGAAAGCGAACTATAGATGTATGCGATGATGAGGAGGGATATTGGTTGGCAAGCACGTGCCCGAATTGAGTGGGTTGACCTGGCCCCAAAAGTACCCGATTGGCCGACAATCGAGCAACAGAATAAGCCAGAAGACGAGACCAATACATATCACGGTTCCTATGACGGTCCAGAGAATAAAGCGGTGCAGTGGGCGAACGGCCAGTCGAAGGAGAGCAAGGGCAATGGCTACTTTGGCGACGGCTGACGCCCACAGGTAGAGCATTTGTCCAAGCCACCAGTACTGATAGAAGTCAGAGGAAGATAACAAAGAGCAGAAAGGATATTGGTGAAACGCACTATCATCGCATACTGCAATGCGTGCAGACTATCCATGAGATTCCCACTCTTCAGACTGAACGACTCGAAGTCCGCGAGTGTGTGGCCAATCCCAGCTTCCGGTCCCATCATGCACAGCACGCCCAATGCTATAAATAGCGCCTATTACAATCAGTCAATCTTTAATATCAAGTGTCCATCAAGGATAGGATGGAAAGAATACTTACCAGCGCCGTCACCACAAGCGCGTCATCCCACCCAAACGCACGCAGAATGTACAGACGCACAAAGCACCGCAGCGAGACACAAATGATTGCTAACCCAACTGTCACAGCCGAGACGATGAAAATCGCCAGGCTGTGGCCAACTAAAGGCAGGGTATATTCCATTCTGACCAGCAGAAAGCGGGGAACTCGTTTGGTCAACCGATTCAAAAATCACGTACTGGAGCAGGGGGGAGAACGCCCTTATGCACCTTTGTACGACCAAAAGCGCGGATCAAGAAAGGAAAATAAAGGATCGGATCAGCAGAAAGTTAAAAGCCTATCTGCTGGGGGAACTCTAAGTGGTAACGGTGCATATCGGCAGCAGCAGCCGCGACTCGTGGCTCTTGGACTGGGCGTCGGCGATGAAACAGTAAGTCTGGCTGGGTCTATGGAGTGTAGAGGTCCGATTTATAGCACCGAAGTCGATGCAAGTGATATTTCTGTGCATCTTTCGAAGGTTTGCGCTAGAAAAGTCAGCTCGGGGGCCTTCTGCTGGATTTGCCAACAATGCCATTCTTGTGGTAACATCTCCCTTGGCTATACGTTGAAGCCCATGGAGCTTTCTGGTTCGATATCGCTTGTTATAACCCTAGGAATGATGCAGTGACTGAAGATTGATTTTTTAAGTTTCTCTGTTTCGATAGTGCTTTCCCTTGCTTCACATCTATATAACCATCTTTCCCCCCAAAGTTTTACATGGGCTAGAACCATACACCCCTTCTAATCAAATCGCTCGCATTTCAAAAGATCCGATCAACAGTTCCCCATTCACTGATTGACTCGATCCAAAAGCAAAGTGGACCCAAATGCAACGGAGTTTCTTCCATAATAGGAGATGGTGGGGCTGTTTTGAGAGAGATGCCGAAACTCTCCTGACTCGCGTCTTATGAAAGGAGCCTCAACCGTATCTCTGCAAACTATAATCTTGTGATTTTGTATGCATTGAGCTCGGCACGAGGCCAAGAACCGAACGCCAAGCTCCCAAGTGCAATTTTTGGTCTTTATGTTGAAGTTGTGTGGTTAGTGGGGAGTCCGGGTTGACAATGCCTAGACGGTGTTCATATGGCGAGACTGTTGTGACCATTCTGTATGATGTTTCAAGTCGCTTGTTGAATATTTGTTGTTTTTACATAGAGACTGATTGTATCTATCTTTATCATTAGTCCTGCGCCTTGAAGTGTTCATTCCCCATAGCTGCGGACCAGCGCGCACAAGCCGCGAGAATCATGTATTCTCCCCCGATTTATGTAGCAGTCTCGTGAACTAGGGAACTTTAGCATCGTGAATTTCAATCCAATGCATGCTTTCTTGGGATTGTATTACTCAGAAACCATTGAACAGATGGCACGCGACATTTTCGCTTCATCGGAAAGGCAGACCAAATATGGATAAGACCTCTTTCCGGCATTGGAAGAGTCAGTCTTACAGATTTAGTAGGACGTAAAAAGAGCTTAACAATAAATCCGATCTACTGCACAGATGTCTATACTAATACCATCGGGAGCAAGCGGGGTAACAATTAATATACTTTTAAGTTGGTTCGTTCTTCAACCAATCTTAGCGGTGATTTCTATCTTCCTCTTTGTTCTCTTTCACATACTTTATCCAGTTATGGTCGGTTCCTTACTTAATAATCCAGACATGTTAATTCGCCAGAAACAGGTCTTGCTTGCTTTTGCTTCCCGTGTGGCTTATTAGTAAAAGTGCTGGTCATACTTCGGCAACCCCAGCTGTCGTGATGATGATGCCGCCCAAACCTTATAAACGAACCACAATCGTATCCAGTATGGATAGCAAGGGACATGTTACACCGTATCTCATAATGACGTCTAGCCACACGCAAGTTAAAGAAGGGCCAGGCAGCCACTGATATATTTACGCAGTGCAACCGGTGCGCCTTATTTTCTTAACAATGACTAGCCGCTATATTCTCAACTCTTCCCGCCCTATCCTTAGGCCTCTACTATCTATCCCAAAACAACACCGCTTCATATCCCAGTCCCCTATCATCATGGCACCTCGTATATCCGAAGCGATCAAGACCGACCACCGCGAGCTCGAGGACTACTACAACAAGATCCTGAACTCTGCTACCGAGAAAGAGAAAATCGAATGGCAAAATCAATTTACTTGGGAATTAGCCCGTCACTCGATCGCTGAAGAGCTGGTCGTCTACCCCCAGTTCGAGAAGTCCATCCCCGACGGCCGGGCCATGGCAGATAAGGACCGGAAAGAGCATCAATCGGTAAGTCATCCATCATGCTTTCATTACCAATCCGTTACTAAAGCGACATGTAGGTTAAAGAACAGCTGAAGAAATTCCAGAACATGAAACCCGCGGACCCGGAGTTCGAGTCTACTATCAGGGCATTGATGAAGGACCTTTCCGAGCACATCAAGGAAGAAGAGAGTCAAGATCTGCCGAAGCTGGAAGACGCCGTGTCGGCGGAGGAAAGCGAGAAGCTTTCGAAGTCTTTTGGTAGGACGAAGATGTTTGTGCCCTCGCGGTCCCATCCTAGCGCGCCTGATAAGCCGCCTTTTGAGACTGCCATCGGTTTGATGACTGCTCCGATTGATCATTTGGCTGATTTGTTTCGGAAATGGCCGCATACTTCGGGGATGCCGAATCCTTCTACGAAGTAATGTAACTATCATTTTTCCTATGTGTTATGGTTATGTAAATCATCGTCTTCGTTAGTTCTGGATTACGCTGGTTATAGTTTGGAGGATATGGCAAGAATGACACATACGCAAAAGTGCATGCAATTTAAACTCACCTGGTCTATATAATTATCTTACGTGCCCTGTCTACAATCCGTATCTAGTACACCCGGTGAATTAATGGCAATGTTACGGCATAGTTATATTGTAGCCATATGACTCTAGCTTATTAGTAAAGTGCAACCTATGTAGTCCCCCTCTCCATCTCTAATTCCTCACTCTCCTGACCAGGAGCCTTTCGGTGCGCATCGCCCAACCGTAAATCACGCAAACACAGACTGAGAAGGAATCCGACCCCTGCGACAGCAGTATAAAACACCCACACCCAGCGCAACGCAGCCGTCAACGCATGAAACACCACCGCCCGATCCTCGCCGACAGGCAATGTCTCCACAATCGCCGCTGCAGCTGTCGACGCCTCCACGATCTCCTGCGCGACCGTCTCGCCCAGTACGGCAGCCAGAGCGCCCCGTTGCCCGCTTACAGCGCGCGCGTACAGCACAGACCCGACGACGACAGAGATGGCAGCGGCCAGCTGGCGCACAAACGAAAAGGTTCCGGTGCCGCGACTTAATTCGGCGGGGGTGGTGTTGGCTTGCAGGGCGATCAGAGTAGCCTGGAAGTTAGGCCCGATGCCGAGTCCGGCGACGATCTGGAAGAGGATAATTTGCGGCCAGGACTTGATGGAGGGGAGGTCGATAAATAGGCCATAGCCCAGGGTGGTGAGGAGCATGCCTAGGATGATGGCTTCACGGGAACGGCCGGTGGTGCGCATGACGAAGCCGGCCAGACCGGACGAGATGGCGAGGGCTCCCACTAGGGGGAGGAGGTAGACGCCGCTTAGTAGGGAACTGGCGAGTAGGATGTTCTGGAAGTAGACGGGGAGGTAGAAGCAGGAACCCAAGAAGACGGTTGAGTGGCAGAAGTTGATTAGTAGGATGATGAGGTTGTACCTGTTGGAAAAGAGCGTCGTGGGAATGATAGGGATTTGGGCGATTCGGGATTCGTAAATGAGGAAGAGGCCGGCGGTGAGCACCCCAAAGACGATAAGACAGATGATCGTGGGGGAAGACCAGGGATAGAGCGAGCCCCCTAGTTCGAGGCCAAAGAGAAGCATGAGCGTCGCGCCGACAATGAGGCCCAGTCCGATCCAGTCGAGGGAGAGAAGGCCGGCCTTGAGAGGGGTGAGAGATGCAGTGTGTAGTTGCAGGAAGAAGAGAAGGCCAAAGAAGGCCAGGCCGCCAATGGGGACTGCGGAATGGGGTTTAGAAGACAGGCGGCTGGAGAAGGAGTGGGGAAAAGGACGAACGATTGATATAGAAGCACCATCGCCAGGTTGAGTAAGTCGTGAAGGCGCCACCGATGATGGGTCCGATGGCACCAGCAATCGCCCAAGTTGCCCCGAAAATCCCTAGGTAGGCAGATCGACGACGCATGTTGAACATATCCGACACGCAGATATTGGCTAATACAGTGATACCGCCGCTGCCTACGCCTTGGATAGCGCGACCCGCGATGACCATGTTGACGTTGATTGCTACGCCGCAGATTAAGCTGCCGCCCAGGAACAATGCGACGACTGTCATAAGGATCGGTTTGCGGCCCCAGATATCACTGATTCGACCCCACAGCGGAACACAGGAGGCATTGGCGAGCAGATACGACGACGCGATCCAGGTGTAGGCGCTGTCGGAAGCTTTAAAATGGGCGACCATCTCTGGAAGAGCGGTTGAGACAATAGTCTGTGAAATCATGAGAATTTGCCAAGTAGATTCCGTTTTAAAGAGACCTACAATGTCTAGCGCTGCTAGGAAAACACATAACTGTGCACAAATATTAGGATGTGTATGATAAGATACGACGACAGTTAATTATATGAACTTGCGTACACTCAGGGATGTCATCACAACGGCGACCCTTTGCTTGCTCTGATGATCAGTGGGAAAGTCATCCTCAGCTGCTTCGGTAGGGGCATCTTTTCCCAGATCATGCTTGAAATGGTTGGATAGGTTATGGTCCTCTTCTAGGTGTTGGTACGGTCGGGGAGAGGGATCTTGCTCCGTATTGACAGCCATGTAACAGAGACTGGCGTGAAGAATGGAAAGAAGGAAGGAATGTGAGGGATCTGAAGAAGAGGAAAATGCAATAACAAGTGGAAATGATGAACGAGCGGGTTCGACTAGGTGCTGTGCAGAAGAATAAAATATCGAAAAAAAGCTGTGGTGCGATACTCTTCCCCGGACACATAACCACCAGAGTCCAGAGGACTTAATATGTAGGCAGCACTCCTTGACACCTTAAGGGCAGCATGTGGGGAAATGGATCGATCATCAATTTACACAACGTCATGGCTATTCTAGGCTCTGATCGCGATGCTGATTACTGGTTGGATTTGTCTGTGTTTAAGGTGGAGAAGAAGGAACATCAAGAAAGGGGCAGCAGAGAGGGTTTGCGCTCGGCACAGACATAAGCGATGCCTGGTTTTCTCTACTATGATACTAAGCTATACTATATGGCTACTATTCTAGTTAGTTAGGATTCAATATAATATATTTCTTGATACAAGGGGTATGCCTCATATAATCGCTGTATCAGTCCTTTACTGGAATGACAGCATTAAGGGGACGGACCCAGTTGGAAAAGGTACTACTGGCCGATGAGCCGCTCGGCAAATCTACAGGAAAAAATTCAACACACGTGGCCTGCAATTGTGGGCCCCAATTCACTTTCTCTGACTGGTAAATTTAAAGCCGGAATTGCCAGTAGACAATTGACACCGGCCCGTACCGTGAGATGGGAAGAGAGTTGCGAAGAAGCTTGGCCTCGTTACTGGATAAGCGGGCCATCCATAGGTCTTCTAGCAGTCGCGCATTCGAATACCCTAAAAGCAAAGACCGGTTTTCCCGCCCCTAAAGCCCCATGACATTGGCTGCACATGATTACCTTTCAAATAATATTCGTAACTCCGCACCCTACAATTGACTCCATCGACTTCTCAGAGTCTGAACTGCAGCCTTTGGTTTCCTATCCCTGGTAAAGACCCCCTTCTTGTTCCCGTCCACCCTGCCGACCCCTACAACCGCCTGAAAGTCCGCAAAGTTCCAAACGTGCTCTCCCACCACTGACGCAACACGGTCAAACACTCGATGGTACATGTCGAGCAGTTCGACCTGGAACTCCTCGCTCCACGGAAGCCCAAGCACCGAATGGAGGCCAGCCAATGTATCCGCTCCGTATTCTGTCATGACGATGGGTTTGTCGTATTTGCCCTCCCAGCCCAATAGCTCCGTTTCGAGAGCCGCTTCCGCCTCCTCAATCTCACCGGTTTGCGAATACCACCCGAAATAGCGGTTGAGGCAGAGGACGTCAAACATATCTGAGATTCGATCCACCTCATATGTGGCGTCTCCGTAATTTGCAAAACAGATGGGCCGATCTGAGTCAAGTTCGTGGGCCAGTTCAACGAGTGGCGTGAAATACTCACGGGCTCCTGCTTCTTGCGATGCAGGCTCATTTGCAATCGACCACATGACAACACTGGCGTGGTTCTTATCCCGAGCAATGAGCTCCCGGATTGCTTGCTTGTGAGCTTCGCGGGTGTTATTGTTGATCCCTTCCGGGGTAAATGTCTGCGGACTGTCTTCGCTAGAAACTCCAGCCCCAATGGAGTACGCCAGGCCAACGGCGGGCGTCTCGTCAATGACAACGATTCCGTGCCGGTCCGCAAATTCCATGACCTCTTCGGCGTACGGATAGTGCGAGGTGCGGAATGAGTTGGCTCCCATCCAGTTCATCAACTGGAAATCGTGCACCATGTACGCTGCGTCATAGCCTTTGCCGCGCACATTACTGTCCTCGTGCTTCCCCAAGCCAGTGAAGTAGAATGGCTTGTCGTTGATGAGGAATTTGTTCCCGCTGACTTTGACTGTACGTACACCCGTCGCAACACTATAAGTGTCGAGTATACTGTCGTCCAAACTCAGGATGCTCACTCGAAATTGGTACAGATATGCATCTCCCGGCTGCCACAGCCTAACGGAGTCTATTGTAACATTACCATGGGTACCTGAAGCTTCTGCCACAGTTCTGCCATCCTCATCGACCACGTCGATCTTGATGCGCTCTGTAGTCGTGTTGGACACCGTGACAAGGTATTTTATCAGCCCGGTTGTGCCGTTCACGTCCGTGACGACTTTTATATCCTGGATGTGCTGCTTCGGAACAGAATACAGCGAGACAGAGCGCGCAAGTCCCGCGTAATTGAAGAAATCATGCTGGTAGACTTGCGTCTTTTTACCTGTGTATTCCATTACTTCTATCCTGCCTGGCGGAATAGTCTCGTGAGTCAGCACGTTATTGACAGCGATAGTCAGTCGGAAGCTGTCACCAGCAGAGACAAGACCCGTGATATCTGCTTCAAAAGGTGTGTAGCCGCCCACATGCTCGGCGACTAGATGGTCGTTTACATAGATACGACCTTTGTGTGTGGCGGCATCAACCCGCACGAAATATTGCTGCTGTGACCAGCCTCTGGGGACAATAGCCTGGCGCTGGTAGTAAACCCATCCAACATGGTCACGGATCTGACGATCGACAAAGATGTCGTTATAAGAGGCTGGAACGGGACACTCCAGATCAGTGGCTAATGGGGCTGTCCAGGGTGTCGCCGTCTCATTATCGCTGGATCCGAGAGCAAATTTCCAGAGTCCGTCAAGGGAGACTATATCCCTAAAAGGTGTTTGGTGGGGCTTCAGCATTGCTGGTCTCTGCTGGACCGTTTGACGTGAGTGGATAAGTGGGGGTTTAGAGGATACATGCTGAATTAGGGAAAGTATTGACAATCCCAAGAGGACCTTCATCATGACAGAGTCAAGGAGAATTCACCAGTGTTCTCGGCATTGCCAGCAGTAGCTACATCGGTGACGACGTGAGCTGGTAATTGGTATTAAATGATAGAAGGCGGCAATTGACTGCCACACCATCGGCTGTTGATGCACTTGTCATGCTATTGCTTGGCAAGGACTAATTCTTTTATTCCAACAGTAATATCTAGTCAATGCTCCCTTGGCAGCATTGCCAAGCACATGCCACTTTTATTCTTTGCAGATGTGGACCCGAAATGGACCCGAAAAGGGTCCAGGATGCAGCCAAGAACCAAAGTGCGGAGAAAATAGAGTTTGGTGCCCTCCAACCCGATGAATACCGTCAATATCAATTGCCGACCAAGGATGGACTTGCTTGAGTGTTTTTGGAGAGCATGATGCTTCCAGTCAGGCGATAGATGGCGATCTTAATCGATATCAGTCTTTATACGTACCACCTAGCTGTGACTGTATCAGTTCTGTTGTATTATTTTGATTACTTGACAATAATTGTCATAGGAATAGCATTACTCACCTACGCGGGAATACTTGTCTCTTGTCATTCCATTGAACTTTGGACTCTATTATCATAGAAATGCAATTCTCCCATTTGCGTCGGCGTAGCGAGGCTAATACGAAGAAACCTTAGCCTCTCACCAAGCATTCTACATCTGATCATTGAATAAAGAGCTTCACCTGCAGTATTATAGCGGTACAAATAATGGCTGGAATTTTCATTGACTGACCCGTTCCAATTACTTTGGAATCAATCGATAAACTATTGGGTCTCAAGGAATAGGGACATGGTATCAGGGGAATAAGATGTGGCATTCCATGATATTAAATTCTTTGAGACTCAGATCAACCATTTGGGCCTTCACGGCCGGATGCGTGAAGCGACGAAGACATAAGCGGATGAATCGAAGATGGCCAAAGTGAAGTTGGAAATATTAGGTGTTCACAGATAAACAGCACTAGGAAGTGATGAGCAAAATATGAAGCGGCTGGACTACGTTGACCACGGCCGGTCAAGATTAACATTCGTCCATGACAGGCTGTTCCAATGTATTGAATGCACATTTTTTTGTGCGCTAATCAACGCAACGCACTGGGCGTCACTGTGTAGAAAAAAATTAAGTTACATTCATCCTTGGGGCAAATTATGTAAACAGAAATGGGATATTTAATCCACCTTCTTCCCCCCCGAAATGCCCCCTTCTTTCTCCACTGAAAAAAGTCGTGGAATCTCCCAATCTGGTGATATGTACCTGGGTCTTACCTATTATACTGGACTGGAAACCTCCCGTCAACGTCAGGTACTCCGGCATATATAAAGGTATCCGTCTTGTCGTTCGGAATCTTCCTACCACTCGCCAACATCGAACTCGAGTGTTGATCCTTTACATTTTTACAAACATGTCACAATGGGGACACCTCCTCCCACAGATCTAACCTCACTTGACAAAACAGTCGGCAAAAGAGAAGAGCTCCTGAGCGACACAGCAATGACAATTATAACTCAACTTAGTGAGACATCGAATATCTTCTTCCAGCCATCCTGCACCTAACAGGACAGAGCTTTCTGTTATTGCTCACTCATCCTCGTTGCGGACATACACCAGTTGGCAAGTTATATATACTGGGCAAGTTCGTGCCACGGTGGCTCTTTATCGTGCAGCCGCATTCTGTGTGGAGTTTTTATCAAATTACACAGTGTCCTTTTTGAATGGAATTCGCTGTACTCTACGGAAGTGGACATGCTCGGGCATTAAGATCTATCAAAAGACCGCAGACTTCTAAAAGCAATTATATACATACTGGAGTTACAGAGGAGTTACAGAATTGTCTAGAAACTCAAAAACGGACAGTCATCCATATTGAACAAGAAGACGCTTTAAGTGACCAACAGCATCAACCACATATGATTATTACCAGAATGAAAGCCCGGTTGGAGAGCCGCAAAGGATGCGGGTATTTCGAGAGCTAAAGGGAATAGGACATGTTGACTGGAAAGGGAGGGCCATGGGAGAGTTGATGAGGTAGCACAGTGGCTTCCACCAGCTCTTCTGTTGTGGATTACCTCGTGTCTGAAGATATGCTCTGGTGAGTCGACATTACCACAGCAAAGGACTGCAATTAATGCTGACCGAGATTAGTCTCTTGATAGTGCTCTGCTACGGTCTAACAACTTCCAGTAGAAATAAAGCCGAAACTGGATGATTATTGTCCTCTTGTTGTGACGTTGAGACATTATGAGCACTTGTTTGCTGTGGTTGGGAGAACATGGCTCTATCAGACATCCAAATTTACAGCAGCAGTACAGCTTCAAACTCAGTTAAGACATTGATTATCGGATAATGTCTTTCAGCAAGGAGAATAGTAGATGAACTATCGTTTCTGCCAACATGTGATGATCATAAATATATTTTGATCTGATGACTGGGCTGTGGCTCGCATTAGAGCTTGGTTGTGACTTCTGAAAGGTACGTGAATGTATTAACCTTCCAGGAGAGAACGGGAACGAACAAACCGTTCACTTAATCAATACATGTTCATTGCTAACTATAGAGCACCTTAGGCTCACATGGCACCATAATATGCTCGCTGCCGCACAGTATATATTGCTCGCTGCCACAGAATATCTTTGTTCACGGCCATGCACTCTGCCTGGTTCACTGCTTCACAGTCTACCTACTTGCTGCCCCACGTTATAACTTGCTCGCTGCCACGAGCTCTCTTTGTTCACAACCGGGAATCCTGCCTTTCTCGCTGCCGCAGAAGGATCCTACTTCATAGGCTTTCCGTATACAGCCTACTTCTCAGGGAATTGGCCCATATCCTCCTTCACGAATGGGGTTGCTTCAAAGGTATAAAGCCTTTCTCCCACCATGTCGGTTGTCTTCCGTTTCTTTTCTCTCCCAGTTCCCACTGCTCTGCTCAGACATTGTTTGTAACAGTGGCTTGGGACGAGTTGGATAAGGTTTTGCTAGTCATAGGTCTTATTGGCTTTGCTATCGTTCTCAAAAACGAGGCCCCCAACCTTCGAAAGTGGTATCGCAAGCGACAGGACGCCAGGCCTAATCAACCGGGCGCCTCTGTAATCCAGCGGCTGGCAGCGATTCGTTCGCCGCCTCCAGCTTTGCTGCCGATCCATTCACATCCACCAATCGAACTCGACTTCTGGGAGAATCAAGGTGCCCTTGGGGAAGGCATTCGTCTTGAGGACCCAGGGGAACGGGGAGATCGGATGTGGTATGGAAATGAAGCACAGTGGTAGCTGCGTGAACATTTCGTTGGCTTGGGAAATAACCTCTGATTGAGCGGTTGGTAGAGTTTGGGGGCGCCCACCGGTGATGAGTCTACCCTTCTACGTAGGGCTGGTGATTAGTAGCCTTCGGGCGAAGCTAAGATGGACTCAGATGTACTTAGACTGAGTGCAAGCTTTTTGCCGTTTACTTATTTTTGTCCTGTCATTTCAGATAGTGTTGCTTCTAGAGTGCTATCTTCAGGCAGCAATACCGATGCAGTACAACTATTATAATAGCGTTGCTTAGAAGATGTGTCTTACACTTTTACTGTGCCATGCAGCTCATAAAAACATCTTTCCGATTATCTTCTGACAGTAGCTGTTTCAAACATTTGGAATTCAGCATTTTCCTCTTCCGAGACTCTCTCAATAGTAGTTCCCTCCCTTTGGATGACTCTTTAATCAGAACCCCCCCGGTTTGAATGCGCTACTCAGACTCGACACCTTTCCTTGAGCAATTCTATAGTTATCTGCAACAGAAAAAAGAGAGAACACAACAAAGAAAAAGCGAGCATATTGGGAGAATTTTGGGGGGTGGGATGACGATTTGTGTCGACAAGCAAGCAATACCTTCGATCCTGTTTCTTACATTGTCGGAGAGATGAGCTGTTCGCCTGGATACACGGCCACACATCCTTAAACATGCATCAAAAAAAAAAAAAAAAAAAATAAAAAATAACAGAGCCTTAAAGCTTCTTACCCAACAGCCTAGAACATTTAATAACCTGCTTGCTTGTCTCCTAGTACGTCTACAGGGCTGGAAGATACAATAGTCGGACAACTGACAAGACTTTTACGTTTACGTACGCGATCGACGTCAACATTTCTGATCTGAGAGGAGGTATCACGAGCGATGACACTGAATCAAGCCATCCAGGCAATAGACAAATTATCAACAACATATAGCCATGCCTTCCACAGCGCTTTAGTAGGATTCTGAGATGTATTTTGGGTCCTTTCTGGCCTTGCAACTAGATCTCAACTCGCCTGGAACAGGCATAAAAGAGACAGCGAACGTGGTAACCGGATTTTGACGACTCTTCCGGGACTTCCGCTGGGGTATTCTACCTTCTAGTGAAATATGGGCAAGAAATCTTCAAGAAAAGTTAGTGAAGCCATTTCTTAGATTAATGGTGACTGTCTCCCCCAACTGGAAGACTGAGCATAAGCGAGGTCATGCCAACGCAGAGCGCAGGGTGGAACAACGCAGTGATCATCGAAAAGATACATTTATTCCGGCTGTCGATGCGTACAGAGACTGTCATATTACCGAATCAATGGATTCCCTCGGTACCCATTTCCGGGGAATACGAAGAAGCTCATTGCCTCCAATACAAGGTGGCCCGACCATAGAAATTCGACCTGCAGAGGGTAGACGCAAGGCGGCATCCACCAATCACCAAGGTCCACGAACCACAAGTTACAACCGTGTTTAGCTTTCTGCCAGCCTAGGATCTAGTAGGTGCACAACACAATGCCCTTGCATCCGAGGCATCAACTTAGATCTCATTGGAAAGCAGTCCGCATGTTGTAGACGGCAATGGCGGCGGTGTGGCTTGCATATGACACCACACCCTGTCAGTTCTACTGAGGGGGTTGGCCAGCGTCTGCGGTGTACAGGAGGGGCAAGTCATCATTCAGAAATAAGTGAAGTACTGCCAGGTTGCTGCGCATACTCAAAGTATTACACCTACTTTTGCCATTCTTCGTCCTCACTTATACGAGTATCCCTTACCAGATTTGCCCATGCTCTTGTCATGATGGTGAGCCGGTGCGCTGAGTAAAGCTCCCATTCAGACTGCAACATATACTAATAGCATAACAGTAGCACAGTACAGAATGACATACAGGATATGCATCAAGCATCGTCTGAACTCGCATTCCTCCAACTCACAGCGCCGTTATATGGGAGAAATGGACCGCGCCAATTCCAGGATCTGTTGCGACGCTACCAAACGCACTGGAAAGAATTGCCAGAGGCAGCCAAGGATGGCAGCTCTTCGGTCTGGACGATGACACTCGATCACGCTCAGCAGCGGGTGAAGGCGGCTATGCCCCATATTACAGACTTCATCTCATGTGAATCTCGGGAGCCAGCTCTTCTGGACCCCCGGTCAGGTCTCGTCATATCACACAAAAAGGTGCGGGAGTTCATAGTAAATTTCGATCTCAAGCTCCCAGACTCAAGTTGTGGGAAGCCACGGGTGGCGGTGGTTCTTCCCAACGGTCCCCTCATGGCCCTGGCCTTGCTTGCAGTAGCCAACCGCTATACCCTGGTGCCGATGGCAACTACAGCAGCCCCTGAGGAACTAATGAGAGATCTTGACGCGGTAGGGGCAGATGCAGTTCTCATACTTGATTCTGATATGAAACGGCTGCATACAAGGGCAGAGTTACTCGTCTTCACAGTTCAACCACAGGATGACTTGACATTCAGCGTTACTTGCGCAAACTATTCCACTATACCGCGTGGAGCCCGGAACCCTCCCAATGGCCCAGATGATCTGGCCATTATTTTGGCCACGAGTGGAACTAGTGGTACCAAGAAGCTGGTTCCAATCACCATGTTCAATCTTCTGGTCAGTGCAACATTCATCATGGACAGTTTGGAGCTGGGTCCTGGATCTCGCTGTCTGAATATGATGCCGCTCCATCATGTGTACGGGTTCCTTCGTTACTACACTGTTGATACGGAAAAGTATGCGCTAACAGAAGAAGTGGCGGTATGATGCGCAGCTTGTGGGCTCCCCTTGTGGCAGGGGGCATGACGATCTGTTGCTCTCAGTTTGATTCGAACCTCTTCTGGGATGTAGTGGAAGAACATCGCCCAACGTGGTACTACGCTGCACCGACAATGCATGAAATGATAGTAGCCGAAGCTGTGCATCGAGCTGTTGCCGTTAGAAAAAGCACCATTACATTTATCTGTAACGGGGCGGCAGCATTGCCCTCGAACCTTGCACAGCAGCTCCAAGACATATTTCGATGCTCATTGTCACTCAGCTATGGAATGACTGAATGTGTACCCATCACTGCACCGCCTAAGACCGGCGGTTTCAGTCGGCCTGGGAGTTCAGGAGTTGCCGTGGGGCCAGAGGTAGCGATTTTTAATACTCAGTATACGCAGCAGCGTGCCCCTACTGGCTCGGTGGGTCGGATCTGTGTGCGAGGCTTGCCCGTATTTCCGGGTTACCTGGCCGCAAGTGGGCTGGACCGAAGCTCATTCACCCCAGCAGGGTGGTTTGACACAGGTGATCTCGGATTAGTCGACGAGGAGGGCTGGCTCTATATCACAGGGCGGACGAAAGAAGTCATCAATCGCGGAGGGGAAACCATCTCACCCGTTGAGGTTGAGGACGCCATCATGTCGGCTGCCCGAGACCCTTTATCCAATATATTTGGCCGTATTAAGGAAGCTCTAGCATTTCCGACTCCCCATGACCTTCTTGAAGAGGTCGTCGGCGTGGCAATTGTAACCCCAGCAGGTCGCACAAGGCCAGATCTGCGTCAAATGCACCAGGCCCTCAAGGAGCGCCTGCATCAACCTAAATGGCCCGTCCTCTTGGTTTACATGGATGACCTTCCTAAGTCACAAAACAAATTGCGTCGCATTGGCTTAAGCCAGCGCCTGAGGCTGGGGATATTGACCGACCACGTTCCCGCGGCCGAGCGGCACTACGAGGCGCGGTGTCCACCGGTAGACACGCCTGTCACCGTGCCCATCGCTCAAACACGATGTGCGATTAATTTCCGTCTGGTGGAGGGATGTCTCACACAGGTGTCCGGCCTGTCAGACATTATTGTACAAGTCCATGCGGACGGATACCCGCGAGCGATCATCTTCAGGAATGGGACAGGTGAAGCCTCGACCGAGGAGATCATCGCCCGCCTCCCAGATCTTATGCACGGGTATCTAATCCCCAGTAGATTGGATGTGCTGGATGGGCCTATTCCGCGGAACACGCATGGGCTAATCGACGAGGCGCTTGTGCAAGCCAAGCTGGCTGCAATGCATCCAACGGCCACGTCACCCATGCAGCAGCGAGTATCTAATCTCTTCGCGACGGCACTCAGGCGTGCCCCAGAAGATATGACGCCCGCGACCGACTTCTTTGAGTCAGGTGGGGATAGTATGGGCGCGGGCCAGCTTATCTCCAAGATCCGGCAGGAGTTCCGGGTGCCTGTGGCAGGGGATGTTCTTTTCCAGCACAGTACCGTGGGCGCTATCACGGCCACCATCGAGGCGGCAATTGCTGAATCCGAGACACGTAAAATTGAAAAGCACGAGCTTCCAGGCTGTCGAGAGACGTACAGCTCCACCCGGCCTTGGGTGCTATTTCTGAATCTGGTTCCCTCCGTCATCCTTTACCCAATGCTTCAGGCCCTGCGTTGGACATTGCTGGTTTATCTACTATCTGAAATATCGACCCGGTTTCCGCTGCGCCCGAATCTTTTCGGACGGTTGCTTGGCCTCATCCTCATCCAACTAGCTGTTCAACTGCTGATGGCAATAGTTTCGCCCTTGATAGGGGTCGCACTGAAATGGCTGCTTGTTGGTCGATATCACGCAGGAATGTATCCGATGTGGGGGCCGTACCATATGCGGTGGTGGCTGGCACAGAAGGCGCTCCAAGTGTGTGGCAAGGTATGTGCTGAACTATGGCCCTCTCTCTGGGCATTTGCGCAGTTCTTCGGATGATAAGCTCATGAAAGACGGCAGGGTGTCTTCGACTGCTATGACCAGAGCCGGATCTGGTACTACCGAGCCCTGGGGGCACGTATTGGACGAAATGTCTCTATTGACGAGAACACGGCTCTTGGGGAGTATGATCTCCTACACATTGGCGACGGTGTGGTGCTGGAGAACTGTATCTGCCGTCCGTTCGCGAGTGAGCGCAATACCTCGATGCTGCTCCAGCCCATCTCCATTGGGGCCAGCTCATATGTGGGCCTCCGATCGACTGTTGTGCCTGGGACCACGCTGCCTCCCAATACGTGTATCGGCGCCAATTCGTCCACCTGGGAAGTCGACGATGCCGACGAGTCCAACCGCGACCAATCTTCTGCCCGGTCTCTGGAGACCCACTGGGTCTGGCAGATCTTAGTCGTGGGGTGGCTGCAGATCTTTGTCCACTTCGTGTCAGAACTGCCGCGAATCGCAGGACTGCTCCCCATCGTGAGTCGCTATCCGACCGTCGCGGACGACCGGCTGAAACACACCATCTTCTGGCTTACCAGCCGGACCCGGATCGGCTACTTTCTTCTCATGCGGCTCTACTCTGCTGTGGCGGGACCCCTTGCATGGTTTCTGGCGGTGCTCGCTGTGAAGCGTGGCTTGGATGTATCTTGTGGCCGACCCTCGCGAGGCCCTATGAACACACTGCGTCCAGCTCAGAAGGTGCGATACGCGGCCCTCAGTGCGATCATTCCGCAGGGGGACATCTCGCGCCTTGCGCAGCTGGTGGGGCCGCACTACGAGCTGGTCTCTATGGCAGTGCGAATGCTGGGCGGGCGTGTGGGGAGTCGCGTATACTGGCCCCGTACGGAGTTGAAACTGATCCCGGATTATGACCTGGTGGATATCGGGAACGATGTGGTATTTGGGTCCCGGTCGTGCTTGGTCACAGTGGACGGGGTGGGCAAAGACCCCATTGTTATCAAAGATGGGGCTATGCTGGGGGACCGATCTGTGGTGCTTCCGGGGGTAACCATTGGGACGCGCACGATGGTGGGATCGGGCGCATTGCTGCGGCGGAACGGCTCCTATCCGGACGACAGCGTCTGGACTGGCAGCAGGCATGGTGATGCAGTCCGCTTCCCTCAACTCAAGGGGAAGGGGGAAGGTACTAAAGATTCCGAAGACGGGGAGCGTGACACGACAAGGCCATTTGGGCGAGCACTGTACCTTGGGAAGGCTAACTACCACGTGCTGGGCCAGGGGCCTATCATCGGATACTCTACCTGCATGGTTGCCTTCACTGCCGTATACCCCATGGTGACGCCGCTGGCAGCATTACTGGTGCTGAGCCGTCTGCTCCCAATAGAACTAATGGCGTTTGAGATGCGATGGTGGCGTCCGTTTGCCGTGTACGGTGTGCTGGCCGCAATTATGGTGGCAGTCACTCTAGCGCAAGGTATCTTATCTTTAGGGATTGTTATCGCCAGCAAGTGGATGCTCCTCGGACAGCGGCGGGAAGGTTCCTACCCTTATGACCGCAGCAGCTATTGCCAGCGCTGGCAGATCCAGCGCACCATCGATATCCTCATCGAGGAGTCTTTTGGCGGGAGGGGGATCCTGTCGTTAATCAGCGGGACAGCGTACCTGAGCTGGTTCTATCGGGCGATGGGGGCCAAGATCGGGTCTGATTGTGCGTTAAGCGCCAACGGGGAACCGCACATATTTCTCACCGAGCCGGACTTGGTGACGCTGGGGGATCGGGTGACGGTGGATGATGCCAGCCTGGTATGCCATCTCAATACTAGAGGGGAGTTCGAGCTGCATCCGCTGCGGGTGGGCGATCGGAGTGTGATGCGCACGGGATCGCGGTTGCTATCGGGGGCATCGATGGGGGAGGATGCATGTCTGCTTGAGCATACGTTGGTGCTGTCGGGGGATCATGTTGAGGATGGGACGACGTTGCAGGGCTGGCCGGCGGAGGCGTTTATGGGGGATCGACTACGACCGTAGGGCTTATAGCATTTGCGCGGTGAGAAGAGCATATACCATGCCAAAATCCGAGAGTTGGTTGGGTTTGGAATCGGCGGTACACTGCGGGCTCTAAATATTACTCGCAATCTTCAAGAAATAATGGTTCTGTGGGCATACATTATGGCAGAGTGGGCAGGTATACAGGCACCAATCTAACAGGAAATGCTGAAATAATAGTAGGATTTCCACTCCAGTATCGCCCAAGTAACAGCTCTTGTTCTTCCAGCTTTTGGCAGATGTACAGCCGCCCAAACAAAAGCTTCATCCTCCTTCCAATCACACAAAAATGCCCATAGAAAAGTCTCAAATTTCCCCCTTCCCAACGCACATATTGTTCTCAGCTACTACACCTTGGCCATATTTAAGCCAAGGCATGATGCAGGGAATAACACCCCTTTCAAAACATCCAACCAGGCAGAATACGTTGCAACACACCACCTGTAGCAGCCCCGGGGTGCGGCAGATGTCCCAGCGGATGGTCTGCGCACTTGCGCACATCCGCGAGAGTGACTCCTTCGGGAAGATCGGCTGGGTCGACTTTCATTACTCCGAGGGAGCCGCACTCTTCTTCGACACTGAGGTCGGTGGATACGGCGGTGGTGGCGTAGATGGTGAGAAGGAGGTAGGTAAGGAGTCTCATTTTGGGGTGTCTTTGTTCGAGGTTTGGGTGACAATAAAGGTATTGTTTTGCTGAGGGTGAAGGTGGGAGAAGAGAGAGTATGTAGATTTTAGTTGGTTTTACTAGTAGTAGTCTGATTGTGTGGCGGCCCTAGGGCGAAATCTGCTGCTGCTTTAAATACTGGCGTGGAAAATAAACAGACAACGTGGCAGGATTGGCCTTGACTGTTGCCTGCTGTCTGTACGACCTATTCCTTTGTTCCATGGTGTATTGATAGGCGCCTGGTATTGATGGGTCCAAGTGGATGGATGATGCCAATGACTCGTGGGAATCATGGTGATTGATTTGGTAGGTTTTAACTTGAGGATTTGATCTACAGGGATACGATTCCCGTGAATGAAACCAACACTTGGTGAGACTTGATTAGTTAGTTAGTCTATATCTGTCTGACTACTTAGTTTCTCTTGGCAGGGTCCACAACACAATATGACATTCTTATAATGACAAGTAACTCAGGACAAGCCTGGCCTATTTGCAGTGGCTGACTGAAGTCAACAATATGAGAGCTCAGGATTCGAGCAACTCCCTGCAATGAATGTTTGTGACAGCCGTGGAAGGTCGGGTTCGAAGATCTGTGCTGATGGGTCTAGAACCCGATCGATGATGTGCACCACGCCCTATGTACAGTATCATTAGGAGAAGATCATTCAATGGTATTGCAAGGAAGGGACGAGTTCGTACACTAGTAACCGGGATATCTGATTCCACCACATTTACCACTTGATTAAGAACAATCGCACCATCCTGCACTTGCGATCCCACGAAGAGGTAGGTGGCAGTCTAAACTAGACATCAGTCGATTACATTGTAACCAGACGGGTATTCCCACCTGAAAACGCTGCAAAGTCTCATTGAAACTACTCGATGTGAGCTCAGAGTTAGGCACATAGTGGTGTATGATGGTGTTTCCCAGCCACCATTTCCCTTTCCTATTCGGGATCAGCAACAGTGATACAAGATCAGAAAGATTGATCTGTACATACGGAGTCGGCTCGAAACTATCAAAGTATGCCCCGGTATATAATTCAAAGGCATCGTTGTTCGGTGCAAAGAACGTAAATTTCCAATTCGGATCGGTGTTAAACGCTTGTGTAAATCCGCCAAGTTCATCGATTTTCTCAGACAGGATGCTCAAGTCCGACCGAGATTTGATGAAATCCAGAAGAGTCGTCACATTCGAGGAGCTGGAGGCGACATAGCCGGGGATGTTTCGGTAGTTCAGAGGATCAGTTGTGGCTATCACCGGACTAATCAAAGAAAGGAGTCCTATGATTGGAGCGAATGAGAATATCATATTGTGAGTCCCGTTATCTGGATATGTTGAGGTAACAACTTCAAAACGCGAGTTCTGGTCAGATAAAGAGATAATCCAGAGGCTTCATGATGCAGTTTGTTCAGGGTCACTAGTTTGGCCGCTGGATCTCCCGGAGCGTCTCCGCAACTTCATCCACCTGACCTGGCCAATGAGATTATACCACTCGGCTTAAAGGCTGCAGCCTTACTAGCTAGTATCTTTACTCTACCTAGCCCCTTCACTCCGGTGGGGAATCCGGACAAGCTCCGGAGGTTGCATAGAAAAGATCTGCTGCAGTTGATCTTTTATAACTACCCCAAAAATGGCTTCCCGGTTACTGCACATCACGTACCCTTGGGCAAACCCAGCAACATGATGAAACACAAATCTCAGCTATCATCATTCACCTTAGTGACAGCGACAATTTTACCTTTTGTCCATCTTGTGATGGGAGGCACAAGTCTCGCACAAAAACCTCAGATGGGCTGGAACTCATGGAACGCATTCAAAGCAACGGTCAACTATACGATAGTTCAGGAAGTTATTTCGCTGTTCGATACGCTTGGGCTGAAAGAGGCGGGCTACGAGTACGTGCTGCTTGATGATGGATGGGCAAGTTACAATCGCACGTCCGACGGGTATCTTCAAGCCAATGCAACATCCTTTCCTCAGGGTATTAAGGCACTGGCCGAAGAGGTGCATATTAGAGGCCTAAAACTAGGCCTTTACGGAGATAGTGGTCACTACACCTGTGCGTGGAGACCGGGAAGTTGGGGATACGAAGAGCGAGACGCTCAAACGTTCGCTAGCTGGGGCGTGGACTACCTCAAGTACGACAATTGTGGCGGATTTCAGTCTATGACGGAGGCCCCTCAGATCCGCTTTGGGGCAATGAAGTATGCTCTCGCGCTTTCGGGTCGAGATATCGTCTATTCCGTGTGTGGATGGGGTTATCAGTTTCCCTGGCACTGGGGAGGAGGTGAGATACACCCTGCAAACCAACCAATCTTCTACCTTAAGATACTCATCCCACCTGCCTGCAGATATCGGTCACTCATACAGAATGTCTGGCGACATTACAACAAGCTTCACCAACGAAACTGAGTGCCAGTGCAAGACCGCCTACTGTCTCAATACTGGGTATGCCGGTTGCTCAGTACTGACCATCATCAACAAAATGAAAGAAATCAGCCAATATCAGACGCCAGGTCATTGGTTGGATATGGACATGCTAGAAGTCGGAAATGCAAATTTCACACTCAACCAGCAGCAGACGCACTTTGCATTCTGGGCGGCGCTGAAGTCTCCCTTGATCATTGGTGCTGATCCCAGCAAGCTTTCCAATGACAGTTTAGCGGTCCTCACAAATGAGGCGATTATTTCCATCAACCAGGACGCGCTTGGAGAGCCTGTGACATATCGCGAAGCACATAGCAAAGAAGGTCTCTTCCAGGTATGGGCTGGGAAGGTTGAGGACGGATATGTTGTTCTGCTGCTGAATGAGAAAAGCTATCCGCAAACTGTGTCTCTGAGCTTTGCCAGTTTGGGACTTGGCTCACCTCAGAAGGTCATTGAACTTTGGTCGGGGCAGACTTTGCAGGATCTTAGTAAGTTCAATGGGAGTTTGGGGTCTTATCAAACTCTTGTTTTCAAAGTGAAGACATGAAAATCTGAGACATAGTGTGCTTTCAACTGTCAACCTTCATCTTCATAACATATGTTCTTATTATATTCGCTGGAAGAGTCTGTAACTTTCTGCAAACCCACAAAGTAGATAAATAGACATATTGAATATAAAGTAGGCTTCATTATGCATCAAGGCTGAAATTACGCTCGATTGTTTTCTAATTGCCCGCCGTATTCCCAAATAAGACAAGTCTGAGGACGGCAAATCCCAGTAACCACAATTGTTAAATTAGGTGGAAAGCATGAGCCTTTGAGCAGAGATATAACACTACACCCCATTGTGATCTTTCTATAGGAAATTCGTTCACATTGCTTGTGCCAAACGCCCAATATGGAAGTAGTTGGAAGGAAAAATACCGGCATATGCCAAGCTCCGTCCTCATTGTTTAGCGCGTAACGCTTCCGCGAACATATCAATCGGGGGTGACGGAGGTGAGGATGTTCCATCTCATGTCCCTGCAGTCTCGGCTGATAGTGGCAACAGTTTATTCCACAACCCTCGTGTCGAGGGAGTGGCATGTTGGTAACTGGTAGCCCAAGCTTCTTTTGCTGGCCCCTGAAATGTTAAGTTGATGCTAAATTTTGGTTCTTACTTGTCTCTGACAGGTGGACTGATTGGTGGGTCGACGGGTTGCGTGGCTCACTGGATCCCGTGCACTAGGGTTCGACAACTGCCTCCCTTTTCGTCCGCCACACATTAACTACCCTGCCTGGGCTCCGTAGATAGGGATAAAGTACTCATGATCAAATGAATTGCAGGTTTTTCATGACGCACTCTCTCACGCGGAGAAAGTCTAGTGCTCCTGCGCATACGTAAGTTCGCCGCCGATCCTTCCCTGAAGACATGGACCCTGGATATTAACTGCAGGTGGGTCTGTCTTGCACTCCGCAGGAGATACTTTCTCCTATTTCCTGTACACATCGGTAGAACCAAACCCTAGAATTTTAAGAGAACGGAAACAATAGTCTAATAAGAATCTGGTGCTATTCGAGAATCTATAAGCGCGATGGTGAAGGACATTTTCTGTACGGTTAGGGCGAGCGCGCCCCAAATCTTAATGAAGACTTAATAGTAGCGACGAGCCGCTGCGTGGACTCACAAGCGGAAGTTCCTGGCCAATATCTATCTAATTATGTCGATCCGTTGCCTATTCGACTTTCAATTAAGCATATCGAACCACTTGCTAAGTCATTTTGGGAAAATCTCCGGTGTCGGACACTCGCCGGTAATTACCCCGCCCGCCGACAGGAAGCTGATTGGCGCAGCGTATGTCTCCATGTCTACGAACTCAACGGTGCAGAGGATGTGCCAGGAGTGGCATGACAAGTGCGGATTGCGGGGAAGACAATTCCCCCATGGGGCGTCGGTCTTTGTGCATGCCTGGCTCTGTATGTCAGACATCTCCTTCCTGGAGACAATGTTCACATGGTAAAACTCTCAATAATCTCAACTCTGCCTACCCGATGCCCCCCAAATCCCATCCCGCAACAGCCAACGCCAACGTAGGAGACTTGCCAGAGACAACCACCAAAGGAGAGGAGGAAATTCCAGCCTGTCAGTTCTGTCGCAAGAAAAAAGCCAAGTGCAATCGAGCGCAGCCGTGTTCGCAATGTATGCGATCGGATGTTCTTTGCGTCTACGATGATCGACGGACGAAGCCCGGTCTCCGAGCTGGGGCGGTCGACCAGCTCTATCGGCGCGTCGAGACGCTGGAGAATATGTTTTTGGGTCAGGAGATGCTCTGGCAGCAGATGTGGAAGGCTTTATTCCCGAATACTGAGCCCCCGCGATCCCTGGACAAGGGAACCACGGCAGCCACGACCCTGACGGAGCGTCGGGAGCAGTTGAAGGCTTCATTACAGGAGCCTCCACCCTTAGCAGCGAAGAGGTTACTTACAGTGGCAGACGCCGACCATTCTGCACCACTGGACTGTTTTCCTCTCCCAGCCAAACGCGCCCGTGTGGAGGACGAAGTGGCTCCCCATGCGGCTGTCCTAGAGCCCGAGCCTTTCTTGGCCAACTCTTTACCTGACATCGTCTTGAACGAACTGGTGGATTTCTACTTTGTCAACATCCATCCGTGGATACCGATACTACACGTTAAGAGATTCCGTGAGCGCATGCGATCGCCGGAGGAACGAGGGCATATCAATTGCATCTTACATGCCATCATCTCTGTCTGTGCCCGCTTTTCACAAAATGGCCCAAATGGCGATACGTTGAACTTAAAAGAGATCGCCAAGAAAAGTCGGCAAGAGGTAATATTGCAAAGCACTGAAACCTTCTCCGTTGAGAATCTCCAGGCGCTAGTGATCGTCGCATTTGAGACAGTGAGCAAGAGGCCCACGCCATGGATATCCGGGAACAAGTAGACTGATTTCATTCGAACAGATTAATCGCGGCCGTGGGCCCTCCTCATGGTCTATCATTGGCAGCATGGCGGGAACCGTGGAGCAGCTTCAGCTTGGCGTGGAAGAAGATGACCTGTATCGTGTCAAGCGCATGGGAGAAAGACTGATCAGGCGCATGGTTTTTCTCACACCATCTCGGTCATGGAGTGAAGCAGAAGAGCGTCGCCGTGTATTCTGGGCAGTCTTTCTCATGGACCGCTTCTGCAGTGTCTCGACAGGCTGGAAGATCAGTCTGAGGAATGCTGATGTGAAGCGCCGTCTCCCGTGTGAAGGTGCTCTGTGGGAAAAGGAACAGGAGGTCTGCACCCCGTATTTCGGCATCTCTGATTTCAAGAACACTTCCATGCCTAATAGTCACTCAACTTCGATGGATGGCTGTGAAGAACAGGCCATCGGCGCATTTGCCTACATCATCGAGGCTACTGAGTCACTGGCCTTAGTGACCAACTTCTATCTCCACCACGTCTTTCTGATTAACGATGCCAGCAAGGCACGATTATGGCTCGTCAAATTCAAGGAACTAGATCTGCGACTGATTCAGTACGTATCATCTCTTCCCAAGGGATGTCTAAACACCAGTGATGCTGACGCGCGCAGATGGAAAATCCACTTGCCTCCCAAATGGCGCGAAGCCTGCGTCCTAAATGAACACAGAGTCATGGACCCCAATCTGACTCTGGCACACATCACCCACAATACGGCGGTAATTCTGCTGCATCAGGGCATCGCCTATCCACCATCGCATTGGCAGAACTGTCCCATTAAGCTCCCATCAGCATCCTCTGCTGATACGTGCCTTGAAGCGGCTTCAGAGATAGCAACTATTGCTAATCAATTCCTGTCCTTTTCTCCCATCTTCACGAATCCCCAATTTTCTTTTTGTCTATTCATCGCCGGCCGCACACTCCTCGCACACGCTAGGTACAATAGGGTACCGCCTTCACCCGCACTCAACACCCTAATTGCAAACCTGATGGAGATCTCGCAGCGGTGGACAAGACACCATGACGCCAGCGAATCCCAGCAAGAGGAGAGCCTGGCATTCAAGTTTGCCACCCGACTCATCGAAGCCCAGCAGAATCGAACCAGTGCATCTCGTCCGAGTCTGGATATTCGCACGACTGCGTATTCAGATGAATCAAAGGAGGAGATGTACAAAGATCCCATGGGAAAAAACCAGGATGATCTCCCAGATTATGAATCGCTTAGCAGACCACTGCAGCTGGCTTCATTCCCTTCGCAGGAGTCCACTTCCTGCACGTTCGACCCATTCAGTCTGGCCTTCCCACCGCTGCCACCAGCCTTTCAGCAGGATTTTTCGCCCACTGGTCTCGACCCGCTCTCTTTCTATAATATGCAATTGCCGTCGGAGTCTATGTCTTCGCCTCTTGGTACGAGAAGCCACGGATCGGGTTCTCAGCACGATTCGGAGAGTTCCATGACCAGTCTCTTGCCGACGGATATTTCTCATCTCTTCGATATGACGTCTAGTCCGGGGCAGAGAATCAGTTATTACGGCAATACACGGGGAGTGACCAACAATTCGATAGTCGAGGGAGCCGACAATTAGACGAGTAACAGAACTTGCGTGATCATATTTCCTCTCATTAACGTTGAGCCTCTATATTTTATGTCTACTTCCCTGCCCCTCAGAGGGGGTTCTTTAATGCTTCTACTCCCTGCCACACTTGCTGCCTTATATATGAGGATCGACCAAGTCCATCTCAAGGAGCATATTTCCAAACAGCAAGAAATAATAATCAGCATAGACGAGACCATGGTCCGACCACCTTCGCGGAGCAAACTCATAGTTATTGATTGTTGCGCCCGTCAGTATAGTTTCAGCAACATCCCCAACCACCCTTAGCACTTCCGCCCCGTTCCGAGTCTCAGTGTGATGCGTCGAGCACTGGTCTGCGTACACGGAGATTTCTGACGCAGGACCAGCCTCGAACCGCATAGGGGGATTCAAATACCCCACAACCGTACAATCAACCAGCTTCATAGCAGCCCGAAGGTAGTGGTTAGCCGCCTCAACATCATGCAGCTTCTTGTAAGCCTTATAGAGCAACAACATCCCACAGGCAGCGATCATCGCAGCAGAGGTATCGCGTGGGGAGGTGTCAGTAACAGGCGCATCAAAATCCCAATATGGGACGCCATCATCCGGCAATCTCGCAAGAAATACATCCGCCAGTGCTCTAGCAGTGCGAAGGAATCTCATCTCTCTTGTCCACTCGAATGTCTGCGCGAACCCCATGATTCCCCACGCCTGGCCTCGTGCCCAGCAGCTATCATCACTATATCCCTGATTTGTGAATTTTTTCTTCACCTCCCCCGTCTCCGGGTCCAGGTCAACAACGTGAAATGTCGTATAGTCATCTCGGATATGATGCTTCTGTGTAGTGATCGCATGAGCCCTGGCTATATCATACAGCCTCCGACAGCCTGTTTCTCTCGCTGCCCAGAAAAGCAAATCCAGGTTCAGCATGTTGTCGATGATGAATAGGAAGTCCTGCGACGAATTTCTGTATGCATAGCGCTTGGTAATGCACTGGTCCCAGCTACGGATACACTGGGTTGATTCACTAAAGCGACTGGCGAGGGAGTGGGCTGCTAGTATGAGAGTGTTGTAGGCCGCTGGGTCTCGATGCAGGGTCCATGCCTTCATCGCCCAAGGGGTGATCATGAACCCTAGGTCGTGAGTATCCTTGCGAAGGGCGTTTTGGTGAAGGTTTGCTGTCCACCAGCGGCAGAGGTGCTCGTGTTGGAGGGGATGGGGGTGGAGGGTGGATTCGCCGGCTTGTCGTTGGGGATTCAGATGCCGGTCGCGGAAGAGAGTGCTGCGTTCTAAGAGGAGATATAAAGAGCCTGGGAAGAAACCGGAGGTCCAGAAGTCAAGGGTTCGGTAGATGTATGTGGTCTTGTCTTCGCCGGTGTATTCGGGGTAGAAGGTTGGAGGGGTTGTCTGCGTAGAATTTATTTGGTTTAGAATTGTGTGAAACGTATAGTAGTTCGGCGAGATAACTCACACTACCCATTGCCTTGGATGCGACGAACCAGACCTTGGCTAAGAGGGATTCTGAGAAGAGGGCTTCGAGTACTCGCGCCCATTGCTTGGTGGGGAGTACATCGGTGCCGTTGATGGATGTTGGGGGTCCCGCTTCGATAGACATCGTTCCTAGTCAATGATTTGCAGGCTATAGAGAGGAAGACTTCGAGATAAGCTGAATGAGATACGGAATACAAAATTGGGAAGTATGTTCAAGACCGTCCATCTACAAGATCTCCTGCTCCATTTGAGGCTGTATGCATTAGCCCTCGGAAGGGGGTCCGGGAATTCCCCCGCGCGAGAACTCTCTGCTAAAATGCACTGGACAGGCATTTCGGGCTATCTCCCGGAGTCCCTCCGACGAGCCTAGAAGACACTCGTTACAGCTAAGACTTCCCCACCATCGGGGCTCTTCATCACCCTGAATCTGGGGAATACAAATCCAAACCTTGATATCTTATCTACAGCTCAATTCTGTCTTCCTGACCCACAAGTCCGCTGCGTCTCCAAATTCACAATGGCATCCAAAATCTCCGATATGGACGCAACAACGTCCGATCATCTCGAATCAACTGAGAAAAAAGACCCCTATGCGGCAGACCCAGGCATTGAAATTGACGAGGCAACTGATAAACGACTGTTTTGGATGATCACTCGTCGTATCTTGGTCATCCAAATTGTGACTTATTTCTTTCAGTCGCTTGACAAGGGCATTCTGAATTATGCCTCTATTATGGGCATCAAGGACGATGCACATCTGGTCGGACAAGAGGTTGTACACCAGTCTTTAATAATACATAGCGTTTGGCTAAACTAATTTGACTCGGTTCAGTATTCGTTACTGGGTACGATTCTGTACATCGGGATCCTCGTGGGAGAGTATCCCCAAAACCTGCTGCTGCAGAAGTTTCCGGTTGCCAAAATGCTCTCTGTCAATGTATTTATCTGGGGTGCGATTGTGGCCTGCTCGGCTGCATCTACGCGCTTTGGATCTCTCATGGCAGTCCGGTTTCTGTTGGGGTTCTTCGAGAGCTGTATTCAACCAGCAATGATGCTCATGTGCGTGTCTTTCCAGTTGCTAATACAGAAAGACCTTGCTAACTCTAGTTCCAGAACAGCCATGTGGTATAAGCGGGAAGAGCAGTCGGTGTTGAACTCGATATGGTACTGTATGACGGGAGTGCAACTGATGGTATGTTTACCTCTCGCTCCTCTCTTATAGATGCAGTTGGACTAATTACTCCCAAAAGATTGGTGGTCTTCTCGCCTTCGGCACTTCACAGTACGTAGGCGGAGTGATAAAGAACTGGCAACTGCTTTTCCTCGCTCTTGGATGCGCGACATGCGTGTGGTCATTCTTTATTGGCTTCTTCCTACCTGATAGCCCTCTCTCAGCCAAGTGCTACAGCGAAGAAGACAAGAAACTGATGGTAGAGCGCGTACGGCATAACGAGACGGGAATCGAGAACCGACAATTCAAGCGATATCAAGTCATCGAAACGATCCAGGATCCTATTGTCTGGTGCTGCGTGATGCTCATTCTCGTGGCCAACCTAGTTATCGGTGGTCTGGGCGTCTTCTCCAACCTAATCATCGAGCAATTCGGCTTCTCTCTGCTTCAAACCGAGCTTTTGAACATTGCTCAAGGCTCGTGGACAATCATCGTAATGGTTGGATCAGCATGGTGCTCGCAACGCTTCCAACAGACGTGTTTAATCATGATCGTGAGTTCCAATCCCTTCATTCAGCCACCCAAGGCTAAACAGATCCCAGCTCTGGACAATTCCAGCCATCGTCGGAACCATCGTTATCCTGGTCGTAACACCCACATCATCCAACGCCGGCGGCATGCTCATCGCCTTCTACTGCACGCAGTTCTTCCTCGCCGAGGGCAACATGATCATCTCCTTGATCACCCGCAACACAGCCGGTCAGACTAAGAAGAGCCTAACAATGACCTTCCTTTTCGTGGGATGGGCCGTGGGAAACCTCATCGCGCCGCAGATCTTTCAGAATTCTGACGCCCCGCGATACTTGCATGGCTTTCTGGCGCATATTGTGATCTATGCTGTCTTCATTGCGCTGACGGTTTTGACGAGGGTGATTTTGACGAGGCGGAATAAGGCCAAGGAGGGCGAAAGCAGTGATGTCTCGCATGAGTTGGCGTTTCAGGATTTGACGGATCGGGAGAATCCGAATTTTCGGTATGTATATTAGTCTGCTTTTCGCATTGGGGTGTAGGGTTGCATAGTCTTCAAGTAGCTAGTTAGTACTGGATGCGTCTCAATTTTTTCAAAAATGTATATCCACGCCCCTCGAGTCCACATATACTACCCCGGACCTGAATAAGGAAGCTGAATATGTTAAATACATCATTATATTGAAGAAGCTATCTTAGGCACGTTCAAATACTACTACATAGAGCTTCTCCGGAACAGAGCTATGCCATTTAGTAACTACATATTTTTCATTGCACTAATTGTATACATTTGAAGCTGATACATTGATCAAAGCTTCTATTCGTCTGCAACCGCAAAAAGCAAGTCCGCCCAACTGAGCGGATCAACCGGCGAGGTCTGACTCTTCACAGATGCATCATAGACATCTTTCACGCGCGAAGTCCAAGGAACATCAATCCCTCTCTCCAAAGCCTCATAATAAATCAACCCCCAAGCAGCCGGGTTCGTCTTCCCATTCTGATACCCAATATACCGATTGATCGCTGAAATATTCGCCCAAGGACCATCCACCAAAACCACCTCGCACCGATAAAAGCTCGCGTCATAAGGCACCGTCTGATTCATGAGGTACTTACCCGCATACTCCGCCGGGGTGAAAATAAGATTATTTTCCAAAGCAAATAAATCATATTCTTGATTAGCCACGACCCTCGCAGCAAGTGCCGTCCACTGCAATGCATCCTGCACATGCGTCTGATCGCGACCCGCTTCGGAGTTCTGGCCCGTGGAAGCCAGATAATTGTAGGGAAAACCGGCACAGCGATCATACTTATACGCATACAGAGCATAATTGTACAGAGCCACATCGTCAAGGTAGACGGCAAAATTGAGCAGACCCATAATACTAGCCATGCCGTAGTTTGCTTGTCCGATGATGATGCTCTGTCGAGCGAACAGCCAATAAAGCTGGACGCTCAGGCCGGAGCCGCCTTTGTATGTTGCGCCTTCTTCTACCCAACCGCCTTCCCAGCGCATGATCTCGGCTGCGTTGGCGAAAATGGAGCCTTCGATGCCGATTAGAAGGGATCGGTCTGTGCCGATGATGTTCTCGAGGTTGGAGCCCCAGGCGTCGAGGATCGTGGTTGAGCGGTTCCAGTGGCTTTCGTTGCGAGTTATGTACCCTATGTTTTCCTAATGTATTAATCCTGCAATGGTCTCTGGAACTTGATTAGAGACTTACACATTATAGCATTCTGGTATGCAGCGCGGGAGTCGTCATGAAAACTGGTATAGTTGCTTATCTGCCCACGACTAATCACAGGATACGGGCCCTGCATTTCATAAGAGGCTTCGGAGTAGGGATCCTTGGCAAAACGGGTGTATGCAGATGCCCAGGGCTCGACGCCTTTGAGAACATTGTTTCGCATAAGCTCGAGCTGAGAGTGGCTATGCCAGAGTCCTGGATGCTGGAATTGATTCGTTCTATTCTTTGACCCGGGCGTGTCGGGGACCATCATTACCGGCCCTAGAGTAAATAAGCATGTTAGTGTGGATGTTAGAGCTCAATGTCTAACTCGTACCGTTTAGACTGGGTACATCTTGAATCAACCCGTGGACGTGAACAGCGGTGGCTACCGCAAGGCATAATTTTAGAATCTGCATGATCGGAATGCTTGGTGGCAGTAAATGTTGAGTCTTAATGGTGGCATGTCGTTCATATTACTACCATCTCGTGTTTTCAAGATTGAATTAGACCTCGGGCTAAGTGCCGGACAGGGTCCGATTCTCTAACCAAGCTAAGAAACGTTTAATATTCATGCGGGGAACAGCCGGACAAAGCACCGGTGTGCAATCGGCATGCGCATTCTTTCCGAGAAGACGGGAAGAAGGTGGATCTGGTAAGGACGGCTGCTTCATTTGCCGATGCCCCTGAAGAACAAGCACAAAACAATGTCCTTTAATATAGATATCAAACTCAATTGATTCAGGGGTAGTAAATATATATAGTAGCTTGTACCACCATTTCCTCCACCTCATGGTTCCGCATCCAGAGCAGCATCATACCTCATATCCATCATGATGTCCATTCTCTCGCTACTCTTCCTCCCTCTCTTTCACAACCTCGCCCATGCAGGCACCATCTACCACAGCAACTTCACCTCTTCCCTATCCCCCTTCTCCGCTTGCAATGTAGAATCTCCATCCTACTCCACCGCCACCGGCGGCAACCTGACCGTCTACTTCGACGAGTCCTACTACGACGGCACCCGCGATCGCAAAGGCGCCGAGATCTGCGTCTTTGAGGACGGCACCAGCACCAACGTGCGCCAAATGACCAAGGAAGGCTGGCAGGGCTTTTCTATCTATGTGCCGTCGGACACGTACCCGACGGACAAGAGCGCCATCATTGCGCAGCAGTTCTGCCCCGGCGGGTGCTCCTCGTGGTGTGGCACCGTCGAGATCGTGAATAATACTCTGCAGACTACGCACCGCGCGGCTTGTTCTACTGGTACGACGGCGACTCTTGTGGATGATATTGAGAGAGATGTTTGGCATAGTGTCGTGGTGCATATGCGCGTGTCGGAGGAAAGTGATGGGGCTTATGAGGTTTGGTGGGACGGGGAGCAGGTGTATAGTGTGGAGGATATTGATGTGGGATTTGGGACTTGGGATGATAATGATACGTTGACCACCGGGTGGTATTTTAAGAATGGGGAGTATTGCTTCGGTGAGTTTGGTTGATCTGATGATTTAGGGTTGTGGTTACACTTGCTGACTTTTCAATTTACTCTTAGATGTCGACGCATACACTAATGCGACTAGGACGCTCTACTTTGATAACATCACTTGGTATGAGACTGATGATGGGAGTGATGATGGGTATGAGACGGTTTATCCTTGATCAGGGCTTATCTTGAGGGAAATGCGTGTAGTGTTGCTATGTGGTTTGCGTTGGCAAAATTGATTGTGTTTGATAAAGCTGTATCAGCGAGTTGTTAATATACCGAGAAAATATTCTCCACTTGAAAATTTGAAGCAGAATCTACTTCTGCGCGCTGTTGCAGCATAGATCAAGCAAAATGCTCCATCGGGTGGGAGTGGGACCAGCGCACTGACATCGATCTTTATACTAACTTCATACTACCACTGCGTGGCACCTGGAGTGTCTTGTCCTCTTCCATTTTGAGACTGTGTGCCCTATGGCCTCGAGCCTTGCTAGGAGCTTCTTTCTAACAGAATCCAAGATCACAACAAGTGAGAAAAAATGCTCGCTTATCATAAATGTCCCGCACTACGGCCTTGGCGAAGCAGAATCAGGTGAGATCCCTGCACTTTTATGGTTCAAATCTAAGACATTATAGCCTGGACTTAGAGTGGCGATTTATATAAAATCAATGATTCCCCCGTTTTCGCCTACTTTTAACATACAATCTTAATGTATCTCAGCCAAAAACATGTCATATATAAGCGCTGCTCTCATACGCCGAGGCACCGAAGTCATATCGGCTAGGCTTCAGACCAGCCAACAGCCTCTCCTTAAAGAATGGATAGGCATCTTTCTCGTCTTCTTCACTGTTCTTGCTTTCGCTCTTGCAACAACCTGGGTGAGTCCATAGTGATATCAGAAGAAAACAAGTACTATACTCATCAAAGAGAACAGGTCGCCTACACCGGGGCGGAAGTCATCGCAACCCTAGCCGCAATCGAAGACCCCAACTCCAACTCAACTCCCTACATCCACCTCGACAACGAAACTACCAACCCCGATGACCCCGGACTCACCACCACCACAACTCCCAAGCCAATAACCAGCGACCTCCGCACAGCAATCAACCACCTCCTCACCCTCGGCGGCGGCGGTATCTTCTCAACCTTCCGCGGATTCCGAATGTATCTCGCCTTCATCTGGCTAGATGCAGGCTTAGCCCTCTTAATCCCAACATTTATCCCTGTTCCCATCCACATGGGCCTCGTCTCTTTCATGACCGTCTTTATCGGCAGAATGTTCCTTGCTACATGGCAAATGGCATGGGTTCATGTAGTCATTGCTGATAAATCCCCTATCGTCAGCTATCGACGAATGCTGGGCTATCAGCATTGGAGAAGAATCGCTCCTGTTGCTGTTCTGCATAATGTTGTCATGTCTGTGACTTATTCGCTGAACCTGGCTTCCTCTAGGGTTGTTGGGAGGGTTATTTGGGTCATTCTTGGTGGTGAGCATGGGAAGGGGTCGAGTGGTGGAAGTGCAGAGGGAGGGATTGGCGTTGTTCTCCTGATGATGTTCTTTTTATTGGTTACTGTTCCTATTAAGGCGATATTCACTCGTGTGGCTGCTTCGATGTTGCCTGAGGGACTTGATCCGATTGTGCCGTTTGATCGGCGGTTTGGTGGTAAGGTGATATCGGAGGGTGGGGCCGAGACTCTGGGTATCATGGAGGCGTGGACGACGTTTGAATGGTCTGCTCGAGTTCGATATTTTAAGGTTTTTCTCAAGGCGCTTGCTCTTGAAGTCGCGCTGGGTGTTCTTGGAGGTCTCTTGGTTATTGGGGAGTTGAAGTGGCTGCTTTACTCTCACTGAATACACTCTCGCCTATCTAAGTTGACATCCAACTACGCAATCGTTGTATCTTAAAAAGAAAAGCACTATTTCCGGACCTAGTAGACGACCTTATACAATGCATTAGTGATAATTCAGAAGTTAGTCGCTTGCTAAGGGTTCTCTAAGGTTTTGTTTGACCGTACTTAGCATCCACATATTTCGCTTCTTCTATACCAAGAGCACCACTTTTATACTGCTGCCACATTTCCTTGTGTAGATCAGCAAGCATGGCCTTGACGAGCAACTTGGCTTTCCTGACACGCTCATTGTCCGCATCATCGCCATCAAGTACACCAGGTGCATCGAGTGTGCCCTCTTCATCATCTGCAGTGTTTGCATCAATCTCATCATTCGCATTATCTGCATCACTTGTAGTATCATCTTTACCCCCGTTATTCTCGTTTGGATCCTCATCATTTGTCAACATCCACTTCGGACTGAGTCTAGGGCGCCCATTGCAAGCCTCAATAGCATCCACAATTTCTCCCTTTCCAATATCGAGGACAACCAAGGCTCCTTCTTCGAGCAGAATTCGGACAATCTCTGTCAAGCCAGAGATACGGCCATGATAGAGAGGCTTTCTGAATGCTTCCCCAGCCAAAAATGCTGCTCTAGCCAACGCACTGCCGTAAGGGAAATTCGGTAGTGGCATGTTGACGTCGGCTTTACCGATATCAATCAAAAAAAGAACATATTGTAATTCCCCTCTCTCAACAGCCGCCGCCAATGCACTCCCGTATTCACCGGTCTGGACGGCCAGGTTTACGTCGGCCTTCTGGGTGTGCACCAGATATTCCACTATTGCTTGACAGTCGTAAAGATGGGTCAGAGCGCATTCCAAGGCGCTACCGTACTTCCCATACTGTAGAACGAGATTAACATCCGCTCCGCCCTGTTCCACCAAGGTTTTTATGCCCTGAAACCAGCCCTTAAGCGTTGCTACCACCAAGAGGCTACCGCAAGTACTGTACCTCAGGTGTGTGTTTGTATGTGTACAGCCCTCAGAGGCCAAAAACTGCACCATATCGAGGTGTCGATTGTTTACAGCGACCTCAAGTGCGCATGACATGTGCGGAAACATGTCGTCTACCTCCAAATTGACATCCGCATTACCTTCCTTCAACAGAAAATTTGCTGCCTCAAAATTTCTGCCGTTAACTGCTGCAATCAGCGGTGTCGAAGAGCGCCCTTTGTCGCCTTGTTCGCCCACGGCGCCCCCTTTTTTTAGAAGAATCCGCAGGATCGGCACATGACCCTTTCTTGCAGCTATCATCATGTAGGTCTCACCCCTGATATTAGTGAATGTATGATTCAGCTGGGCCATATTCCACCATCGGTCCAGCACCTGGTGGAACCCGTATTCACACACGGCCAGAATGGAGTATTTAGCAGGTTCAAAGGTTCGCCACCGAGCCCATGTCTGATATTGCGCGCTGCTATCCTGCGGATCACCAAGAAATCTCTCCAGGAGCTCGGTAACAGAGGACAAGTCGTCTTTCGACGCGCCGGCATGTTCCAAGATTGCAATATGTTCTGGCCAGTAGCAGGTGACATAGTAGAGTAATGGCCGTAGGAAGTCCGATTTTCCAGGCTCATAGAGCCAAGGTCTGGCAGCCCACTGGCACATGATCTCATTCCAACAAGTGTCGCTCAACATAAACAGCAAACACGCTTTTCCCACCATAAGGTTGGTGACTACAGCATTCCAGCCCCGACGAAGCTCAAAATACTCTGCGACCGACAAATGCGACACTCTCCATACGTCCCGCTCCGAATCAATGACCAGGAAATAGCGACACAATGATAAAAGGTTGTCCTCACTGATTGGGGTACACAACTCCGTCGTCATAAGATCAGGATTGATGCGGACGGCCTCAAGGAGATCTTCTCGTGAAAGTGGTTCTCGTGCGGCCAGAACCCACTTTAAAGCGCGTAGCGCGAGATCTCGGTCGTGGGGAGGGTTGTTCTCTATTTCCTCATAGAGACCATCATACGTCTCGTCGAGACTTTCAGGGAGTGCTCCTAGACACTCCCGTATAGCCTCAGGAGTGGTACACGCCCCGAGCTGTTTCAATTGTAGGTAGGTCCATTGAAACCTAGTACAACACCATTAGCAACGTTTATGGTCTTTAAGGAAGCATTTGCTTACATTCCTTGGCATTTCTCTAAGAGCGTTGACTCGATTTCCTCCTGGAGTTTGCCAAAGGCACTGTTCATTCTGTTCATCTTTACCATCTCTTGACTAATGTAGGTCTGGATATCCTGGTGGTTATCCGTCGCCAGAACCTCAATGTTTGGATGTGAGCGAACTTGCTGCTGAACATCCCCATCAGGGCGGCTTGCAATAAATAGCTTCACTGGCCTTCTACTGCTAGACAGCAAGTCCTCAAATAGCTGAATAAGGTTACCACGTGAAGCACGGTCGCATTCGTCAAAAGCGTCCAGCACCAATGTGGTCCGAGGGTAGAGGTTCAGTGAATCTGTCAGTAATATCCTACAGCGTTCGAAGTCAAGATCGGAACCACGCATACTCAACTCCTCGTAGGTGGATTTAAACCTAGATTGTATGTACGACGAGCTCCTCTTGCTTAGGGATGAGGATAGCTGACGCACATAGCTCTGCGCTACAGCAAGGGGTCGTGTTCGGATGTCCTCGGTTCGGTTGCAATAGAAGTACGCAAAGCCTTCGTCGTTTGGACATCTTGTCAGAGTATGTTGGACATGATCGATAACCTTGGAAGTAAGGTAGGTTTTCCCCACGCCCGCTTGGCGCTGTCAGTGTCGAGTTCACGACTAATAAGGAACAAGGCGAGAGTAATAAATAGAACGGCAACGTAGAGCAAAACTTACGAGATCCTCGCAACCATAATACTGCCGAGGAGCTGCTTTCTTCCCAGTCTCGGAATGTGTGGTGTTGTAACAGCCACTCCCCAGTCCCTGGGGTTCGATTACCGCTCACAGTATCATGATGAGATCCATATTTAACTGATGAAATCCAGTCTAATATTCTCATAGCCTCTTCCCAGTCAAGCTTTTTTAACTGGTCTGCCACCTGGGCCTCTATGCGGGGGAGGTGCCCTCCAATATCCTGCAAATGTTTTAAAATTTTCTTATCTGTCGCTGCACTGCACGCCTGAGCAGTCTTAGCGAGCTCTTCTTCCTTTGCTGTCAAATCCGAGAACAGCCCCGAGCTTTCGTCAAACATTGTGTCCAAGACTCTAGCCCAAGTCGATTTTGACAACATGTCAATGCTGTAGCTCAACAATTCCAAAACAACTTGGTAGACACTGACCAGGTCTTGGCTCAAAGTGTCGGCAATGGCACTGTTTCTGGTCGCATAGGCGGACTCATATTCTCTGCCACGATACGTGGCCTGCAGAACCCGCTCTACCGTCCCGAGCAAGGCAGTCATTTCGTCGGCAAACTTTACAGGGATCTACGCGTTCTCAGTCAGGAAACCGCTCGGATGTCTTGAAGGCCATTGGATCGAAAGCCCCTGAGGGCTTAAAGATATTCTGTACGGAACCTCAAGCCCAAGCACTATAGCGATATTCTTTTGAAGACGCTGTGAAGACGCTGTGAAAAGTGGGCACAAACCTACCTCCAAAGCCACTTTAATCAATCCCCATGGCCCTGCAGCTTGCGAAGGTGCGAACGGAACGACGAGATCTCCAATCAACTTCACCCACGTCGCGCATTTCGCAGCGTAGTCTCGCACGAGAAACTTATTCTTGTATTTCCAGGCTTTCTTCTCGCAGAGTACCCGCTTCTTCTGGAGATCATTAAGCAGAATATAGAGAACCCCTTCTTCCGAAGTCTTCGAACCCGGCTCGTAGCCCAATTTTCGAAGTCGATCTCGTCTAGTCGGAGGGAGTCTCTCATAGGCTTCCTTCCAGAGATTTCGATGTTTTTTACCGTCGTCATATAGCTCTTTCGAGGATTCAGGCGTGCTGGAATCGGAGACTTTTTCTTCACTCTTGACACTGCTGGCCTCACCTCGGGCGTCGATGGTTGACAGTGGCCTTCTCGTTCCTGTAAGGCTCCGAAGCTCATCTTCTTGGTGCGGATCCCAGTTGCAGATCGACCCCTTACTCGATACCAGGGATGCACTTCTTCTCCTTGGGGATTCCTTTGCAGGTTCAACGGTTTCACTTCGACTGCCGTCCGGTGCGGTAGATTGATTGTCGACAGCAGGCTCTTTATGTCGGAAACGATGCAACCTGCGCAAAGCCTTTTCCCGCAACCCACCCATCGTTGCTCGGCACATTGAACGTGACTAAGGTCTTGGGTGTAGGAATAGTTGGGTACTGGTTGCTCTGGGTGGGCGCGGTGGTTTAACCCGGCTGTCGGGAGCAATGGATTATGTGCTGGCTTCAGCCGCACGCGGGGCTCATGCGCCAAGTCGGTCGCCAGGTCTATCCTTCATATTTCGCCCACTGACAATTGGCAACTGATTGACATTGAAGATGCAGAGAACGCCGATAGGGGAAGTGGTGGATAAGAGAGGTTAACTGTCTCCATTGCTCGCGCGACACATACACAATGTAGTCTGACATTCACTTGCTGCCTTTTGCCTATATGTTTCCACTTTCTTTGATCGTCTCTTCACTATGCCTGCTATAGAACATCCCATATCATGCCCTCCGATTAAAGTGAAAGACAAGAATTGTTCCAGACGAATTCATGAAATGATTTAGGGATTACCAATCTACCTATAAGATAGCTAATGTTGACAAAAACGGAGATTTCGTTGCAGGGTGTGGAATGTGCACGGAAATAAAGTTGCCTCGACGCAAAGCGGAGGGTTTTGGGGCCTGGGAACATCAAAGCCAAAAATCGATTCACATTCGACTTTGGCAGTGTCGCCACACCATTTGGTAGTGTTCTTTTGAAAGATTATCCTACTGAGACGTATTGGAGTACCACTCCAACAGCAAGCTTGACATTATCATCATAGAAATGATACATTGTCCGAGTAGATTTCAGACCGCGCTCAAAGCACGGGCCGCGACCGCGGCGCACTAATCCCGATTAGGCTATCCGCCCAACCTCGAGCGCGCAAAGATCGCTGGTGCAAACACCGCGGAGCAATAGGTTGCTACTGCGACAGTTCCAGCTCTCGTCACCGTCCGACTGTCCAGGATGCCGCCCTTCAGAGATGAGCATATCTTGGTACGTGCAGATATCTCCGATCGCCTTCACCATTCATCTACCCCCTCCTGGCGGACCCAAACTGACCCCCTCCTCTCCAGATAATTGCGCCAGGCTCGCAAGTGACCCTGGCGCAACTGGGTCTCCCAGAGTCATTCACCCCTGCCCGCTTTCGCTTCCCTACGCGCATGTTTCCCGCCGAAAAGAAGGGTGAATACGAACCGTACAAGATCCGCGAACGACGACAGGAAGTCCCCGTCAGCAATGGCAATGGCACTGACGCGCCCAAGGAGGACGTGGAGATGAAAGATGCGGAGACGGCACAGCAAGACGGAACCGTGAAGACCGAGAATGACCCCTCCGAACAGCCCGAAGATGCACAGAAGACCGAGGGCCAGGATGCCAATGGAGAAGAGAAACAGGGAACGACAACCGAGATCTTCTACGAAGAGGACGTGACCTCCGATGAGGGCGCTGTCTATCCAATTCAGAATGGTCGCATTGTCGACTGGCCCTGTTTCTTCGCTCTTCTGACTCACGTTCACAACACATTGAGTCCGCCATTTCACACCCCGATCATGCTTATTTCCGAACCGGCATGGTCCGCCCGCGATCGGGAGACCATCACACAGTTTGTCTTTGAGAAGTTCAAGACGCCTGCCTTCTGCCTTATGGACTCCGCTCTCGCTGTATGCTACGGATACGGTACCTCGACGGCTACGGTGGTCGACGTCGGCAAAGGAAAGGTTAACGTCACGGCTGTCACTGATTTCCTTGTCAACGAACATGGAAGAGGTATCGCGCTGGAAGGCTGCGGTGGTGACTACATGACAGATAGAATTGTGGAGCTTTTGGGCCCGAAGGGGTTCACAAGGGAGATGTGCGAACAGTTGAAACGCAGCAATATCACTGAGCTTTTGCCCCCGGGCACACCCCTTCCTGGTGCCGCTGCAACCGCGAGACAAGGCGCTAATCCAGCCGCTTCGGCATCCACTGGGACCAAGGACGGCAATGCGCCAAATGAGAACATCCCCCGCGGTCCGGGTGAAGGCACCCAGACCGGTGGTGAAGGCAACGGCGAAGCAGACGAAGATGAGGGAGTTTTGGATGTCGCAGCCATTGTCAGTGGCAACACGAGTGAGTTCCTCGCCAATCGGGAGAAAGAGAAGGCCGAAAAGGCCTCGACCAAGAAGGGCGCGACAGATCAATCCGGCAAGCCTCTACGTCTCCCCAACTCCAAGAAAGAGAAGGCTTCGTTCCAATTTGAGGAGTACGTGAGGATAGAACCTGAGAAGGATACGCCAAATGGACCCGGGCGTTATATGCGTCAGTCTCGCGAGATCGAGGTCGGTGTTGAACGCTTCCTCGCCGCAACTCCCAAGCAGAATTCTGGAGACCGTCTCACCAGCGGTCTGCTTGAGGATATTGCGACTCAGATCCACCACACCATCCTTGCGGTGCCTGATGCGACTAAGCGCAGTGAACTCTGGGATTCGCTTATCGTAGTCGGCAATGGCAGCAAAGTCAAGGGTAAGTAACCCGGCAGATTCAACTTGAAGCCATGAACTAATGTTTCTACAAATAGGCTTCACACAATCCCTGCTCGGCACCATCACACAGAAGTACATTCTCTCCCCATCCGCCACCATGTTCACCTCCGAAATTCCCTCCAACTTCTCTACTCCCCTTCCCACCGGAGGAACCAACACTCCGGTACCTTCCGGCCAGGCTGGTCCGATGAATCACCCTGCGGGTCACGGTGTGAATCCACTGCTTGTCGCAGCCACTCATGCCAACAACCCCATGCCCGGCACTCCCTCCATGGACCCTGCCATGTCGCATCACCGCTCCACGGGACATTCTCAAACCCCCACATCGGTCAAGACACTCAGACCCCCGGAATATTTCCCCGAATGGAAGGAGCAAAGCAACACCAATGCCCCTGGCGCTGCTACCACGGGTGGGCCTGGTGCCCCAAGCGGTGGCCACGGCATGGAGGAGGCCGTGTTCCTCGGCGCACAGGTTGCATCAAAGGTTGTCTTCGTAATCGACCAAGGCGTCAGCAAGGGATTCATGAGCCGGGTGGAGTACAACGAGAATGGCCCTTCTGCGATCCATGAATACACCATGTGATCACCTTTAATGATTGGCTTACGTGCCTGGGGATTGATGTGCGTGTTTGTTGACATATGAAAGCGGAATCCTTAATTACGGACCTGGTTCTGGTTCCTTTTGATGCTTCCAATTTACGGTTAATTATTTTTGTCTAACTTCTTTTCCTCGTGGATATTGTATTCTACGTGATGGCGTCTTTCACTAGAAAAGCAAGTCTGACTCGGATGCTAGGATAGGTGGAGTCTGGTCGGATTAGTACTTTGAATAGTATCTCGTTCAATGAACTGATGTAGTTGCTTTGGGTAAGCAGCCGGGGCCATGGGCGTAGGAGCTGATAAGCCTAGGAGCTACTAATGCTAATTTATGGCAGACTAACTCGGTTAGCTATGTGGGTATAGATGCCTCTACTATTCTCTCACAAGCACTGCACCAACAACAACAACAGCTTAAACATCCCCTCCAATACTAGCTTTAGGATGTTTGCGAGAACTTCGGGTGATGGATAATGAATAACGTGAGGGAGTGATTCTATGTGGTGATTGACCAGACGTACGGGAAGATGGGTAGGAAACTAATCTTCTCTTACAAGCTATACATTTTCATATATCTCCCACATAAGCCGTATACTTCAATAGTAAGCATTTCACCCCAAGAAAACATCCACCTCAATCTCCAAATTCTGCCCTTCAAACGGCAAGGCCTCAATCCCCAACATAGTCCAAGTAGGCTGATGATCGGGACACCACTTTTTAACATTCTCCACCATCAGGCCGATAATCTTCTCTCGGGTCTGGGGCAACTGGACATGGTACGTGCGGATCTTCACGACGCGGTCCCAGCCGCTCTTGACGCTAGCGCGCAGATCGGGCTTGGCTTTTTCTAATGTGTAGAGGATGACTTCGTTGATGTTGTTGAATGCTTGCGCGACTTCTTCTTCGAGGGTGGGTGGGACTTCGGTTGATGTGGGGGACATGCCGGCTAGATTGTTGAGGGGGGGATTGGATTAGTTGGTGATGAGGGAAATGGAGGGAAAGGAGATGGGGGCTCACTCTGGCCGGCTATTTCCATTCGGTCTCCGGCTATGCAGGCTTCGGCGAAGCCGTAGGCGTCTTGGAAGTGTTGGCCGCGGCCGGGGCGGGAGTAGCTGGGGATTGGGGACATAATGGTAGTGAGGCTGGTGCGTAGATAGGTGTAGAGGTGTGGATGGGAAAATGGGTGAGATAGGAGTAAGTGATATGCTTGATGAGGGGTTGAGACTATTTATGTCGTGTTGTGCCTGGATTGTCATTGATGTTGTCGCTATCAACGCTAGTTACAGTAGTGCTTACTAGCTGTCAGGGGTCCTTCGTAGAGTTGATAATCAGTAGCCGCTCAGGCATGCAATGGAACGCTTAAGGGTTGATCATTGAATGTTAAAGCGTAACTTTTTTTTCGTATCCACATAAACATCTATATCAATTCCAGAGTACCTCACTCCTCACTAGACAGTTCCATCGGTAATTCCGGCGTAGCGTTGAATGCTTTTAAATCTGCGTCTCCTGTGCCAGTATTCTCCCCAGGTGTAGCAAGTTCCGACAAAGGGACGTCGTCCTGTGGGACGTAAACTGACGAAGACATGCCGACATAGCTGCTTCGGTAGCGATGGGTGTTCTTGGTGCGTCGGTAGATGATCGCGAAAGCTGGAAGACAGCCGACAATGACAGCTAGCAAGAGAGGTTAGCATAGCAGAGAGAAAAAGAGGAGGGCCTATACCTATCCCCGCTTCGACCATACCCCAGAATGCCAGCCAGGAACTACTTGGGGTGCTGTCGTTGTTGGCGCGAGTGCCAATCTGGATGACTCGCACAACGGCCATGATCACGCAGATGGTGCCCAAGGCAAAGACGGCACCGACACTGATCTTCTGGCCCAGCGGAAGACGCAGCGACACCACCAGCCGCAACGGCAGCACCATGACTTGCTCACTCAGCATTGTATTTTGATGAAACTCTGGAAGAGCAACTCACTCATTATATCGCTAATTGCATCGACCGCAAAGCTATAATACAAGCTGGCGATCTCTGCCACAGCATCTCGGTGTGTACTGCACTCCCCTTCGCAGCTGGTCAGTACCCACACATGCAGGGGAGAAGGAGCACTGACCAACGGTGAACCATGCATGCATACTTTGACATGAGGTAAAGTTGGAGATAACTGCCCCAATAAAGGTCCAAACAGCTATCAGCTAACGTTCTCACACACGATAGCTCGATCTATGGGCGCACCACGATGCAGAAACATAGTACCGCATACCACCACTTCATCTCACCCGGCAGGTCCTGGAGGAGTCGGCGATAGAGGAACAGAAAGGATAGCTTGACGGACCACAGCGACGCCCATAATAGCATTGTATTCGCAAAGAAAACCTTAATCATGAAAAGAGCATCGGACAGCATGGTCGCCCAAGGACCGATCTTGCCATCGGTATAGGCATCGATTTTGTACACAACCGGGGTGACGATAATGTACGCAATGCTCATGGCCAGGAAGCAGGCCCACGACAGCAAAATGCAACCATCTTCGACCTGCAGCGACCGTAATTTCCAGAAAATCAAACTAAACCGAGCAATGACCACCGCCGACGACAAGGCGATCATGGTATAGCCGGTGGCCTGCACCTGGCTAGCTGAGACATAATTTCTTTCCATCCGGACTGATTCGGAGCGATCGCCAGCGATGTCTAAGTCCTTTGACGGCAAACATCCCTTTTCATATTCTGCCGACAGCCCGGATGGTAAGCATCCGACGGGCAACGGAGATGCATTAGCAAGTGCCAATTTCACGGATAAGACTAATTTGGGTGTCATCCGCCATCAAGCGAGGCGGACGGCCGCTAAAGAAAAGCCGGCGGTATAGCGCCCTGTTTTGGGGGAGCTACCATGGTGGCCTATAAAGGAATGAGCCCCCTGCAGTAAGTCAACGCCTCCTGAAACTCCACGACTTCCTGCTCTAATCCTTATCTCCATCCTGTTCCTGCCAAGCAACATGCGAGCCGGCGCGCTGTTCATCGCTACGCTTCTGGCTAGAGCGACAGCGCTGGACAACACTACCAGTCGCATTGTCGCTAAATTGGCATCCTACGGAGTTGATGCCTACGAGTATTTCAACTCCAGCGTGTTACTGGACTCGTCTTTGAGCACGCGGTCGTTGGGATTTTGCTCCGAGCTGGTGAGTTATTTCCCGTCTTCCTGCGTGCTAAAACCGGACGATGGCACCCGAACCCTGTCTAGTCGTCGGGCTAACGCATAAGCACCAAATTGACAATTTCACTAATTCAACCAGTGTTCCGCGCTTCCCCGGCTCTATCCCGGCCACGTGCTGCAACGCTCAACCACGGCTTACTCGACCTGGGATGCCAGTTTCTGGTCGCAGCAGCAGGAGGAGGTTGATCCAGCCTGCGTTTTCCAGCCAGCCAGTACAGTGGAGGTTGCTGTTGGCCTGCTGCTGTCAGAGCTGACGCTGTGTCCGTTTGCTGTCAAGAGTGGCGGTCATGCCGCCTTTGCCGGCGCCTCCAACATCCAGGATGGCTTGACGATAGATCTGGTCGGGCTGAACTCTACTGCCTTGTCCAGAAATTCTACTATTGCGTCTGTTGGTGCAGGTAACCGCTGGTTGGACGTCTATGATTGGCTAGACCCCATGGGCTTATCAGTCATTGGTGGCCGTGTGTCCGACATTGGCGTGGGCGGCCTGACGCTGGGAGGTAAGTGATAGATCACCACAGGCAAGAATGTAAGTTAACGAAGCATTGCAGGAGGTATCTCCTTCTTCTCCGGTTTTCACGGCTGGGCCTGTGACAATGTTGCCAACTACGAGGTAAAGCGATCTATATTGCTTATCATTACTGCTCTAGTATCTGACGAGATTGGTCTAGGTCGTTCTGGCCGACGGTAGCATTGTTGATGTCAACCTTGACACACATCCCGATCTTTACTGGGCCTTGCGTGGTGGCGGCAATAACTTTGGCATCGTTACCCGCTTCGATCTGACCACGCACACTCAGGGCCTCATGTGGGGAGGCTCACGCATCTGGCTAGAAGAGTATCAATCTGACATCCTACATGCCCTGGTTGACTTTGGTTTCAATTCGCCTTCGGACCCCAACGGGGCACTGATTGTGTCGGTAGCCTACGCTGAGGGTCTCTACCTGTTCGTCGCGGACTTGGAGTACGCAAAGCCGGTTGCCAATCCCCCTATCTTCGCGAACTTCAGCAGCTCGGGGGTTCTCGAAGACACCATGGCCATCCGCAGTCTGTCCAATATCACACTTCTGTTCAAGGAATCCAATCCCAACGGACTACGCGAGAGCTATTGGACAGGCACCGTCCAGCTCGACTATGATCTTGCAACCAACATCACCAACATGTTCAAGCAGGAACTCGTCCCCATTCAGAATGTGACCGGCATCGTTCCCGCGCTTGTCTGGCAAGTTATCAGCACCAACACTATGGAGCACATGGCCAAGAATGGGGGTAACGCGCTAGGACTCGATCCGGAGGATGGACCCTTGCTGCTGATCAACCTTGCTTTCATGTGGGACGACGAAGCTGATGACGCTGCCGTGATGGCTGTCTTGGGCAGGATCACGCAAAAGGCGCTCTCGGCTGCGCAAGCTCGTGGTCTGGGCAGTCGCTATTTGTACATGAACTACGCGAGTCAGTACCAGTCCGTTGTGCCCTCTTATGGCACGGCCAACCAGGCTCGCTTGCAGGCGGTCTCAAAGAAATATGATCCCTTGCAGGTGTTCCAGAACCTGCAACCGGGCTATTTTAAGCTTGATGGGGCGCCAGCTTTGTAGATAGTCTTCGCGGGCAGATATCTCAGGAAAACACGATATTATGTTCTAAGCTAATGGCTGTGGATGACAGTAAGCTTGGCGCTTCAGGTTAGCGACTGTGACTGAACCCTTATCAATCTCAAAGCTGGAGTTCCTCCGAAAGATAAAGTTACATAAAAAATATCTAGACACTGTACTTAAGAAATGACATCTGATCCGACAGCACGTTAGTTCTTTAAAGTATTCAGCAAATTCGTTCGTGTCCATGTTATGATATCCGTCAATTTCGACTAGTCACCCCCTCATGAGATTAGACTGAAAAACGGGAGCACCGCCTATTTATAGTTACTTCCACCTCCCTTTAGTGACGGTCGAGTCTTCGGCACTAACCATGCAGTATGGAATCCGTATTCATTCATTCATGCTAACCACCAGCGAGATCGCGATTTGATTCTTTTTTCCAGAATCCGACTGTTGCAAATCATTAATACTACTCACATATTTTCTAGCCCTCCGTGAATGTCTAGATTGCAGCCTTATTCTGATTGAAAGTGTCTATCTGCTTAGCGCCAGCCAGTTTCAGTCACACTTTATGAAACACGACACATGAGGTTTGATAAGCTGAGGATAAGCGCCCAGCTAATGCAGACGTCTACTAGCCAACTATCAGTACCCTACACCATACTGCAGTTGATTCTCATACAGTAACCCCTCAGCCTTGCGCCTATACACCCATAATAAAATGATAGCCTTACGACACGCCGCCCAACAACCAACACTCACCTAACACCCTCCCCATCCCTCTCGCCCAAAATATCACTTTTTCTACCTCACATACCTGAGATAACTAAATATCCAAATGTCCTCCACCCACCCCAACACCTCCTACACCCTCGCCTGGATCTGCGCCCTCCCCGAAGAATACGAAGTCGCGATCGCCATCCTCGATGAAATTCACGGCATACCACAGCATCAACCTCTCGAAGATAAGAATGCCTATCTATTAGGCAGAATAGGTCAACACCACGTCGTGATGGTCTGTCTGCCTGCAGGACGGATGGGGACAGCAGCAGCCGCATCTGTAGCGGAGAATCTGTGTCGGACGTTTCAGTCAATGAGGTACGGGTTGCTTGTTGGTATTGGAGGTGGTGTTCCCGGTGTAATTTCCGGGAAGGATATTCGGTTGGGAGACGTGGTGGTTAGTGTTCCGGGGGGTGGGAATGGAGGGGTTGTGCAATATGATTATGGTAAGATTGGAGGTAATGGGAGGTACACTCATCGCGGACATGTTAATGCACCGCCGGAAAATTTGTTGTCGTATGTGACGCTTTTGGGGTGTCTTCTGAGGAGGAAGCAGGCTGGTGGTGGAGGGAATGTGATGGCCGATATCTTGGCGTCGCTTGGGGAGGCGTATGCGTATCCTGCCGGGCTGCGGGATAGGTTGTTCTGCTCGAATTATGTCCATCGCGATATCCAAGGATATACTGGCTGTGATGCCTGTGGTTTCGAGGGCGAGGTGTTTAAAAGGCGAAGAAGTAGTGATTTGCCAGTTGTGCATTTGGGTACGATTGCTTCGGGGGATAGTTTGGTTATTAATGCTGCAATTCGGGATAGGTTAAGTGGGGAATATGGGGGATCGATTTTGTGTTTTGAGTGTGGATCAGCTGGGGCTATGAATACTTTGCCTTGTTTGATTATTAAGGGCATTGCGAGCTATGCGGATTCGCATAGGTATGATGCGTGGAGGCCGCGTGCTATTGCTGCTGCTTGCAGCTATGCAAAGGCTTTGATTTTGCATATTCCGAGGGAGGAGGTGCCGCAGCACGAGAATCTCGTACATGTGACAGATCTGGGTAAGTGGGGTACTTTAGGTCGAGCTTTGGGCTTTTTGCTAACGGTTTTTCGCGTTAGTCAAAGACATCCGTGACGAATTGGGACAGATAAAGGCGGCTATTGCTGGTCTATGGCATATACAGAAAGGTGAGTCTCATGATAAAGGGTTTTATTTTCGCTTCGAATGAGCTAACTACAGTATAGGCGATGAGTATACAAAGAGTCACACCGTCTACCATTGTCTGAAGACTCTGGCAAGCAGAAGCGTGAGCATCACTGCAAGAATCACTAGCAGGATAGCTTTTCCTTATTATGGATTTATGCAAGCGAGTCAGTATCTGAGACATCGGATATCGCTATTTTTCGACAGCATGAAGCGGTATATCTGGTTAATACTACCTGGCCGCCCTTCAAGGGACAGGAGGACCGGCCCTAGTGGTGGAGCACTCCCTTCCGTACTTTCTATCCAAGGATGGGGATGGCATCTCATTGCAGAGCCGCATGTGTGGATGTCCTCGTGATATATATTGAAAATGCTCGAGCAGACCTTCGCTTGAATGAGGATCAACACATGCCCGCCTCAGTACGAAGATAAAGTCGAGCGAGGTTCGTGATGTGGCTCGTATGGAGGGGTCAAGAGGATGCCGAGACTTGCAAATTGGCATTTTCGACACTTTATGCTCTCGCTTGGTCGCGCGATCATCTCTTTAGTCTCTCTGCCTTCAAATCGACACTCATTTTCGTTTTCTATTGGTCCGGAAGCAATTCCACACACGGCTCATCGGCCTCGTATTTGTGCCGATCAGACGAGATTTAGTATGGCCTCGTCTTGGCATGACAGATATATAGACCCTGAGCTGAAAATTTAGCCGTATACAAGATGGATAGGGGATTCGAATCCCAACGCGGGATATGGTGAGAACAATCTGTCAGGACATCATCACGAACTACTGAAATTTGGTCAGCGCACTGGGAGTACTACAAATAAAACCCCTGAGCTATGGCGGAACTCACAGTTGGCTATGTTTCTGGCATCATTGCTGCTGGCGTGTTTCTTGGTCGGTGAATCCAGCCCTGAAGAGCTAACCTAGGCTAACTGCTTCAAGTCCGTCTGTTTATTCCAACAGTGATATGTCTCTTAGTTATTGGCCATCTACCCGCTGAAAGTTCGGTCGTCTCTTGGTATTAATTCCCTCTCACGGACTTATTTCATAGATGGATCCACTGACAATGCTGTAGGTCAGTCGTTAGCCGGCTACTGCACTCATCATATTGGCCCACCATACTTGATTCAGATACCGCCGCCAGCACAGGCGTCAGCAAGAGAATCCTCACCTATTCCTGGCTTCAGTTGATCGCAGCTGTCCTGGTATCAATTACCGGCATCGTCACCCCTCTTGGCCTCTACGACACGATCGGTCCCCAAGACAACCCCACGGATGTTCTCTTTCACTACGCACCCGATACATCAGCCTTTGGAAAGGCAACCCCTAGTAGGGATGGATATAAATCACTTCGGATATGCTATGCCGATGAGGATCCCGATACCCCAGAAGGCTGCCCCGGCGCACCGCCGAATCGCGCCGACATGGAAGACATCACTGAAGCGTATTCCGTTTGGCCTAGTAGTGTCAGCTTATTTACGAGCGGAAACGTGTCAGCGACAGTCTCCAGCGTGTTTGATGTCCAGTGGCGGTCGTTCCGTTCATCAACGCAGATAGTACCGGGCGCTAGCGCTACAGGGAGTGTATTCTCTCAGGGCTATTATCGGCAGATCTCTCAACTAATTTTGGATGAAGACCTGTTGGCTGTCGAGGGTTTGATTGTGGATAGCAAGGCTGGACGTATTGGTTTCCGTAACCATACTATCCCTTCGACTTTGCCAATGGGAGCTGAGTGGACAGAGGATATCCTATTCATCGAACCTGAAACTCGCTGTGTCGACACAAATTTGACAGTGGATTACAACTACGATCCCCAGGCACAATATAGCAGCTACAGTACCGACGACATCTATAACACCGATCTTCGGAATCTAGCTCTAGTTGATCGCGGTGGCTTCGTTAATCTATCCCATGAAAGGTACAGTATCGATGCTACCAAATTTCAGGAGGATGCTGCACTGTACGAGCGTGCCTACAACGCCGCATGGAGACACAACATGCTCATAATGCAGTACTTCAACGTGACAACCAACGGTTCAGACGGAACAGCACCATTCGCATATATGCACTCAGAAATGGGAAAGAGGTTCAGTCTGGCAAACATGTCTAGTATAATCGTTGAGCCGATGACTGTCCAAACAGACTCCGGGTACGGTAGTTTCCTCGACGTCCCAGACGGCTTTACCTTGTCAGGAAACTACTCGAGTGGACAGCCCGAGAACCCGTTGAACCTCAGCACATATGACGTCTACGCCATCGGCAGTGAAGCCTGTCATTACCCCTCCGATAAGGCTCTCTCGAACATGTCATTCGTCGGTGTGGCCTGTGGTACTGTGTTTGCCGCTCCTCGTAGACTCGATGGTGACTCGCTCATTCCAGACACAAATAGCACCTGGAGCACCCCGCTATACTCCTGCGCGGCGGCAACTAAGGCAGCTGTTCGGGAGGTTACTTTCCGATTCAACGGTACCGGAGGGCTAGACAAGTTAGTCATCCAGAGCATCAACGAAAAGAAGTACAAAGACCCTTCCGAGCTTCCACTCTGGGGCGTCGAGCGACTGAAGAACCACACGCTACAAAACGTAAGACCCTTATGGGGTCTTGTCTCACCAGAAGTCGGCGCTCGCGACGACATCTCCACAGTACAACGAGACTACCTGTGGCTACCCGGCTACCCAGACCTCATCACATCTGACACCATAGCCGGCGAGCCAAGCATGCCCGGAAACCTGTTCTACACACAGAGACTCCTCTCACTATTCGACATTGCAACCCTCAACCAAGCCACTTCTCGATACACAGGATCCGGCGACCTGGCTTTATACAACCGCTGGTTCGAACTATCTTCCTCCGCCAGCGGCGTTGAAAAGATGCTCGGGCTGATATGGACCGACATGACCGCCAATACCGTTGTCGGGACACGTGGCTGGCATAATGCTCCAAGCCAGACTTCCAAGAATAGTAAGAGGATGTCAAAGCGAGATGTGGGAGGGGTAAGCGTGCCGGTGACATTGTGGTCGCGAAATATCAAGTATCACATCCCCTACGCGATTCCGGCGTTTATAGTGCTTGCTCTTTCCATTGCGCTTGCGGGTTTTACCATCTGCCTTCTTATTCTACGGCGTACAGGGTTAGGACAGATGCGGTCTTACCTTGCTCGTACCTCGCCTGGTAGGATACTTGGAAGTGCGCTGCATCCGGATCAGGCGGGTGTTCTTGCTTCTACAAAGACCTGGATTCAGCAGGTGGGTGTGCGTAAGGCCACTCTGCCTGGGAAGAAGGAGGATGGTACGATTCCGTTGTTGGATATACCTGCTGCTGGCGAAGAGGGGGTTCGAGATCGGAAGTAGGATGGGCTGTTTGGTTATTTTCTATCTGGGGCGTTTGTTGCGTTGAATTAGGATGCTTGAGGATAAAATTAGCAGGACAAGTGAAATATGTGAGCGCTTGCTTAGGAGCTTTGGTACCAGCGCAAGGTTCCGGGCCTTATAATATGTTACAGAGGATCAATGTGGAGTAGTTAGGTTTTCTCCTTTTCCTCTGGAAGACCACAAGTGGCCATTGTAATAATTCAAAACTCAGTGAATCGTGCGACCAAAGCAGGAAATATCAGACTAGTTAGGTTCTGTATAACCCGCATTCAATGAAGCATATGTTATAAACGTAGTAGCTCACGAAGTGTATAATGGGAGCTCCATTCCCAAAAGATCTATCGGTCAAGCTGAGAGGGACCAATGACACCGCAGACTATATCCTGATCTCATAAGTCAGTATTACCCTTTCTGTGAGCTAGAGGCAATCACGGAGTTCATAAGCAACTCCTCAGCCCTGATGGAGCAGCATCGTAGAGTTGCAGGTTCGATTGGATGGACCCAGACTCATGTAGCACATTGCAGAACAAGGAATGCTAAACTACCGAGTAGCTTAAGCCTGACTAACTTAGTGACTTTGTGCACCCATTAACTGGATTGATCCCGTCTCACAAGGATCTGGTAGATGGGGAGGTGTATCCGAAATGGGCCAGTCACCGTGCAACCAAACATCCTTGTGTTGCCATCATCATTCAAGAAAGCAGCAATACTTTCTCAATTAGTATCTGAAGATATAAAAACCTCTTCTTGCCACATCGAAATCTCTCTGCCCTCTATCTACCAACCTCTAGCCTCCAAACCAGTTTAACTACTATCTATAAACAATCTATCGTTCCATCTCCTCAGCTCTTCTTCTAACCCTACCATACAAAATGAAGCTCACCACTGCACTTGGTGCCTTTGCACTCATCGCCACCGCGAACGCCGCCGTGACTGGGTACTGCACACCTGGTTTCAATTACTGCTCCGGTGTGCTCGATGATGTCGGTGAGTTAGGTGCTACTTACATAAGGCTAATTGTGAGGTATGCTGATACACAAAAAGGGGACAATGATGCGGCGATGTCCGATGCATTGAGACGATCTGGTCATTCAAATGTGGTTCAATGGCAAGGCCTTTGGGTTTACTACTTATTCCATTGTAATGATGATCAATCACTCACGGTTGTTCAAGAATGTCAATTGGGTTGTCAGAACAATGGCAAGGGTAATACTGACACCTGCCGTGGTTGAATCATAATATGAGTGACAATGCCAGATTCGGAATATCTGAGTCTATATGGTTCCGTTCTTGGATTCAGATGCTTGCTTGGAGCGTACTATGCAATTCACCATAAGGATTATATAGTACTACGTTTCTGTGTACATAAGCTGTAGTAATATTCCTTCTGGGGGAATCATGCTCTATTAATTATTCAGACCATAGTGCTAGAGTAATACCAACGGGATCCATAAACAAACGTCATGGAACATAAGATGCAAAACAAGAAAAAGAGGGAAAATCCTCAGTAACCACCATGGTAATGCGTACGATGACTCCTCGCCGAGGCAAGTGACGCGAACAGCATCTTGCAATCCGTACACTTAGAATGCTTCTCCGTATCATGCTGCCTCAAACTTTTCCTATCATCAAAAAGCCTACAACATTCTAGACAGAACCTCTCGCGATAAATACTGTAAACATCACGACAATATGAGACAATGCCAGAGAAGATATTCTCCATAATTTCTATATCAAGGTTCGTCATTATTCTATCACCATAAACGTAAGCCACACTGCATAGCGGTTATTTTCTTTGGGCTAATTTTCTAATTACGTACCGTAACTTTGTTTCCACACGAGCCATCCGTTGTATCATTGATGTGGAGAAGTCATATGAGAAGAGTGGGTATTCGCTGCGCACCTCGTCAAATCGAGGCAACTCTATAAGAGTTGCAAGATGTTCAACGGCGAACTTGGCTATTGTCCCTCGCAGCTTCGAGTTTTGTGGGCTATCCTCTCCGTAGACTTTCTCGATAATGTGGATGAATTCCTTGTTGTCCCAGACTAAGGTAAGTCTGTACTCGAGCTTTTTCTTTGCTAGGGCCATAAGTGGTTCAATGGCGTATTTATCAGCCACGTTGTACATTTCTATATTAACATGCGCCTTGGTGGTTGGAGAATCATAGTCGGGATTAGTGGCAGGCTGACTCTTGTCCGGAGAATCGTCGTAGTCTCCACGATAGAAATAATCGATCATTTTCTTGATGATCGTGGGATCGTCGTGGATAGTAACGACATTTGTTTTGGCCTCCTGTAACTCGTTAGTGTCATACTGAGATATGCCATGTGCTCACCTGAAACTCCCCACACAGGGCCTTCTCGAAAAACTCCGATTGCGGACAGATTATACAGCGATGGACTTTGAAAGTCGATGAATGGCATTTTATTTCGACGTCGGAATATATTCCATTCCGGATGCTAGATTTTTGTTGCGTTAGTTGGTATCTAGAAGAATAAGGCTCTGGAATAAGATGTCACTTCGATAGGATGGCAAGAAGGGTGCTGAGATTGGTGGCCATATTCTTCAACAGTACAAACAAGTGCATTTTTGACGGATGAGTGAGGATGCTTATGTGTTAAGAAGAGTAAGTCAATGGTGATATTCCAATCACTCGAATCAATACGCGCGGTTCAGGGTATTTCTAGGGTCATATTTACGTTGTGGACGGATGCGCGCTGCGGGCTTCCGTACCAATGAAGACTATGGTGTAGAGTATGCATTCAGAGCTCTACGTATGTTAGCTTCATGTCTTCATATAAGGGGAATAGAAAATGTTGCAATTAATTTACGTGTTGTGCCTAACTCAACGAGGTTCGGCGACTGCTAAAATATTACACATGAATATTGCCATAGGTCCTACAGGAGGCTTTTACCCCAAGGTTTGCGGCCACACCGTTAATAACAACCAATGCTGATTAACCTAGTAGTAGCCACAACTACCCCCGAAGCCTCAACCACCAGAAGACGACAACGACTACGCAATGTCAATCCGGAGAACCTGCTCGAATTTGGGCTATATCCTGGAACCTACCAAACGCTGCTCGTTAATCGGTTCTGTGAAACGACATCACCCAGAGCTCCGACCAAAATTGACTCGCAGAAGACTGTCGTTGTGAACATCGGTTCAATTGGGCATATATAACCGATAAGGCATTGTTGGAGCTTATTCAATTAGCTATCAACTGAATACAACTACTTCATCTGAGTGACAGAAGAACGCCACCTTATATAAGTCAGGCACATACGTGATTACCTGATCTTCATGGGATAAACATCATCCTGCGTAGGCAAGATCCAGGTGCATCTTACAACGTTACGGAATCTTCCAGTGGGAGGAACCATCGAACCTTAATCGAATTGCGGTTCCGCTACCTCACAGACAATTCCTAATTCTTTATATGCTTCCCCTCCTCGAAAAGTCGTACAGTAGATGGGTGTGTCGGATGACTGATCCAAGGCAGCCTTGAAAAGGCCGTAAGATTTTGGCGCGGGGTGTGTGGCTATGCCATGTAATCAACCAAGCTACCTAACGTTACTAGTAAGCTCATCTCACCCGGGAGACAACTACCCGACATCCGGCTGCATCTTACTCTTCTCAAATAAAATCACTATTCAATCACCTATAATCGCTGCCTCCAATCCCTCTCTACATACTCTCTATACCCTATCCACCCCCTATCTTTCCAGTACCATAAAATCAAATCAAGATGGCCTCCGGACTCATCCTCAACCCGCACAACCTCCTCCGCGCCGCCCCACTCGTCTCATCCACCTGCACCCTCTGGTTCGCCTTCGACCAAGACCTCGTCCTAAACGTCTTCCTGCACCCGGACCACCGTCCCCGCAGCAACGAAATCCTACCATCTTATTTCAACGTCCTCTTCCGCCGCGGCGTTGTCCGCGTCGTAGGCCTCCTGGCCCTCTCCATGGCGGGAGGCGGATACAACATTCTAAAGGACCGCCGATCAGGGGTAGTCGCGGGACTCCGATCATCCTTGTCGTGGTATGTAGCCGGCACGGTGCTTGCCGCTAGTCATCTGCTTTATGTGCCTGTTATTGCTCCAAAGGTGCTAGCCATCATGGAGGATTCGTCGAAGGGTTCCTCGACGGAGGATCTGGAGGGTTGGTTGACTATTCATCGTGTAAGGACTTGGACGGTGGACTTTGCGGCGTGGGCTTGTTTTGCGGTTGGGTTGGGGTTGGCCTAGTGGATTTGAATTATGCGGTTCGATGTGTATGATGAAATGGGGTGGAAATGTACTCATGAGTACTCATGTAAAATGCGCAATGATATTCGATGCAGTCTATAGATTCGTATTTCTCTGCGATCTCCACCGCATGCCATATCCTCGTATGCACCAGACAGCTGCTGCACCACACACGGCACTCATGATGCCAAGGGCGGTAAAATACCACCCTAGTCCTGCAGCATCCATCAGAGGCTGCAGGCTAGTCACTCCTATTGCTGCCATGGCACACCGTGTTATGCTTGCACTTGCTGCAGCAGTACTCGGATTCTGCGGGAAGATATCGACCAACAATGTGTTGTAAATAGTGTAGAAGCACGTATCCCAGAACCCTTGGATTAATTGCAGGATCAATAGAATTGAAAAATGCTTTTCATTTCGCGCAGTCCAGCCGTAGGCGATCAATGTGCTAGTGGAGAAGAGAAGAAGGTAATAGATACCACGAGACCGCGCTAGTTCGATTGGGAACTCACGCAGATCATCGCCATGGACTCGATCAATTGGATGATTATGTCTGCGGGCATCGCTTTATAGTTGTAATCCATTATTCGGCCATTGCAATAGCCGCCTGTGATGATACCAATGCCTCGTGGAAGGTAAGCCAGGCCGGTTAATAACGTGTTGAAATGATATGTGTGCATGAAAATATCGGAAACCGTAGCGGCGAGGATATAGTCAACCGCGTAGAAAGATCCGTGTATCCACAGGCAGCAAAAGGCGTCTGGAAAGAAGATGATCCGTAAGGGGACCAGAAACATTCGGATATTAAGCTGAGCGAAGATGTTCCTTCTCGCCCGGCCAGAAGGACTTTGCTCGGTATTACCTGCAGGTTTCTCTTCTCGGGTGTCGTTCTTTTTATCCAGTAAAAATCCCACGGTTGTGATATAACTCCACCAGCTCCGGTGCCATGCTTTAATCTTCGTCCTATCACTTCCATTCCCAACAATGTTGCGCCCAGTCTCAGGAAGCAGTATACCAACAACGAAGAATAAAAGAATCCCGACAATAAATATAGCCCAAAAGACCCACTCAATATCTCCACTCAGATATACAACCAGCCCAGCTATGATCGGGCCCACACAGGTTCCTAGATTCGAGGCCATACTAACCCAACCCATCATCCTACCTCGTTCACTGGGAACGCAGACATCACTAACAATGCCATAGCTCATAGCAAATGCGGCACTGGCGCCAAGGCTCTGAAGAGCCCGTAATAGTAAGAGGACACCATAGTTGGATTTGTTGAGTGCCATGCCTAGATTAGCTAAAGCATAGATGGCGAGGGTAAGAAGGTTTGTTGGTCTTCGACCAACGGAATCGGAAAGCGGTCCGAATATTGCTGGTGATATAGCTTGGAAGCTTATATAGATGGTCAATGTAATATCTATTGCTTGCCGCGATGTTTCGAATTGGGTCTCAAGTATTGGTAGAAGTGGAAAGTGTACGGTCGCGGTGAGAGGTGATATTATAGTTGCAAATCCCACGATTATAACGATGGACATTCTTGCTTTGGGAGTGAATAATATGTATGGTTGGGTGGCCGGTGGCTTCGACCATTGTATGTCTGGTGTGTCATTGGCAGCATTGGTAGCAGGTACAGAGTAATTTGAGGGATTTGCGATTGCCATAACTAGGCTTTTCTAGAAGTGAATATATTGAACTCTGCTCATTACAAAATGTATTCGCCGGCAGTAGGGTAGGATGGATGACGACAAAACATTCAGCGGGGTGAGACAGCGGGGGAGTGGTACAGCAGTTCTTTGTTCTAATTCGGTGCATATTGGACACCAAGCTATCCAAGCAATAACTTCATCATCAATGTTCAATAGCACAGTGCTGTTGGAAGAGTCAACTAGCTTTTCAGGGAGTCTTTCTCAAACAGCACTTTGGCGTAGCCGGTATGAAAGCATGTTCGAATACCCTTAGGTTATGGTCAGCACTGATCTTTCTCTCCCCGCTAGTTCTTGACACTTTCGCTCGAAAGCAGTTGACAGTCATCATGCCCTCAAACTCACCAGTAGTCATTAACATTCCTTCAAGCGACTTCCGCGTCGATGCAAATGTCGCCAGTCAGTTTCCGCCCAGTTCTCAAATCGTTTCCGCAATTCGCTTCGGGACCTCAGCATGGACCACCACAGCACGTCTCTGCGTGAAGAACAATATTGGGATTGAGAAACTATATTTCCTCAAATGTGCTACTGGGGACAATGTTCGTTTATTGATACAAGGTGAATTCAACGCACAGTGTGAACTCTACAGGACGATGCCAGACTTCGTACCAAAGCCTTATTCTTGGGGCGAGATCGATCGATCAGATCCAAAGACATATTTTTTCCTCTCTGAATTCATTAATATGGCCGACAGGATCCCGGAGCCATATCAACTATGCACCAGGCTCGCCCAGTTGCATCGCGAAAGTGTCTCACCGACAGGAATGTTTGGCTTCCATATCACGACCTGCCAGGGAAATACTCCGCAGAACGTTTCATGGGAGAGTAGCTGGACTATATTCTTCTCCAAGCTTCTCAGGCATGTTTTAGGCCGAGATTCTGCAGTCAATGGAGTCTGGGAGGATCTCAATATACTCTCTCGGAGGGCCCTGAAATTATGTGGTTCCTCGACTAATCGGAGTACTTGAGGCTGAAGGACGCAAAGTAAAACCATGTTTAATCCATGCCGACCTGTGGGAGGGAAACACGGGGACAACTCCCGAAACAGGGAACATCTATATCTTTGATTCTGCCGCATTCTATGCGCACAATGAGACGGAGACAGCGAACTGGAGATGCAACTATAACAAGATCCATGACCAAGTGCATACACGCACTTACTTGCGTCACTTTGCGCCCAGTGGGCCACGACACGAATGGGATGACAGGATCCGCATGTACTCGGTATACTATAACATTATCTACTCTGTCAATCATAGGAGTGAGGGGACTGCTGTTCGTCAGATGTGAGCTAACCCCTTTTAATCTCTCTGCACGCGCGAAGCTGACTTGTATTATTTGATCGATAACTATGCGCCGTTTGAAGAAGGTACAGGGCCTCGAGGGATTGACGAATCAGGGCGAGCCTCGCTCTCGAATGAACGAGACCATACTAGAGCTTGAGAGAGCATAGCCAGCTCACTGTATAGATAACGAAATGTATTTCAGAAAATTGTTCTTCTATAGGAAAAAACGCCATGAATGTTGAGACCGATCTGATTTGCGTATTCCACCTGTATATGCTTTGCCAATAAAGTTATGCTGTCTTCAGGGCTCGCGTTCATACCAGAGCTCAAAATGTAATTGCCTGCAAGTCGGATGACAGTAATTTTAGCTCCGTTGACCCAACCGTAGTTTTTCCGGGCTTTATCAGTTGTCAACTCTACTACTTTCTATACAAAAGTTACATCTTTCAGGTCAACTCATCTTTTCAGTTCAGTTACACATTTAATCACTGGATTTTACCATCTCTAAGCGGTAGCACTGATATTAACTAAAAACCAATATACGTTTTTTATGTCTTTTCAACTAGCAAGGAATTTTAGAGTTTTGAAGAGTATTTATTTCCTTTAACATGAAGTTCAGATGGTATGGTTTCTGGAAATACAGAAAATACTTTGGTATCTTTGAGGGGTCGGTTGACTCTAAACTTGCTTGTTGATAGCCGTGCAAGTCACGTGTAAAGAAATACGGTCACTTGACCTCTCACAAGCGGTAATATACACGCTCAAGGTTGAAAGGGTTCAAGAGCTCGAGTAGCTGGGTTCAACCCCTTGAAGCTCGGCACTTATCTTATCAGCCTTTCACGTGATAAGTTAGTCATCTCAGCGATTCCGCCACCCGCTCCGCGTCTTGATTCCAAAGCGCTCCGCTCGACATCTCAGCGTTCTCTTCTGTCCTTGTACTTTGCTTTCTCTAGGAGGTTATCTAGACATTATTGTCTTTGCCCACCATGCCGCGCGCAGAAGCTGGATCCACAAAGGCGATCAGCAACAAGATCAAGGCTGTACGTTGCCCTCTTGTCCACACGTAAAACAACTTACTAACGTCCAACAGAAAGGCTTAGGCAGACTTAGATGGTATTGTCAGGCTTGTTCGCGCCAGTGTCGCGATGAGAACGGATTTCGCTGGTAAGTTCTACAATTTGTGGAACATCCAATGTCTATGATACTGACTTTTCAAAGCCATGTCCAGAGTGAAAGCCATGTGCGCCAGGTGCTGCTGATCGGCGAAGACCCCAAGAAATACATCGAAGATTACAGCAAGCAATTCCTCGACAACTTCCTCAATCTTCTAAAGACCGGTCATGGCGAGAAGAAAGTTCACATCAACCAGTTCTACCAGCAAGTCATTGCCGATAAGGAGGTTAGTGGTCCGAGTGGTCCTTGCGGAATGAGTCTGTCGCTAACATACATGTAGCACATCCATATGAACGCCACGAAGTGGAAGAGTCTTTCGCAGTTTGCTGCATACCTGGGTCGCGAGGGTATTTGCCGTGTCGAGGAGACAGAGAAGGGCCTGTTCGTCTCTTATATCGATCGGAGTCCGGAGGCCATGAGACGACAGGAAGCTTTGCTCAAGAAGGAACGCCAGGACCGGGGAGATGAGGAGCAGGAGCAACGACAGATTCGAGAGCAGATCAAGCGTGCTCAGCAGAGTGCGAAGGAGGAGGAAGAGGTGGACCCTGAAGCTCGCAAGCTGCAGCGCAAGGAGGGTGAGAAAGTCAAGTTGAATATCGGATTCGGTTCGAAGGCAAACGGCGATTCGAAGAGCGAGTCGCCGAAGCCCGCATTGCCCGAGGAAAAGGATAGCGGTGCATCGGCCACGCCAGAGACTACCGATGCTGCACCTACTCCCGCTGCCGTTCCCGCCCCCGCCCCGCCTGCGCCACAGGCTGCGCCGAAGGTGTCTCTGTCATTCGGTGGTGGTGGAAACAAGCCGAAGAATGTCTTTGCTGCCGCTGTAAAGAAGAACCCTCTTGCGGGAAAGAAGGGGCCGGTCATGGAACAGCCCAAGAAGATGACGGAGCAGGAGCGCATCATGAAGCAGGAGATGGAGGCTATGGAGCGGAAACGTATGCGTGGCTCTGCTGGGTTCCCTGACGCGAAGCGCCCGAAGATCTCTTGAGTTGGTCGTTCGACGATAATATTCCTACGTGGGTTGTACCCATACTCCACACCCCCATCGGCTTCGATGCCGCTCCGCCCAGGCGACGTTAATGCATTTGTTCCCGTCGGCCAGTGGGCAATGGAGAAACGCCATGGGGGATGTTACTATGACAAGTCAGACCTCGATGACTTTTATACCGTGCGCTCTCGATGTCGGCGGCAGCATTCAGGGCAACGCGTTCTTGCGATGCCCGTTCGGTCGGATATTTGTTGACTGGGACGTACTCTTTCTGCTGGGTTTAATGACTAGGCTATTGGCGTAGTCACATTGAATTCCTCGGTCGCCTATGATAGATACATGACTAGATATCGTTGGCCAGTAACATTGCCAACGAATGAATATATAACTTGCTTATTATATGTCGATGTATCTTTAAATATTGTCTTGATGAGTAAATTGCATACATGTCTCCGAATAATGCTATTCGCCCGCCGCAACTCTGGATGTCCTTCACACGCCACGATATAACGGACTGCCTAGATAGATTGGTCTAACAGGGTTAATGAGCGTTGCTTCGATACCCGTCTCTCGCTTGAATTGGCACATAATGGCTGCATTGGAGTGATGATCATTATGACGGTGAGAATCAATAAGTTCTCACCCAAAACGTATTACCCGGGAATAAATATATGTTGGTTACTACCCAACCCCATCCATGGAATTACTAGTTGACATCTCGCACCATTGGAACTCGCTTTGAAACTGACTCATGAGAATAATAAAACCCGAATAATAGTAGTGATAGAGTAATATCATCATAAGTCGAATAACAACCAAGAATATCCATGATACTCCGCTGAACGTATGGTAGGTCATTTGCAGTTTGCTGCTATGATAGATGTTCTGCTGGCCGCTAATAAAGCCGAAATTAGAGGCAGTTACCATAACAAGCCCGGGTGGTCTAGTGGTATGATTCTCGCTTAGGGATACAAACCCAAGCATATCTGCGAGAGGTCCCGCGTTCGATCCGCGGCTCGGGCCTTGTACCTTCCTTTTTTGCTTTTGTTCCGCTCTCGCCAACACAATTGTCTCTCCCAAGCAAGGAGAGAAGAAGCGGGCGAGAAAAAGAGTCAATGATCAACCAGGGAGGCAGCAAAATAGTTCTTTTTTTTTTTTTTACTAGTTGATGAGCTGTATCTTTGCTCCAAATTGATATGAAGCTTTTCTTTCATCCCGCTCATGAGCCCAACTCAGCAGGAATCCGCCATCAGCTCGCACTTGGCCTCGATCTCTCCTGCCTGCGCCCTTCTCCACGTACCCCATCTAGAATGTAACACAGCGTGACCTAATCAGCATATGAATCTGACACAAGACGTGAGGGTTCTCGAACTCAATCCAATGCGTTGTCACCAACCGACCCACCATCCCCGCAGTGAGCCATAATGTCTACCTATCGTTCGGGATCACACCCGAGCCCGGCATGTCGCGCCGTGCTTTTCCCTCCACTGGCGGAGATACGATCCGCTAATTGATTGACTCACCCATCAATTTTCATTTTTTTTTGCATTTGAGTCCTGGACATATACAAAAATCACACGGCAATCGAGAGTCACACCTACACACACTCCAAAGATCCTACTCAATCCAAGGATGGCCGTACGATCGCTTTCCCCAGAGGGGAGGCAGAAAACGCTCGCTTTTATCGGATGTGGTATGTATCCATCACCAACACTACAATCAAACAATGATCGACAAACACCCAATATCTACAACCTACTAACGGAGAATCAAGGCAACATGGGCTCCGCCATCCTAAGCGGCCTACTGGACGCAACGCGCACCCAAGCGGGAAAAGTCAATCACTTCATCATAAGCACCAAGACCGCCGCATCCGCGGAACGTCTCCGCAGCCAATATGCAGAGGACGCATCCCGCGTGACCATAGCACATGACTCCAACCTCCGCGCAATGCGCGAAGCAGACATCATCCTACTAGCCTGCAAGCCCTTTCTAGCCAAGGGTATTCTCTCCGCTCCGGGAGTGGGGGAAGCGTTGTCCGGAAAGTTAGTGATTAGTATCATGGCGGGGATGACGCCCACTGACATACTCAACTGTCTGAGCGACGGGGATCACGAGAGTGTCAAGATTGTCCGGGCGATGCCAAATGTCGCGGCGCGGTTGCGCCAGTCTATGACTATTGTTGAGCTTCCTGAGACGAAGCCGCTGGAGGAGGAGTTGGTGGAGATTGTGACGTGGGTGTTTGAGGTGATTGGGAAGGTCAAGTTCTTGAGTGCGGATTTGTTTGATGTTGGGACGATGTTGGTCGGGGCTGGGATAGGCGTTATAACGGTGCCTTTGGAGGGATTGTTGGATGGGTGTGTGGTGGAGGGATTGAGGAGGGCGGAGGCGCTGGAAATGGCGGCTCAGATGCTGTCCGGGATGGCGGCGTTGTTGAAGGAGGGGTCGCATCCTGCTGTTTTAAGGGAGAATATTTCGTCGCCGAGAGGGTGTACTATTCAAGGAGTGATGACGGTGGAGAGAGCTGGAGCAAGAGCGACATTTGCAGATGCGGTGATTAATGGCACGAGGCATCTGAAGGGGGATCGGTAGATGAGGTTACTATACTCGGGGTATATTTCCGAATAGATTAGATCGAAAGATAGAGAGCGATAGCAACACTCATAAATAGATATAACACTGATAGAACCCCGTTAATTGATATATTATCCTCGATAAGAACACACAGCACCCATTGGACCGTATCAACTGCTCCCATATACCTGATTTCATCATCCTGCAGCGGTACCCTTAACCGAGTACTACCGGAAACACCCACCGAACCAGACCATCATCCCTCAACACCAACTACAATGTACCTAGATTCCTGCAGACACAACCTCCCCCCTCGCGTGGAATCAAGCCAATCGGTCAAAAAACCGTCTGCCGTGATCTACGACCACATACTCTGCGCTGGCGTCCCTACCCCTCACTACTATCATCCGGCAGCTTTATAACGAGGGGATAAATAAGTAGACAGGGAATACCATAAGCCCTGAACGTAGAATGGAAGACACCTAAACCGTTCCTTGAAATGAGATCGAAAGTATTACTCTGGCCAAAACGGCCCACTCCTCTTTTCTACTACCAACTCCTCCACCACCCACCAGTCTACTACCATGCCTACAACACCTCGTCAACATCAACAACAACAACCCACCACACAGTCCCACCACCAGCCCCTAAGACCCCCTCCCCAGCACCCCTATCAGCCCTACCAACCCGGACCTTCCTCCGCTCCCTCCTCTTCACATCCGTGATGGCCTCCCCGCTCCTCAAACCGTGTCTCTCCTTGCTGAAGTACATGGTCGACTCGAACTCCATGCTCTTCAGCCCGGCCAAGAACCCGGTCGTGAATTATCTGCTGCGCAGGACGATCTATGATCACTTCTGCGCGGGGATTAATGAGAGGGAGGTCCGGAATACGGTGCAGGAGATGAAGTCGCTGGGGTTCAAGGGTGTTATTCTGGGGTATGCGAGGGAGTCGATTGCTAAAGTGGAGGATGTGGATCGCATTCAGTCGGCTGAGGAGAAGCAGGAAGCGCTGGATCGGGCGGTCGAGGAATGGAGGGTCGGCACGTTGAGGACGTTGGGGATGTGTGGGAGGGGGAATTATTTGGCTGTTAAGTATGCTTTCTCTCTTTTCATTACTTATTGGATGGGGTGACGGGTTTGGGCTAATAGTGTTTCTCTACGCAGGTTCACCGGTGCTGGTCCTGCGGCCGTGGAGGCCCTCTCGCGCGGGGATCGTGTTCCGCCACCTCGGATTCAAGAGGCCATGATGGAGATTTGTGATGCTGTTGCGGCGCAGGGCTCGCGGGTGTGGATTGATGCCGAGCAGCAGATCTTCCAGGGTGCGATTGATGCGTGGGCGGTGGATTTGATGAGGAAGTATAACCGGGTGGATAGGGCGGATGCGCCTGTTGTTTTGAATACCTATCAGGCGTATTTGAAGTCGTCTACAGCTAGGCTTAATGAACATCTCCAGCTCGCGCAGAAAGAAGGCTGGGCTATGGGTGTCAAGCTTGTCAGGGGAGCGTATATTGCTCATGACCATCGGGACCGGATTCATGACACCAAGGCCGATACAGACAGGAATTATGATCATATCGTGGAGAGTCTGATTACGAGACAGTATCCGCTGGGCGGGGAGCCCGGACAGCCGTTTCCGAAAGTGCGTCTGTTTGTGGCTTCGCATAACGGGGTGAGTGTGCGGAAGGCGTGTGCGCTGTATCGGCAGCGGGCGCAGAGTGGACTGCCTTTGATTCCGGTGGAGGTTGGCCAGTTGCAGGGAATGGCGGATGAAGTGAGCCTGGGGATGGTAGAGGGATCGACGGATGGAGCGGCTCCGGGGGTGTTCAAGTGTTTGGCGTGGGGGTCGACGGAGGAGTGTCTGCATTTCTTGTTGCGGAGGGCGGTTGAGAATCAGTCGGCGATGGAACGGACGAGAGATACGGCGCGGGCGCTGAGAGGGGAAGCTTGGAGGAGACTGGGTGGGGGAAGTGTGATGTAACCACGTTCTTCCATCGTTCAAGTTCAATGTGAATATGATTCGATGATTATCGATGTAAAGATAGCCAGTTGTATACTTTTCGGCTCGGAAACCCGAGGTCGGAGGGCGTTCCGGAGTCTGGATTATCTTTGGAGTAAATGTTTCTTTCCTTAGAGGAACTATAACTTGTGCCTGCTATCGCAGCACTCGGACTTGGGCTCCCGTACCTTAACATTATGCGTCTGCCCTTATCAGCTAGGGATCGCCTGGACGCTAAGCTAAAGGATCGGCCCCCGTCTACTTCGTAGGATCTCCATAGCCTCTGCATAATCGGCATCCTCATCCTCCAGCACAGCTTCCCTCTCACATCCCTCCAGTATATCTAGCACGTAGTCCTGGCAATCCCACTCGAGGGTCTCGTTGTCCACCGGTGTGGCGTCGACAACATCCTTCACGGTCGGGATATCGGGGCTGCCGATCTGACACACAAACAGAGATTCTATGAAACCCAGGTTATCGGAAGGAAGCCCATTGGACACGACTTTTTGGAAGCAGGGATGCTCGCCATCGACTTCAAAGATGAGGTCTTCGGTATCTGAGTGGAGATGGAGGGCCCAGTGTTGAAAGTTGCCGTAGCGGGGATGGTAGATAGCCACGGCGAGGTATGGGGGTTTCATGACCAGTGTTGTTGATGACTGGAAGCAAGGCGTACTGTTTTTCTGCAGAGAGTTTATGATTATGTTTGTATGAAGGGATGACCTGCCATTGTCTGTCGGGGCGGGGATTATCTCTACTGTCAGTAAGGAAGCGGGCGAGGGGAGGGATATCATGCCTGAGGCAGCGAGGCAGCAAGGCACCGCAGTTGTGTGCTTTGCACTGCTTGAGCCTCTTTTCCGCTTTCCCTTTCCTCTTTCCTCTTTCCTTTTCCCCTCATCCCACTTCAACTTCCTCGTCACTTTCACCATTAACATCATCATCTTCCGTCATTCAATTGCCTTCCCCGCCATCCCGTGTCTGTTCCTTGGTTACCTCCCTTTTGCCTTCCTTTGTTCCCCCGGCCGACCACGTCGCTACCCAATCATGGCCCACCGCAGGGGCTTGTCCGTGGCACTGGGCCCAACGCGGGATCCCCGGACTTCCGGCCTCGCACCATTCCAGGGCCTTCCGTACCCCACAAAATGACCTGGTCGAGTAGGAATGGCCTGCCCTGAGGACCGTGCCAGCAAAGTGACGAAGGTACTTCGGTTCGGTTCCATCATCTCCCGCGGGGTAATTCCATCACCGCTGACCAAGAAGTCCTCAAGAATTTTCTCAAGGGGCAGTGCATTTAATCTCCTGGTGTTCGCCTGTCTCTCGTTCATTTCACCGATCGCCCTTGGCATTCCCTGTCTCGGACACGAGGTGGACCGACTACTGCAGGATAAAACTCCGATCGAATCTCGCGTCGCACTCAAATCTTATTTATATCTCCTATCCTTTTCTCCTTCCCCTCGACTTTTTGAGTGGATAAAGCAACCGCATAGCTTCACTAGGCTCCCGGCCTTTGCAAGATGCAAGTCAAGGTATGGTTGAGAGCCTAGCCCCCGTAAACTTGTCGCTGATGCGCTTGCTAGTTCCTGGCAACGTTGTTGCCGCTTTTGCTGCATCTTCCTGCGGCTGTGGACGGTCTGCCAGGAAAGAATGCGCGTATTTCGGCGTCCCTGAAGAGACACGCTGGGCGCGACGTGCCCCAAACAGCTCTTAACTCCACCAATGTCTATCAGACCAAGTTCTCGGGCGTGACCTGGGATGAGGATCATTGGCTGCTCACCACCACCACGCCTGACCAGGGCCACTACCAGTCGCGTGGGTCTGTTGCAAACGGATACCTGGGAATCAATGTTGCTAACATTGGTCCCTTTTTCGAGCTTGACGAACCGGTCAATGGCGATGTGATCAATGGCTGGCCCCTCTACTCCCGGCGCCAGAGTTTCGCTACTATTTCCGGTTTCTGGGATAGACAAGCCCACACCAACGGCTCCAATTTCCCCTGGCTTTCGCAGTATGGAGATGACAGTGTGATCAGTGGTGTTCCGCACTGGAGTGGCCTGATTCTTGACTTGGGCGATGACACGTACCTCGACGCTACCGTGGATAACCGCACGATCTCGAACTTTAAGTCTACCTATGACTTCAAGTCGGGTGTGCTGTCCTGGTCGTATACCTGGACACCCCAAGGAAACAAAGGCTCTTATGCAATCACCTACCGACTCTTCGCGCACAAGCTGTACGTGAACCGAGCCGTGGTGGACATGGAAATCACCCCTCTGACGAACGGCAATGCTACGGTGGTTAACGTGCTGGATGGCTATGCAGCAGTCCGCACAGACTTTGTCGTATCTGGCCAAGAGGAGGGTGCGATCTTCTCTGCTGTGCGGCCTTGGGGGGTCAACAACGTCACGGCTTACGTCTATGCAACTTTGGATGGCTCCGACAGTGTCGACTTGTCTTCGCGTAGGATCGTCACCGACAAGCCTTATGTGAGCACAAACAGCTCGTCGGTCGCACAGGCGGTCGATGTTACGTTTACTGCGAATGAGACTGTCCGCATCACCAAGTTTGTGGGTGGCGCCACCACGGACTACTTCCTTGCCACGCAGGAGACAGCCAAGGCTGCATGCCTGGCTGGCCTGGCTGATGGCTACGTCAAGTCGCTGCAGTCGCATGTTGGGGAATGGGCCACGATCATGCACGACCACTCGGTCGATCGCTTCACGGATCCAGCGACCGGTAAGCTACCTGAAGACAGCCACATCGTCGACTCGGCCATCATTGCTGTCACGAACACCTACTATTTGCTGCAGAACACCGCCGGAACCAATGCGATCGTGGCTGCTGGTGGAATTCCTGTGAATGTTGACAGTTGTGCTCCCGGCGGACTTACCTCGGATTCGTACGGTGGCCAGATCTTCTGGGATGCGGATCTATGGATGCAGCCTGGTCTTGTGGCCTCCCATCCTGAGTCAGCTCAGCGGTTCACCAACTACCGTATTGCATTGCACTACCAAGCTCAGGCCAACATCGAAACTGCATTCACTGGCTCGAAGAACCAAACTTCGTTCAGCTCTTCCGCAGCGATTTACCCCTGGACTAGCGGCAGATTCGGCAACTGCACCGCAACCGGACCCTGCTGGGACTACCAGTATCATTTGAACGGCGATAATGGCCTGGCGATGATCAACCAATGGGTTGCAAGTGGTGACACGGCATGGTTTAAGAACTACCTGTTCCCGATCTATGACGCAGCAGCCACTCTTTACTCTGAACTGGTGGAGCGTAATGGCTCCTCCTGGACATTGACTAACATGACTGATCCGGTAGGTAATCTGTCCCTGTCACATGATTTAGCTGACCTCCGCAGGATGAGTATGCCAACAGCATCAATGCGGGCGGATACACAATGCCGTTGATCGCCGAAACACTGCAGAACGCCAACAAGTTGCGCAAGCAGTTTGGTCTTGAGCCGAATGAGACATGGGACGAGATCGCAGAGGACGTTCTGATCCTCCGTGAGAACGGTGTCACCCTAGAATATACGTCGATGAACGGCTCTGCTGTCGTTAAGCAGGCTGACATTGTGCTCAACACGTTTCCGTTGGCTTATGAGTCAGACAACTACACGGCCACGAATTCGCTGACCGACTTGGACTACGTAAGTTGCAACTCCTTATATGACGTGCCATGCTAACAACTACAGTATGCAAACAAGCAATCCGCAGATGGACCGGCCATGACATATGCCATCTTCGCCATTGTTGCCAGCGATGTTTCTCCGTCCGGCTGCTCTGCCTTCACCTATCACCAGTACTCTTACGCTCCATATGCACGTGGCCCGTGGTACCAGCTGTCTGAGCAGATGATCGACGATGCCAGCATCAATGGTGGAACTCACCCGGCATTCCCGTTCCTGACCGGCCACGGTGGTGCCAACCAGGTAGCCCTCTATGGTTACCTTGGTCTCCGTCTCCACCCAGATGACACCATCTACATCGACCCGAATCTCCCGCCCCAGATCCCTCATATTACTTACCGGACCTTCTACTGGCATGGCTGGCCGATCTCTGCGTGGTCTAACTATACACACACCACCATCAAGCGGGATTCATCTCTTGCGCCGCTGGCAAGCGCTGACCTTCTCTTCTCCAACGTCAGCATCAAGGTCCAAGTCGGCCAGTCCACCGCCTCGGCCGATGAGGCAACTATTTACTACCTTCCGCTCTCCGGAGAATTGACTGTCCCTAACCGCATGATCGGGTCTGTTAACACGACTCCTGGCAATCAAGTCCAGTGTCATCCAGTTTACTCACCGGATGCCTACGAACCGGGCCAGTTCCCTATCTCTGCTGTGGACGGCGCTACTTCCACCAAGTGGCAGCCCTCGACATCTGACCTGACTTCTTTGACAGTCACTTTGTCTACCACGGCAGAGGCTGGAGCCGAGGAAGTTTCCGGCTTCTACTTCGACTGGTCTCAGGCACCGCCCGAGAACCTGACTGTCATCTTCCACGATTCGCCCATCGGGAACCCCTCCACTGTGTTCGCTGCCGCTGGCTCGAACTCTACAGGATACCGGGTGATTACATCGATGTCCAACATCGTCCAGTCTAAGCCGTACAACGCCATCTCTGCGGAGGAGCTGAACGTTGTCTCTATCCCTACCGCCAACACCACCACCATCACACTCGATGCGCCCGTCCAGAAAGCCCGGTACGCCACACTTCTGCTCGCAGGCAACCAGGCCAACGAGACTGCTGGTGCTACGGTGGCCGAGTGGGTCATTCTGGGACAAAACAGTACTTCCAGCTCCTCGGCGCAGGCCAAGCGGAAGATGAGTGCGCGGAGCAAGGCCACTTTGGCTCAACTCAGCTGAACAGCTTGCTTGCTCTCGTATGAGACGTTCGCGTCTGTATCATAGGTATCCTACCATATCTGGATCAGAAGTACATAATAATCAATTAATGCTACATAATATGAAATACGATCGATCGATCCTTGCCAGCCACAACCGGCTACACCGAACCAGTCTTTCGACCGGCCAGTGTACCAGCCATGACTAGATAATGTATGTATGCGAGCACGCTAATAGATACAAGAAGACAATCCCGCCATAATACCGTTGTCATAAGAGAACAGCAGACCATAAATAGATGTCCCTGACCTCAGAGACACCCATCCGTCCACCCATCACCACTCACCCTCAGTAAGAACAGCTCGGTCACTCCTCATCGAGCGCAAACCGATCCAGGAACCTAAACGTCCTCAACCCCTCCCTAACACTGTCCACAAAGTCCGCCCCAATCGTCTGCCCCACCACGACACCCTCTCTCTCATCATCAATCCCCGCATTCCGCAACGCGCCCTCCCCACTCCCAACCGCCCCCACCGTCTTGCCGAACCGGAACGCATCCACCAGCACCTGCAACGGCCTGCCCGCCGGATACAGCGTACTCACCGCACTCGCTGTAGAATTAAGCTGCGGCGCCGTGACCGACCCGGACGCAAACAACCCCTCCGCCCCAGGCGCCACAATCACCGCATCGAACTGAATCGCGTCTGAGGCTGAATAAGTCTGATCGACTCCATCAGTCAATCTCTCTGCGACAACCACCACGTCCACTTCATCGTCTTTCAGCTCCGTCGCGAGGTCCTGCGCGGCGGTGATAGATGATGGTGTTTGCACGGAGGCCAGAAATCCGACTCTCAGGTTCGAGAGCTTCTTCAACTTCGTGCCGAAGGTGCCTACGTCGGCGGTCTTGTTGTCGTGGTAGTATGTTGGGTCGGGGTCGGGGGCCGGGACGTCAATGGCGCGGGCGACGCGACGGGCAAGGTCGTTGGAGATGCGGTTGAGTTGGATGATGACGTTCTGGCGCACGGTGGTGGATTTGACGTTGCTCGTTTCGAAGCGGATCGCGTCGATTAGGAATTGTTGTTCGGTGGGCACGAGCGAGTTGTAGAAGAGGCGCGGCTGGGACCAGACGTCTTGGAAGGTCGGGGAGGTGCTGCGCAGGAGGTGCCCGGAGGTGGTGCGGCCGGGGGATGTGAAGAAGCCGTTGCCGGTTGTTTGGTTGGCTTGTTTGGGGGAGGCGGAGTTGAGGGTATTGGGGGAGTAGGCGTTCGGGTTGAGGGGGATGTACATTTGGCCTATTTATGGGTTAGTCGGTTGTTGGAGGAAGAGGGAGATGGGGGAGGGATTTACCTGCGCCATCACGGTTGTTGTTATGGATTGGGACGCGAGGCTGGTTAATGGGCAGCTGTTCGAAATTGGGGCCGCCGTGGCGGTTCAGCTGGGTGTCGAGGTACGAGAAGAGACGGCCCTGCAGCAGAGGGTCTTCGGTAAAGTC